GAACATTAATTAATTGCTTAAATAAGTAAGATACCTTCGTGGTGTCTTCTAGTTCTCCATAACTTTTTCGAAAAACATATTTAATTTAGCAACAATATTGAAATTAAGATAAATACATAAAAGCTAAAAGAAATTACAAGTAAATGTTTTTGTGGGAGTGAATTATGACGTCTAAGAAAGGGCAGAGACATAAAAGCTTGAAATCTACAGCCGAAACTCTAAAGGGTGATTCTACACCTTAAATAAACAATCACATATCAATAAACTAGATAAATAAGCTGCCAACCCATGCGTCCCGTTGGTAAGAATGAACAAACGTCTTGTCTAGAAAAGAACTCCACATAACTAGGAGAGAAACTTTTATGCAACGAGGATATCATTTTTTGGTTATTTCCAATTAATAACGCAATGATACGTAAGATAATTTTTTCACGTATCTTTGTATTATTGGTTAAAAATAACAAAACAGTAATATCTCTATTACAAGTAATTTTTTTTGCATGACTAGCCATATGTAATTGTAAATAATAAAAATATTATACCTCTTCCAATCATGCTCTCTTACATTGAAGTGTAAAAGGAAATAAAAGAGCATTAAATAATGTAAATATGTTAAGTTATTATCATTGTGTGTTTGGCATGCAGATCTAATAAATGGAAGGCTAAGTTACGAACTTTGAGGTACTTGGAGCATGTGCCCCCAAAGTGCAGGCTCATATTATAACTACAGCAACTAGCAAGGGAGCAGAGGGGGCTGCATCAACTATCTAAGCAGCCGCTTTTGCATATGGAAGACCGTTAATTGTCAGCACTGTGTGTGACAGTTCTCAATGTGCTTTTTCATCATCCTATCAGCTGCCGACACACGATTGCTAAAAAAATTTAAGTATACAGTCACATTTAGTCCATGTCGCTTTAACTCTCCACAATTCAAGCAATTTAAAGACACGTTAGTCAATTCAGTATTGTAATTTTACACTCTAAACTCTAAACCCTAAACCCATAGTCAATATAGCATTCATACTAAATTAAATTAGTCAATGCAGCATCTAATTTTAGATTTCTTAAAATCTAATTTTTCATTCAAAATGTCATGTGCACAGTATATGATCATTTTTTTTAACCATTTTTATTTTATGTTTCCCAAAAGATATATTTTTTTCTCTATCTAATATTAATGTAACCTTATGGTTATTTATCACTTTTCATTTTAATTTTTTTTTAAATTTAAAACTAAAAATATTTTAGATGATAAATTTCGTTTTTTGTTTTCGAAAAAGAGAAAAAGTGAAAACTATTTTCAAAATTATTCTTATTTTTTAAAACAACTTCAAAGTGTTTTCATTCAATTTCATTTTTTCCCCTCTTTCATTCACCAAATTCACATCACCACACATACATTGCATTCCAGTCATCAAAACTCGATATTTGGGACCTCTTGATTCCAGGGTTCTGTCGCGGACCCAATTTAAGCATTGGGACTTCACCAAAATTCATCCCAACTCCACAACATTCACTGAAAAATACTGCGAACTCTTGGGAACATGCACAATCATTCTATGACCTCAATTTCACAATTTGATAAATAAATAAAAATTCATTTCTAAATTGCATATAAAACTAAAAATTGAAAATTGAAAATAGTTACCAAACAATTTTCATGTTTTCATGTTTTTAACTTTTAAAAAATGGAAAATGAAATGGTTATCAAACGGGCCCTTAATTTCTTATTTCAATGATCGGATTACCCGACAAAAGATATATGATGTAAGCCAAATATTTTTATTAATTTTCCACGTCAAAATTAGTTTATTATTTTAGGAGTTGAAATGCATTATGAATTGACATAATTAGGAGTTTAGTCTGCTAATCTAATCCATATATATATTTTAAAATATTAGGCTACTTCATAAGTGATAAGACAGACATTTTCGTAAGATTAGAAAAAAGCAAAGACAACAACGCTTGTTTGATTTAAAAGGTCTACGGCACGCCTGATTGCTTAATTAAGCTGACTATTAATTTTGTATTCAAATTAAAAACCAAATTGACAACCAAGCTGCGTGACGCTCGTCTCATTGGCATGATGCCGTGTCTTGACAACGTTTATGTTCTGTTAACTACTCTTTCTTGCACCCTTTGTTTAGCCATATCTTGTGAAATTATTGAGAGTTGAAATTTAATTAAAAAAAGGTTATGATCATGACCATCTGTTAATTTGATTTCAGCATGCACACACCTGAAAACGTACGTAGGCAAATGCCATTTGTTAATTTACATATGCACCTAATTTGTCGATTAGGCGAACCGTGGCTGTTGCCCCTTTTTTCTAGTAATATATCTTGCCCGTTACTTGTAACTTTGCGGACAAGTTTGCGCTTAAACTAATCTCATCATTTGACAAAGCGTATTTACTTGTTTTCTATTTTTCTTATTTCTAACCAAGGTTTAGGCAAAGGAAGGCATTATCTGCAATAATTAATCTTAAAAGTTAGGGTCATATACCAAATGTGTTTATTTATGTTTTGTTAATAGTAATTAATCTCATGTGTTAATTAGTGAGCCAAGCCACCAATTTTGACGCCTCCAATGCAATAGCAGTAGCGGTAACATGGGGAAGTCGGTGCTAATAAAAATCAAACAGCTCCTCCTCCTCCACCTTACACTAATATTTATATATATATATATATCCTTGTACTTGTAATACTGGAGAAATATGTTTCTGTAAATCAGACATATCCAACCAGATAATTGAGCTTATTTTGTGATTAATCATAGCCATTGACAGACATTTTTCATGTAACCCTTTGATTAGCGAAGGGGTATGTATATGATTAATTAAGTCTCTCTCTCTCTCTCTCTCTCTCTCTCTCTCTCTCTCTCATGGAGATGCAGATAGTTTTCAACTTCTAGTATTAAAATAGCAGAACATGTTGTCTCTGATAACATGTGACATATACCAAAAAATGTACTTTTGACTGGATCCAATGCCATTGAAAAGACGATTCGGTAGGACACTTCTTGGAAATATTTATACCACCGGCCGATTACAACTATGCAACACGCTAAGTGTGTAGTGGCTTTCTCTTGAATTATTGTAGAGGTCAAATTCATACTTGTCCATCAAAAAGGGCGAGGCATTCCTCTATAGTTTTAGTTTATACTTGTTTTTGTCATAAATGTGTCCATCAAATTTAAGTGGACATTAACTTACTCTTTGTCTTCTGGGTCAATTTGTCAGGACTTATAATCTTTAATTAGAACATTACTAATTAGGGCATAATCGTGATGAGTTCTGTCCTCTACTTGTTTATGTTTTTCTATTGATATATTTAGTTTGTGTCTGAATTAAGTTACTTTACCCTTCTTTTTTGGGATATTTCTAATTAACACGTTTGGTGGGTCAGACTTATTAAATCGAACAACAATCCAACATATTATGTCTTACAAGTCTCATTTAAAGAGGTCAAACTCATAAGAGTGATTTTAAACTCAACTCTAATCTAATCCAAATCGAACCATCAGACATGAAAACATTCTAAACTCAAATTTAATCGGCACATAAACCCTAGTCATATTTCAGTACAATATACCATTTACTGGTTGAGAAGAAGTAAAAACAAGCCGGTGGCTCGAAAGCTAATCTCAAAACTGGCCCTTTGGGATCGATACTAGACATTGTTGATTTGGCTTTTTCTTTGGACGCGTTAATTAATTCACTTTGGCAACATGTTAGGTACCTTGATAGTACAAGTGCCCTACATTTTTGTTCCTTTGCTTTGCATTGACAGGTGAGGTTTAGATAATGCACATGCACCGGCAGAGGCAAAAGAAAAAAGAAGAAGAAGAAGTTATGAACCGGCCGACATTCCTCCCTCATTATGTTACAAAATTTAACCTCATTGACTTCAAAATGATAATGAGATGGCATTGTGTGGACGGAAAATATTGGATAATTCAGTCAAAGCTAGCTCAAAGGTTTCCCACTAGTTAAAAATGATCATTTTGATCATGGTCTTTATTCTTTTGGTTCAACAATAAGGGGAGGGGAATTGCAGTTTGGCGCTTTCAGAAATTAAAAGAAAAATACTACTAAATTAAGAATTAATTAGTATTTTGATGACATTACTAGACCTTAGGCACATTGAAAAACAAAAGATTCCTATTAGATCGATACTTTACATTTGGATTAGGGACATTTATTTATTTATTTTCTTTTGATCAAAGTTAAGAACAGAGAGGGGATTTTCTCACACAGTTTGGCTTACCAACAAAAATAGAGAGGAAGGGAGGGGGTGGGTGTTGGGGAGGGGCATTTGATAACATTACTAGACCTCAAGTATGTGGAGAAACAAATTAAGGGCATTTTGACTTACCAATAAAAATAAAAGAGGGGGTGGGGCATTTTGACTTACCAACAAAAATAGAGGAAGCGTTGGGGGCATTTTTGGCAAATTTGCTCCTTTGAGCTCCAAAGGAGCATTAAGCTTATTTTTCAGTACAAGATATATATATATATATATATTCTCAAACCAAATAAAATAAAGCAACTTGGAGTTGTGCAATCTCCATTCGCTTACATTATTGGAAGTTAAATGACAGAAGAAGCGGCATCTCGTGTGGCAGAACATTGTCAAAGGGTCAAAGAATCACAAGGGGGATAATATGTCAGTGAAATATGAGGTCTACAAATTCATGTGGGTCAGTAGGATTATTTGACCAAGAAAAAAAAACCTAATGCCATCCTCGATTTTACCACTTTAAGGAAACATAATAATGGATTTTCTAAATGATCAGGATCTAAAGGTCACGAAAATGACAGATTTATCATGATCAAGAAGTAATGAAATTGAACTTGAAAATGGAAAAGTTTTGCCAAGATTGAAATCCACTTTTGTGTTGCCAAGATGGAAAAACATGACAAAGTGTTGCACCTTTTTGTTTATTTATATTTGTTCTTTTTTGTTTGTTTTTTCTGTTCTTTCTCAATATCAAAAGCAATGTACGTAGCTGTAATTCGTGATTCCTTGGGTGATTGGGTTGGTGGATTTTCTGTTAATTTGGGGACAAAACAGATTTCGGAAGTTGAATTATGGGGGTTATTTTTTGGTTTGCAGCTTGATGTGGCTCGAGGGATCTCTAATCTTTTGATTGAAATGGATTCAGTGCTTGTTGTGCATCTCATGAAAATTCCTGATGCTATTGGAGGTCATCCTCTTGCTGGGTTTGTTATCTAGTTGCTGGGATTTTATGAATTTGATTAGTGGTTGTGATCTTCAACATGTCCATCGGGAGCGGAATTGCTTGGCAGATTGTCTTGCTAATGGCAGCTATAATTTGGACATAGGCTTGCGTTGGTTTGGTCTCTAGGCTCCGTTTAGTTCGTGTTGTGTAGATTTTGTTTGAGATTTTTTTCCCCTTGTGTCATTAAACTAAAAAAAAGAAAAAAAAAGAAAAAGCAAAGTAGCTGAAATGGAATTTTGCTTTTTCCAGAAGCGCAACATTTAAAAAATAAATAGAAGGGTTTTAGGATAGCTCAATTTTTTATTTTATTTTTATACAAGTGATATTCTACTTTAATCTAATCTAAACTACGGAAAATTTCCCTCTCCTATAATTTAAACTATCGCTTATACTTAAAAAAAAAAAGTACAGGAAGGAGGATTCAAACTCGGATCAGAATAGGAAGTGCATCCGATCTACCTAACTTGGTTAAACTCATATCTACAGGATAGACCAACTTTAACTCCATTCAATTCTTCTTCCGTTCAATTGTATAATTTATGTATAGTTCCTATTAAAGGCTATGCATTATATAAAGCTAGTGGGGTTTGGAAACATAGACGACAAGCAAATGAGAATAAAAAATGGCAAGGAATAAGCAAATGGTATGTTTCTATTTCAATCCTAGAGCCTAGACCCATGACAGCTTTTGTGGACAAATTGCAAAACGAAAATTCAACAAAGTGTGTGTGCCCTATTATTGCCAATGCCCACTGCCACTGCCCTTTTGCCCCACCAATGCTTTTTGGGCAGAAAAGTAATTTACAGGTCATCTCTCATTGTAGTCTTTTCTGAGATTCTTGAACATGAGCATGGCCTGTTTGCAAATAATGGGATATGACAAACAGAAAAAGAAAAAAGCTTCATATTCTTGGTAGATCTTTCAGTGCAGTCTAGAGGCTTCTTTAGCAATGGTCTTGGTAGGATACTTGGAATGAGGTCAGTCTTGTAATTACAACGTGGAAAATGTACAAGTTCCACTCACCAAATTGGCTTTTGGCCTTTTGGCTTTTCTTGCCTGTCTTTTTGGCCTTTTTCTTCTTAGACTCAATTAAATAGCTATGAATATTATAGGATTGGACCAAGACTTCAACAATTTGAGCTCGATCCCCTTAATTCAAAGGTCAACTGAATTTTTCCTAAGGTTTTGAGTCCATTTCTTACTTAATGTAGTGGCAGAGAAGCAACTAGCGAACTAGGATTATTGGATTCATTAGAGATGTCACGTTAAATTCTGTGTTCCAATTTCGCCCTCTGCTAGAATCGTTTGCATATATAAAAAAAGAGATACCAATTTATAATTTTTGGACACCGACTAATATGGTAGTAGTTTATTTGATTTCATTTTGGATGGATTCTAAACCTTATTTATTTAGAGCAAATAAGAATTGATGTCTCAAAGTTTTGATCTTGGATACCAAGCAAGCATGGGAAAAAGAGAAAGCCACAACTACTATGGTAACCCCACTCGACTTGTAATGTCCAACTAGCGAACTACCTGTCACCACCGACAAAAAAGTACAAACCGAGTGCTTGGGTGATATAATGTGCAATTCAATACCCATCAAGATCACAACTCATGAAAAAGTACAGCCCTTCAATTTGAAGACGTACTCAGAATTAAGAAGGAACCTGAAAATTGGTAATGCATGTGGGTAAACATAGGTAGGTGTACTTCAAGTGTCCTAAAGTGAAACCATATAAATTGTTTGTTTACAGGAAAAATAAAATAACATAAATTGCTTTTCAAAGTTGATTTAGAGCCAAAGACAATCATATATACACACACTGTAAGGCTGATTTGTTAAATTACCATTTAAGTAACATGCTGGATATAATCCATGGCAGAAAAATTTGGAAGAGGACCATGGCTTGAAATTATCTTTGAAAAATCTAGCAACTTCATCTACATGTTTCTAACAAACAATCCTTTGGTCAATTAGGTCTTAGCTCAGTGGCGGAGTTATTGTCATGCAGGTTAGTAGTCTGTGGTTCAATTTCCCGTAGTATTATGTGTGTGAGAATATCCCCCTCTCCCTTCCTAACTGTGACAACAAAAAACAAACAAATAAACAAACAACCCTTCTAAAAGTGAAGAATCATGCCCTTTTGAAACCTCATGATTCATGTCCTTAAAAATATGTACCAAAGCCCTTTTATTGCCATTCTTAAAGCCTGGCTGGTACAATAATTTGAAGCAAAATGCATGCTCCATCCCATTCAAGGTAGGGATTGTTTATTTTTTCATGCCCAAAAATCATGTACAATATATCTTTCAGCCATAAGAGGTGACACAAGGTCTTAACTGTAAGATATCTGTATAGTCCTTCCTCAAGTGTAGGATGGTGATCAATTTCCACTTAAAATAGTGAATCAATTTTGAATTGGGTTTTTGTTGTTTGTTTGGTTGAGCCCGTGTTTATTTATGCTGACTTTTGTATATGCTGTGTGGTTTTGCTCTATTGCTTGGTAATGAAAGTTCATTTCCTTTGCCAACGAGGGTTGGTTGAGTTAGTAAGAATCGTTTCCTTCACTATCAAGGTCTAAGTTCGAGTCTCGCTGCCAACAATTCCTTTTGATGGATAATTTGTAAAAACCTAAAATGGGGCTAAGACCCCTTTTGTAAGTCCTCAAAGAAGCCTTGATATGCCCTGGTCTTGGGATGGGGTAGCCTCCGCAATTTTTTTCATAAAAAAAGGTTGATTTCCTTTGACAAAAAAACAAAAAAAAGATTCAAATTTCTGACTGGCTGATGCTGTGGAATATGTGAACTTTAAATAACAAAGCTTGCTGAATAACTAGTTGGTATAAACTAGTACAACAGGCTGCCCAATTATCTTAAAATATGGTTGAAGACTAAGCTTATCATAAAAAAGGAAAACAAAATACTGATCAAGATTGGAATAAAAATACAACCAAGTCACTAAATTACAAATAAATTCAAATTCAAATATAGATAGCCTGGTCAAATTTATTCTATCAACTAAAAACCAAAATTTAGAAGCCAAATTCACATCACATTCTTGGTTTTTTCTATTCATGCAAAAGAGAGATGGATTTTTCACATCAAAGACTGATTTGTTAAGGGGTCCATGCATGACTTGTAAACATGTTTGAACAATCTAGCAAGTTCATCTACAACATGATTCTATCAACTAGGCCTAGCTGGTTGTCACTATCTATATTTTTTTTAATAAATTTTTCTTTTAGATACCAAGAAAGTTCATCTGGTTTGAAAAGATGAATCAACAATTATATAACAAGTACTGGTACCTTGTACGGTACCTTTCGGCCTTGAGAGATAAAACAAGATCTTTACTGTAAAATATCAGTATATAGTGTTCAAGTGGCGATCAATTCTGTGGACTATCTGGATTTAATACAAACCTTTGAATAATCAGTTGGTCCAAAGTAGTAACCATTATCTTAAGAGTTAATAAATTCAACTGCAGAGATAGATAACCTGGTTGTGTTCTTGTTTACTCCCCAACTGTTGTATGGATCATAAAAATATATTCAAGTTTTAAAAGCTGATCTCTGCTTTGTTCTTTCTCCAAGCTGAAATTATCCTTTGATCACCATCTTAGTGTTTGAATTTAACTTTAGTTGCACCTTTTGCGAATAAGGCGATAGAATTTTATTGATAAAGAGCGTTACAAGACTAGATAGACGAGTCCAAGGGAATTAGGCGAGCCACTAATACAAAAGGGGAGAAGGATAGAGTTTCACCTTAACTATTGGAATTCAACTTCTTATAGTTGAGATCATACCTTCTTTTTTTGGTCAAAGATTCACACCTTAATGAGAGATTTTGCTTTGTGCTTTTTTAGTACTAGCGATGGGGTAGGGGAGTTGACACAAATATTTATTAGGTATTTATGAATTTTGAACATCTATTTATATAGGTGGAGGTGGAAGAGTTCAGCTAACTAAGCAATATCTTATTGGCTAACGAGAGATTTTGCTTTAATTTCCAGGTTGGGGTGATAGGTACGTACACTAATGAGGAAAAAACTTGGTATGTTTTTAATGTTGGTTGCTGAACGTGATAAACATTCTTAATAGAAAAGGGCATTCACTTGCGGACTAATGATTTACTAAATTTTAACGAGAAAAAATAGAGTTCTTTTCTAACTTAATACAATTTAACCAAATAACTGCATCTTCACACTTTTGAACAGGCAATTTGAAGGCCAGCCAACAAGGATCCTAATTAGACCACAATTTCTTTCTTTTTTCCTTCTCCATTTCTTATCGTTTTTCGCTACTTGGATTAATCAATTCATTTAGCCCTTTGAAATCTTCATTTTTGACAGTGGGTACTGAGGACACCAAGCAAGTTTTGTGGTGGACCTAATATTGCATAGAAGTAGGCAAAAGACTTGGCCCAGCTTGGCAGCCCAACTCAACACATTAGGCTGATCCTAAAGCTCAAATAGAAGCCCATAAGTGAACAATGCCCAAGCACTTGCTTATTTAAGGACTTGTCTCCTCTCATTTTAATTTTGATTTCTTTGGCTTGTTTTCTAATTTATTTTTTGTAAGTGTTCTTTTCAGCGTAGTTTTTTATTTAACAAAGCGATAGACTAAACTACTCTAAACTAATGTAATTTATGGAAATGAGAATTCAAACTTGAGTGTAAAGAGGCGGACTCACTTCCCTGACCAAATGGCCTAACTCACGTATCCTTCTTTTCAGACTTAATACAATTTAACCAAATAATTGTATCTTCAAATTTGTGAACAGGCAATTGGGAGGCCAGTCAACAAGCATGCTAATTAGACCACAATTTCTTTCTTTGCTCCTTGACCATTCATATCGCACCTCAATTTAAAATTTTAAAATTTAAGATGAGAAAGAATTCTCCATTGATAGCAAATGGTATCCATTAAGCAGGGGAAATCCTATGACGTTCCTCAGTAATATCATCATCACTCTCGAAGTCATGTGCGGTAGCAATACCAAACCAAATACGACGAGGAGTGGGGTCATGAGCTAAGTCTTGGCTAAACCTTGAAAATCTTACATTTTTTTCGCTAGTCGGATTATTCAAGTCATGGTGCTAAAAGACATCTAACCGAATATGGCTGTCTTTCCAATTAAAGATGCTTATCAATACCTGATGTACAATTTAGGAAAAAAAAACTTTCTAGTCCCAAGTATATATAGATGTTGTGGTGTTGGTGTTCACATCTTTAAACCATCACCAACATTGTACCGACTCAAAAATGTATCTCTCAAAATTCATTGTCACCTTTTTTTTCCTCCTAACAATAACACTGGTTTTGACCCGCAAACATTTTACTGATAATACTGAAGGCATACACGAATGTTTAAGCTTGAATACATTTGCAACAAATGATACTTACCATAAAAATTTGAAAACCCTCACAACTTTTCCTTCTGAGCATGTAGCGTCTTCTCAATTTATCAATGGCTCAATAGGGTTTTACCCAAACGATGTATATGGTTTCGCTACATGTTTCGGTAATACGTCTGCCACAGATTGTAGTAACTGCGTTAATGCTGCATTTACCTTAATTCAGGCACACTGCCATAATAACAAAGGTGCAGTCATATGGTTTGCAGATAGCCAAGTCAAATACATGAATCATGATTTTTCAGGCGAAATTGACTACTATGATTTGGCTTTAAAACATGTCAATGGAAATCCTCGACCATTTACTAGAATGACAAATAAATTGTTGTTAGGCCTTGCTGCCGAAGCCTCTGAGGCTTACAAATATGCAGTAAAGACGGTATCGGTTTACGAATAACACATATTCATGCGCTGGCTGGATAGAAAACAGAAACTTCATGCTAAGGTTCAATGCACAAGGGATCTTTCTACTAATGATTGTTTGATATGTCTTGATAATATAAACTCTTTCTCTTTTCAATCTACCTATACGATATATGTATTTTATCCTGAACCATGAATCTTTTTAGTGTTTATTGTTCACCGTGTATTAATAATTTCATGGGTCAGGATCAAAGCACACACAAAAAAACACATATATTTTAATACACCTCTTCAGCCCTTGGATTTTGCTTGAACTAATGGCTGAAAGTATATCTGAAAAACAAAGTCATTTCTTTTATATGGCACCTTAATTGCTTACCTAGTAATAAGTCTTTGCAATTTTCTGACCTAATTAATGACCAGAGAAAAAAAGATTTCTCCTAATCTTCTTCCCCGCTCCATCATCTTCCTCTCCAAATGACTTTACACTTGAAGTACCTGGCCAACCATTTTCTTTCTCCCAGTGCCAATACAAAATTAAAGTTGCAGAAGCTTCTGTTGTAACTTGTGAAATATCTGAGGTGGGGCAATTTATTGGGGACCATGTGAAGTCTTAGAGCATCTCCAACAACCTCTTCAACAACTTTGGAATTCTAAAATATGTGAGCCACATCAGAAAAACTATCTCCGACAGCCTCTTCAACTGTAGACATCAAAGCTGCAAGCTCTCTCTCTCTTTCTCTCTCTTTAAGATTGGTAAGTTGACTTTGGCTCTTCAAACATATAATTTTACATTGGAAAAACAAAACCTACCTTGAAAATTAATGTTAAAAACATTCATTTTTCTTTTCATATAATAAATACATAGATATTTTTCTCATGTTTTCGTATTTTTCATTCTTTTCCATGATATTGCATTAATTGAATTGAAGAGTTTGTTGGAGCAAAAATTATTCAAGCAGCAAATAAAACTTTTCAAATTGCCACGTAGGTCAACGAACTTCAATTTGAAGAGTTTTATTTGCTACTACTGTTGGAGATGCTCTTAGCATGTTTCATCCTATTTCGTGAATTTGTCGTGCTTTTGCTTTGAGAGTTGGGTTCAATTTTGTTTTGTTGATGATTGGAGGAAAAAAAAGGCTCAACAAAGATGATTTCTTTGCCTTTGATTGAATTTGCACTCAGCACACAGAGCAAACATTCCGGCCAAATCAGTAACAACTATTGGTCAACTCCAATCAACATCTGAGAATAACTCCCTCGTGTGGTTCTACTTCTCCCACAGATTGTAGGAACTACGCACGTTAACATTGCACTTACCTTAATTCAGGCACACTGCCCTTATAACAAAGGTGCAGTCATATGGTTTGCAGATAGTCCCGTACAATACATGAATAAAGATTTCTTAGGTCAAGCTGATGATAAATTTCGATATGATTTAGCTTTAAAAAAAGTGAGCGGGAATCATCGACCAATTACTAAGGGTTTAGGGTTGTTGGATAGCGTTTTCTGTAGGAAATGCTTACTTCGATTAAATCACCCTCCATGGAAACCTTCTACTGAAATGCTAATTAAATTTTTATTTATTTGATATTTTAATGTCGAAACAAAAAACGAAAACAGTCTAATTGCTCTGGAAGACAACTTATTTTTCTAGTTTTCTAGTTCTCATTTTGGCATAAATTATGTATTTCGTAGTTTTCTTAGTATTCCTAAGAAATCAGATCCTCATGTATTGGTAGCGTGCAATTTGGTGTGGGGTATTTGGCATATAAGAAATCAGATTCGTTTTGATCACTTGGTAGTTTGCCTCGATTATACCCAGCGATGATTCCTTTCCCGCTTTAAGGAATCTGCGAATGCTTGCTTCATTTCTGGTCATTCTCCTTCCTCTCTACTGATCGATATTCCTGCTTTTGGGTTTTTTGCCTCACTCTGTCAACTCCCAAGTTATTACGGGTATAGCCGCACGGCTATACTATTTATAAATAATAAAAAATAGTTAAAAAACCAGCCTAGCAATTAAGTGCCCACGTGTTAAAATACATATAGCCGCGCCGCTATACTATTTTTAAAGAAACATTAATAAAACCGAGTACAGCTGCGCGGCTACACTATTTTTAAAAAATAAATTTAAAAAAACCTTGTATAGTCGCCCGGCTCTACTATATATATAATAAAATAAAAATGTAAAGCAAAGCGGCTGTACTATTTTTAAAAAAATAAAGAAAAAACCGAATATATCCGCTCGGATATACTATTTTTTTTAAAACAATTTTAAAATCCGAGTATAGCCGCACGGCCATACTATTTTTTAAAACCACGTATAGCCGCGCGGCTATACTATTTATAGATTTTAATTTGCTAGTTTCAACATCCAAAGCAGATATCGAAGAGAGAAATTTCAAAGTAAATCAATTAGACAATATAGCCGGGTACTATTTTTTTAAAAATAAATTTAAAAACGGGGTATAGCCGCCCGGCTAGACTATATATATGTGACTCGCCCAGCGCCTAGGCGCCACGTGCCAAAAACCTAAAGCCAGACGGCTGTACTATTTTTCAAAAAATTAGAAAAAAATCGAGCAAAACATGCAAGAATTGCTAGTTTCTTAGGCAAAACATGTCAAAGGATGACATAACAGAGGGATAAGACATAAAAAACAACAGTATAAGCAAGCAAGGACCAAAACATAGTATCAGGCCAAGCTATGTAGATCATTATATAAAACATGTTTTGGAACATTCGAAAATGGAACAGAACAGAGGAGCATGGCCATCATTCAGCTTAAGGTTCAGGAAAATCTAATAAGTAAACTAGTTCCTCAGGAAGACAGAGATAAAAGTAACTAACAAGATTGACAAATGATATTCACTTTTGAAAATTCAACGTGGAACAAATCAACTGTATACATAGCAGAGAAGTACATATGAAGCACACTTTGCTTAACAACAGAATTTACATCTTGAAATTTGTACATATCAAGCACGCCGTCTACTCAGACGCCAAGAGTTGGGCTCATGATATCTGTCATACAGCGGTTCGATGCGTTCTTGACATTTGCGGTTGCTCATCTTTGTAGGATCTGCAGCCTTAAAGAATCTTGGCACCTGTTCCATAAGCCACTTGGGCTCTATAGCGCTGACCTCTCGCATGTACTCCTTTGTGGTCATCACCAGCTCATTGTAGATGACCCAATCTGGCTGTCTCTGGAAAAGAACACTGCTTGGGTGGATATAAACTACCTGCTTGTCGACTATGGTTCTATAACCCTCACGTGGTTCCTTTTTAGCAACATGGAAGAAGCATCCAGCTATAACCGCTTTTCTGATCATTGTTCGATCTTTTCCTGCACTTACAACCTCTAATTCATACTTGTCCATGACAGTAAGAAGCTGTTTCCTGATATCCCTTGCCCTACTCAATGACCGAAACTGGACAAAGTTCTCTGAACACCAGGGGCTAGAAAAATTCTTAGCTTTCCAAGCCTCATAAACAGCAAGTAAAGTCAGATGGTCTCCCTCAGGCTGTAGAAACTTGGCCTTCTTCAAATCTGCTTGCGCTTGTTTCTCCTTAGGCCTGTAGAAGGTATTTCCTGCCTGAAGCATGGCAATGATGGTCACAATTTCATCACTGCATCCAAGGTTCGCACTGGCAAGCAGCATTTTAGACAAAGGTGGATCCAGAGGCAGCACGGCCATTCTACTACCCAATTTGGTCAGAAACCCCTCTTCATCCAAGGCTCCTAGCATCTTCAGCTGTTCCACAGCAGACGTAAGTGCTTCGGGTGATGGGGGATCCATAAAATCAAAAAATTTAAGATCATTTATCCCCATAGCTTTCAACATCAGTGTAGTATGTACAAGATTTGATCTTTGGATTTCTGGAACTGTATTAGGAGACATCTCATTATGAAAAGCACTCTCAGTGTAAAGGCGGAAACATTTTCCTGGCCCTGTACGCCCAGCACGCCCAGCTCGTTGACTGGCTGACGCCTGTGAAATTGGTGTTACAACCAGCAAATCAACCCCTTGCTTCGGATTATATACATTTATCTTTGCAAACCCTGGATCAATTACGTAAAATATCCCATCAATGGTCAAAGAAGTTTCAGCAATATTGGTAGCCACAACCACTTTTCGCTTCCCTGGAGGAGCAGGCTTAAAGATCTTTGACTGCTCTGCACTCGGTTGGGCACCATAAGCTGGTAGGATAATCAATTCCGGAACATCTTTACCTAGTTCTTTCATCCTTTCATACAGAGACTGACAAGCAAATTCAATCTCCTCCTCACCAGTCAAGAAGACAAGTATGTCACCTTCTGGTTCACTCAAGTGAATTTGCAGAACAGTCAATATAGCTCCATCCAAGTAATCACTTTCGGGCTGCTTCGCGTACAGTGTGTCTACAGGATAAGTTCTACCGGGAACAGTGAATATCATACAATTGAAGAAATAACTCGAAAACTTCTCTGCATCCAGTGTTGCAGACGTAACAATCAAACGAAGATCAGGTCGTCTTTTAACAAGTTGCTTCAGCATTCCGAAAAGAACATCAGTATTGACTGTTCTTTCATGGGCTTCATCAAGCATGATCACAGAGTACTGAGAAAGGTTTTTGTCCATCAGAATCTCCCGAAAAAGCATCCCATCAGTCATGTACTTAATCAAAGTATCCGGTCCAGTACAATCATCAAATCGAATAGAATACCCAACTTCCTCCCCTAATCTACAACCAACTTCTTCAGCAACCCTCTTGGCCACAGAAGTGGCTGCAACTCTACGCGGTTGAGTACATCCAATTATGCCCTTTGTGCTGTAACCTGCTTCAGCAAGATACTGAGCTACCTGGGTTGTTTTACCTGAACCAGTCTCACCAACAACAACAAGCACCTGATTTTCGTTCACAGCATTAACCAGCTCATTCTTCAATTTGTAGATTGGTAAGCTCTGACGCCGTTCAAGAATGGAAAGGCTTGATCTCTGCCCAAAACTCAGGGCTCCTTCATAAGCACTCTTCTTCCACTCATGCTTGTCAATGTCGAAAGCCGAAAATCCAGCAGCACCCCTAAGTTCTTGTGCGAGATATCTATCACCTCTCTCTGCCATAGGGTCTTCCCAAGCACGATTAAGATCCATTGGAATTGAATTACGCTTCATTCTTTCTTGAACTTTTCTTATTTCTCTACCCTCCTTTTGAAGCGCAGACTGAAGTGCAGCTGCACGGCTCAATGACCCAGTTGGGTTCTTGACAATCTTAACAGGTGACCTATCAATTGATAAGACTCCACGCAGAAGTTCTAATGGGTCCTCATCCAGCTCCATTTCAATCTCTTCCCCGAAATCCTTTTCTCGATTTCGCAATCCAACTTCATCATCATATGTTGCAGCCCCAAAAACACCAGAGGCGATCCCTTCATAACCATTGTCAACCCTCTGCCTCTTGCTCCTTTTTTCTTCTTCTTTACTATCTCTATGAATTTGCACAGCATCGGTGATCGCCATGGCCGGGCTGTTCTTGCGCTTCTGAGAAGCCTTTTTTGGAGGAAGAATGTTGTGAATGATCTCCAACAATATATGCAGGAGATATTCAGGCATGTTTGCTCCGTTTTGCTTTAACTTTGCACGGAAATCGTCCACGGCCTCACACTTTCGACCCATCTCGGTTATGAACTCTGCCAAAACTCTGTCTGCGAAACCCAGATGATTTTCAAGCACTGTGCAAATATTGGAGACCAAAGAAAGGTATTCGAGTTTGTCAAACACACTGACCTGCGTAGAAACAGCCATTCTTTAAGATGAAAACAAAGCTCGCTCGCTCGCTCGCTCTCTCTCTCTCTCTCTCTCTCTCTCTCTCAAAATTTGAGTAAACAAAATTTCAGACATAAACCATCAATGAGTGGTTTGTATGTAAATACCGTATATATATATATAGGAATGAGGCTGCCGACTAATCCACTTTTTCCTTCTAGAACTAGGAATTCTTTCTTCAGTCCTTGCTAACCAAGCAAAAGCTTTGACCTTTTCCTCGTAGAATTAGGAATTCTATATTTTCCGCTGACCAAAAACAAGCAGAAAGTCGTGGGTCGTCTAAGGTTGGGAATATTTTATAGTTACTGTCGTTCTTAAAATTTCATTGTCGTTTTCTATAAAAAAAAAAAAAAAAAAAAAAAAAAAACAACCCTTTTTTCTCGGTGACTTCGACCCTAAATGTCATGTGTGTATATATTTTTCAAACAAATTTTATTTTCCATATAATTCTCAATTATACGGAAAAAAAAATTGTGCATTTTTCATAAACCAAACATAATACATGTATTATACTCATACAATTTTCTGACTTTAATGACCAAATTTTTCCCCGTCTTTTTTAATTTATATTATCCATTAATTTTAATTGCAAAGGACTCGCTACTATAGTAGTTTTAAGTAATTGCTCCCTTAGGCAAGGTTCTAATTTTGAGTCCAAATTAAATGCTAAACACAATGACCAAAAACGTATTTAACCCAACTACAAATTGTAGAACAAGTCCAACAATTTGACACTTCAATAAATAGATTAGTCGCATTCACAAGTGAGTGATGAAGAATATAGTAAACCCTATATCCATAATCTGACATTTTAGATGTTACCCAAAAACTTGAAGTACAACAGTACAAAAACAGAGTGACCGCAGGCCATCAACAAGACCACCCCTTCAAGTATAATAAAAGCTGTGTCCCAATAATCCTAAGAGCTTGCGGTTGCTGTAGAATGTCAAACTAACAATAGTTAGAAGCAGGGCATATATAAAGAGGAAACACAACATTCTGAAACTCATCATCAAAGAGCAGCAAAATTCAGGGGACAGATTTTAAAAATTAATGCCAGGACAGAATCAGAATTAGTACCTTTAGCAGAAGGCTCATCCTGTGGTTTCATAGCTGGGAAGAGAAGAACTTCCTGTCCAACCACAAACAACAGACAGTGAGAAGCCGCTACAGGTGACATCTCACACACGAGCACAAACACATGCTTGGAGGGTAGAGGGAGGGTAGGAGGCACAAACCTTAATGTTCTGTGAATCAGTTAACAACATAGATAGTCGATCTATGCCCAAACCCCAACCGCCAGTTGGAGGTAACCCATACTCAAGAGCTCCACAAAATGTTTCATCCAAAGCCATTGCTTCATCATCACCTGACTGTCGATCCTGAAACTCAAACCACATATCTTCAGAAAAATTACCAAATAATATATAATAATATAACACAACTAAACAGTTAATTCATACCTTGAGCTGATCAGCAAATCGTTGGCGTTGTACCACAGGATCATTTAATTCAGTGTAGGCATTGGCAAGCTGGGCAGCAAAATAACATTTGGTAACAAGCACAACGACAAACCAAACCAAAAGATGCCAAATAAATAAATAATTCAAAGAAGTCTTCAAGTTAGTAAGCATACTTCATGCTTGTTGATAAACAACTCAAAACGCTCAGTCAGGCCCGGTTTTGATCTATGCCACTTTGCTAAAGGACTCATTATCTCGGGATGGTTAATGATAAATGCGGGATTTACACAAGTCTCTTCCAGAAAGTGCCCCACAAGCTGCAATGATGGAAAATGTCATCAACACAAGAAAAACATGAGATTGCATTACCACATTAAATTGACATTCCTTGCCACCCAATAGCAACTATCAAGCATATAGAATCTCATAGTAATGTGAATTTTTTTTTGGGGGATGACAATATGCGATCATAATTCTCACTCTATTGAAACTGCAACTAGTGTGTTCAATATCATTGACACCTATGAAAAATACCATAAGTCATTACTTCTTTTTTCCCTTCCTTGGCAACAATTTAATAGCCAACAGCCATATACAACGGTGAACGTAACTGAACATATATGTATAATATACAAGTCACCACCAGGGTACCGCCTTTTAATCAGATATGCCCAGGTCATTTTCTAAGTTCTCACCCACCATTAGCTCCTCAAAAGACTAGTTCAAATTGGATCAAATATCCTGATTCATGTACTTGATTTAGAAGAATATTTGGAAAAAGGAAAAAGAGAAAGATTTACCTTGTCCAACAAACGAGCAGTGGTTTCAGGAGGAGAACATTTGATATCAAACTTCTTGCATGCCTCCTTAAGATATTTGTTAGCTTCCTCACTAGAGAGATCTGCTGGATTTATTTTGAGATCTGCAATCTTATTTAATTCCTCAACCATGTCGATCCTCCTGCAACAGTACCAGTTAAAACCATCAGATAAGTTGTTTTAAATCTGTTTCAGTTGTAACATGCATGACCAATGAATTAGGTTACAGACCTGAAGGGAGGAGTGAAGTCAATCTCAATTGGATCCTTATCGAGCCCATTTGAGTGATACTTGATTTTGTATCCACCTGTGAGTTCCTTGACCATCCCTATTATAGATTAAATATTATATCAGCAAAGAAATCCAAGTAGTTTCAAAGACATGGAGAAGTGCAAAAGAAGCATATGTTTGAGCCATACCACTCAACAATTCCTCGGTCAGGGTCATCAAGTCATTGTAGTCTGCATAAGCCATGTAGAATTCACAGGTAGTGAACTCAGGATTATGAGTCAAATCAATACCCTCATTTCTAAATTGTTTTCCAATCTCATAAACACGTTCCAGGCCACCAACAACTAACTGCTTGAGATATAGTTCAGGTGCAACTCGCATGAAAAGCCTCATGTCAAGTTCATTGTGATAAGTCACAAAAGGGCGGGCAGCTGCTCCACCGGCAATCATATTCATCATCGGAGTTTCAACCTGAGGGTGGGAAAAAAAGAAGAACTAAATGACAAAGATAGAAACGACACAAAAATGTAAGGCACCATCAACAAATGGCCATGAAAACGCAATGGATACAGAAGGCAAGTTGATGAAAGACTAACCTCCACAAAATCACGCTTGTCCAGGAAACTTCTAACATATTGAATGATCTTAGATCTGGTCTTGAATATTTGTCGAACCTCGGTATTCAATATTAAATCCAGATAACGTTGACGATAACGAGTTTCCTAGCAAGAAATACAATGAAGTTAACACGTAAAATAATGGAAAACGAGAACAGCATAAAAATTTGAAAACTTAAATGGGAATAACGTAAATTAACAAATCAAAAATTAATATATTGCATCTTGAAAGGGTGATCTAACTTAAGTCACTTTGAAACTCTCAATCTCAAGTCACTTTGAAACTCTCAATCTCAATTAAAATATAGATTGAAAGAAAAGGACAGAAACAAGGATTAAAGTGAATCCGACAAACCAACTAATCAAACTAAGACCTAATAGATAAATGAAGGTATAAGTTGAGCTGGGTAACTAACTAAAGGGCCAGAAATATATGTTCTTGAATTTAGTAAAGAATACGCCAAGTTACTGTATCTAAGATAGATAGTGTAAGGAATCACACATGCATAGACAGATATCAATAATGTGTATGCAAGTAAGTGAACATATTTTTTCTGCCACCCAAAACTGTAATCTTAGCGTCCTCACAGTACTGCAAAAGAAGGGTTTAAAAGTTTCTTCATCAATCAATACCTGGTCTTTTAAAATATAAGTTTCAGGATTCCTTGGGCTTCCTGGGACCCATCCATCAAATTTCTGCAGAAGTTTATGCAGTGGAGTCATGATAGGAGCACAGGCAGTATTAAAGCAGTAAAAATACAAACATTGCTCACCTTCACATTAGCATTATCAGAAGCAGGACCAGCTTTCTGCCTTGCCATCATATGAAGACAATGTGATAAGACTATAAATGATTTTGGGAAAATGCTCAGCTCCCCCCTCTTCGTCTTCCCTAAGAGAAAGAAACAAACAAACAAACAAAACAGACAATTGTATAATCCAGAAAAATGAACAGTTCATAGTCCCAAAACACACAAAATCCAGCAGCAAATTATATTACAAGGGTCAATTGATTTGAGAGAGAAAAACCAAAAATAAAAAAGCAGAAGTTATAGTTGATAACTGTAGAATGCCCAGGATCATGACATTATATACATAACATGACATGTGTCCCAAAATGGATTTTCAGGGGCCTAAAATCAGAGCTTCAGTCAACTAGACTGAACGGCAGTAAAGCCAAACCTTCTATGACATAAAGAAAACGGAATAGCTTGAAAGTTGTGAACTTATCATTAGACTAACGACCAGTCAGACCAGAACAAATCCATGAGTGCACGCACAAGAAGTTTGTATATCAAGTTTAACAAAGTCAGGAAGATGCAAATCATGTGAAGACTAAGCTACTATTCAGGAGATCTTCATGGAACACTGCACCCTTGTAATCTATTTAAATTTCACGATAACTTTTTAGAAATTTCCTCCCTAATCTTTCTTTTAACCAACCAAAGTTCTCAACACACACGCACAAACAAGATGAAGTGACTTATTAAACTGATCAATAATTACTTGATAAAAGAACTCAGATTAAACCTATCAACTGCTTGCCCATATAGTGAACAACAATTTCAAACATTCAATCAAATGGTCCTCGCCTAAAATATCGAGACTCTTTACATACAAAGAAAAGGATTTCTTTTTACTACTACAGACTAGCCTCTGTTGTCATTTAGACCCCTTGTTTCACTCTGATAGTGTCATAATTCAAGTCAATGCAGAGGAAATGAATGTGTTCTTATAGTGCTTAGTAAAAAACTATAACCTGGATTACACCACCACTTATTCTACTGAATCTTACAAAGACACTTCCTATAATGCTCAACTCAAATTTTAAATAAAAATCATACAATTCGAAAACAAATTATTATAATTAACAAGTAAAAGGTATATCACAGCTATTACAAACCTGGGAACCCAGTCACACCAACAATATCACCCCGCTTAACACTAGAATGGAACTTAGAAAATTCAGATTCATCCAACTCTGATTTGCTGCATGAAAAAAATGAAGTCCTTTAGTAATTTGATATTGAAAAGTAAAAGAAATAACTCAACAAAGGGGATATATTAATGTACTGAATAGATTAATTCAACCACGCATAAGGAGAAGCAAAATAGTTTGCATTTCTCTAAGCAGAAGTGAATCCAGAATTCTTCATGGGAGTGAGTGAGCTTCCAACCACACTTCAATACAATAATAGCTTTCTACTTTCTACAAGACCAACTTCATGCCATCATCTGATCAAGGTATTTTTATTTCATAGGTTTGGAAAATCAGATGGAAGATGAGAAAAGATGAAAAGAATCAGTTGCTCTTATTTACACATAAAAATAGTATTTGATGACTCGCAACTTCAGAGCAAAATCAAACTTAAACCAACTGCTATATAGAGTTTCACCAAATAAACTTTATATACTTGTACATGCTGTGTGTACATGCCTGCACATATATAGTAAATACAACTAAAAGCTGCAGGCAATTTTTAAACTTGGGTGGTGGGAGGATATAAAAATTGTTTCAGATAATAACAAATGCAAAGGTGGCAAATGTAGTTCATTGCATTGTTCTAGAGGCCAACTACATTAAGATCTAAACAACCAGGTATAAATTACCATATGAAAAGAAGTGGGGGTGGCAACAAATTTATACCTTAAATCAGCCATGACTTGGACCTTTCCACCACCAGGTCCGCCACCATGTAAATCATAAAAGAAAAGCTTAGAGCTGGAGGATCTTTTACTCATGATTCGCCCTTGCATAAGAGTGAAATTATTCACACCAACAAATAAAAATCGAAAGTGACAGATGATACTCTAAACAAATATAAACCCTTAATTTTGAATACCAGCTAGCGATACACTGATCTCATCACGATGCTCCCCATTGCTTAAGCCGTCATACTTCTCTACATATTCCAGCACAGTCATTGAAACAAAGAATTTGTGAGGATATGGATTTTTATTATCTGCCTTCTGGGTAGCAAGATACTTCAGCCTGTTTTCAAAGTATTGCTGCAACATGATCAAAAACAAAAGAACAAAAACAGATGAGGCTCGGGTCATAAATGAGTGAGAATAAAATTCACACAGAATACAATTAGATGAAAACTATATTACACAACGTATTTAATGTATACCGTTGGATCCATTTCTTCATCTTCAGTAGCTCCATTTTTCTTAACCTGTGAGCTTGCTGTGGCAGCAGCCTGTAAGATAAGTGCAAAGTTATTTAATATCAGACTTCATAATCAAATACGGTGAGCTTCTTTAGTGGACAGTAAGCAATCACACATTATTATTCAAGTGTATCCAGAGTTCAAGTGACTATTTAGTATGAATTCACTTTCAAGGTTGAAATATTAAATTTATGCCTTAAAACAAATCACCAGAATATATAAGATTTCTGCGAAACCAATACTTACACATAATTAAGCACGCCACTGTCAAATTGACGAAAAAGAAAATCACTACGATGTATCATGACTATTTAGTATCGACTCATTTTCATGTTTCATATACTAATTTTATATGACAAATTAACAACCAAAATATACCAAATTATTGGGTAAACAACACTTGCAGATAAGCAAATAATGTTCTGACAATTATCTACCAACATTTAGGGAATGAACACACCATCATTCAATAATTCCACCGGACCATATAAAGTTCAGGGAAGAGTCCTATACGTAGTTTACTACCCATATAATTTCCGTACTTATTTCTCCCTCGTTTTCAAAAGACCAAACAGAAAATAATAATTAATAAAAATAATAAAAGCAGAGACAAAAGGATGCTAAGAAAATGTGTACCTGCTTTGCCTTCTCCTCCTCTTTCCGCCGCCTCTCCTCTTCCTTCTGCTTGTTCTTCAGCTCCTTCTTGCGTGCACTGTAAGCATTCCACAAAAATTAAAATTAAGTCTAACAGCTTTCGTAGCTAAAAAAAAACAAAAACCCATATGGATTAAAAATAAAACAAAACGTTTCATGGACAGAAATGAACACATTTTTCCGCTCCCTGTTTGGAACCCAAGCCATGCCTAAAATCCCTCAATTCAAAGGCAATCCCTTTCTCAGGGACCAAACAGGGGTTCTTAGGCACTTACTTTTTGCTCATAGCTCCTTCCGATTCCATTGTCAAATCTGAGACCGCTTTCGTTGTTTCGTCAACAGTGCCTGCCATTGCAGCGACTCCTTATGTGAAGGGAGAGCAAGAGAGGGCTTTGTGGGGTTTTTGTGTGTGTAGCTAGGGTTTGGCAAATGGGTAAATATAGGCGGGTCGGGTCTATCGTTGCTTCTTCTTTTTTTGTTTCTGAATTGGATTGGCGGGTACAGAAATGTGATGTGGTATACAAAATGTAGTAAGAAGCATTACTCTTTATGATATGTTTTAACTTTTAAGTTCGACTTCTTAGCTTAGAATTTACGCCCAATAAGAGAATAAGGGAGCTTAGAATTTACACCCAATAAGAAAATGACACATGCTCAATCAAAGTTTGTTTCACGGGGAATAGAATAAGGGGGCTTGGAATTTACACCCAATAAGAAAATGACACATGTTCAATCAAAGTTCATGAAGACGAGTTTACTCGCGAGTCGATGCACGGGAAACTAACACGCTCATATTAACTAAGAGCATACGAGACCATTTACACACAGGTAATGTTAGTCTTACCACATTTATATATCATATTGTGTACTACCTTTCTAATAAAAGTGGAGCTCACCGTTACAATAGAGGTGGTACACAATGTGGTATATAAATATGATAATGCCTACCATTTTTCTTTACACAAATAAACAAAGGAGCACTACATAAGCAGACCAACCGAATGTCGAGCATGTAGGCCTTAAATTGCCCAAATACTTATAAGCAGAGGATTAAGTCCTACATGCTTATACTCAATTCAAACAATCGTAACGGGTAAGAACAAATCATGTCACGCATACAGAGATAATGAGGTTTGTTTGTAGGTTGAAGACAGCTTAGAGCGTTCACATTAAGTGCCAGTGGCATTTGTCGAAAAATCCTTTAGTTGACCGGGTTTAGCATCTCCCCTTTTTAATCCAATCAATGAAATTTTAAAGATGGGTGGCAAGGGGATCTAGCCTTGTGGAAAAAGGTCTTAACTCGTAGACCCGTAATCTCATATTCGAATCCTCATGGCCTCTTTGGTAGTGTGTGTAAGAAACCCTCCCTCCCCTTCTAGTTTAGACTATTGCTTGTACTCAAAAAAGAAGATGGGTATCGCTGTTAGCAGAGCAATATCACACAAGTACTAAATGAAGATAATGAGTTGAGTGATTGCATAAACTCATAGATTCCCAATTGTATTGTCAAACTACAATGTATGTTGAACAATCCCCAGGGGAAAAAAAAAAAAAAAAAAAAAAAAAAAAAAAAAAAAAAAAAAAAAAAAAAAAAAAAAAAAAAAAAAAAAAAAAAAAAAAAAAAAAAAAAAAAAAAAAAAAAAAAAAAAAAAAAAAAAAAAAAAAAAAAAAAAAAAAAAAAAAAAAAAAAAAAAAAAAAAAAAAAAAAAAAAAAAAAAAAAAAAAAAAAAAAAAAAAAAAAAAAAAAAAAAAAAAAAAAAAAAAAAAAAAAAAAAAAAAAAAAAAAAAAAAAAAAAAAAAAAAAAAAAAAAAAAAAAAAAAAAAAAAAAAAAAAAAAAAAAAAAAAAAAAAAAAAAAAAAAAAAAAAAAAAAAAAAAAAAAAAAAAAAAAAAAAAAAAAAAAAAAAAAAAAAAAAAAAAAAAAAAAAAACGTGTTCAGGCAGGTTTGAGCAGGGTCAAATCTACAGACCAAGCAAACCGCAGTTTTTACTTTAAAAAAAACATACCGCCGAGAAGATACTATAATTTCATTTATCATACTTGAAATAATATTGAGTCTTAGTTTTAGAAACTCTTTTTATGAACTCAAGCACAGACAGCTAATTCCGTCAGCCTTGGTCATGCTTGAACAATTTTGAGGTCTTGGTAAAGATTAAAGCAACCAATAAGAATACAAATAGTAATGTGAGGACCTGAATGAGTTGTAAGAGCTTAACAGAAAAACAGACCAGGAAATTGTGTTTTCAAATCATATGCTATTGAGAATCCTAAATGTTCAGCATCTTCACAATAGTGTATGTCAAACTATTATGGATGGTTATTTTTTTGGTACGGGTCAACTTTTGATTTTTGATATATTCTTTCTAACTGCATTTGCATTCAATAGCTGTGGTAGGCAATTACCTTCCATATAAACATGTAAAAGGTTGTTATTGCAGCTTTGCTGTTGAGATCAACAGATTTGGCTCGGTTCCAGAGTATCAAAGCCAAAATTACATGTCCCAAAACCTAAACCAATGCAAACACAGAACATATCAATATCTTTATTCTTGGTAAATTGTTCAGTTGTTAGCATACTAGTATCTGAAAAAAAAACCCAACAGTAAGAAGGGAATATGAAAACCCACTCAAGGTTCCCAAAAATATGGAAATTAATATGAATACAAACTGAAGTGGCTTTATTTAACACTTTAAATGTTTGCATTTGCGAGGAAAGCCAGTGATTTAGAATCAGAGCTTAAAGAGGGCTCAGTAATATTTAAGAACCCTTCGTGTTGGACACCGGAAATTCACAACATAACCCATTATTTCAGAGTATAGCAAGCAGCCTGTGAGAGAAGATATATTTAACCGATAAAATTCATTAAATTCGTACTTATCACTGTCTTCTTCATCATTATCCATGTGTAATTTCAAAATTATAGAGAGGAGAAGCTGAGCCATTCAATAAGCAGGAGTAATGAAGATTGCATAACACTCACTACTTTACTCTTGAGAGTTAGAAAACTAAAACATTACCGTGATGCATTTGCTCATCAGGAAGCCGGATGATGCTCCCACTAAAACGGCAACACCGTAAGCCATTTCAAGTAGTGAAATACAAATCCAAAAGACCTGCACAAAGATAATTAGGCAACAAAACAATATATGTAAAACCAATGGGTTGATGGATAGGAGGGTTGGTCCACGATCCTTCAATGCATTCTGGAATCCGTTACTGGACAGCCCCTCATACCACCTTAAGACCCAATAGGATATTACATATGTGCATATCCGTGTGTTAAAAGGTTACCCGCTTTTGTCCCAGACGTACTGTAAAGGACCGAATGCCGAATATTTTATCTCCATCAATATCAGGTATGTCCTACATGATTCCACAATATTATTAAAATTGATCATAATCCTTTAATTTCATAAGAACTACATGGATTGAAACAATAGCAAACGCATCACCAAAACAAGCACACAGCTTTAAAATAAATTTCCTACTGCTCTACTTGAAATGGGAAAGAAAAAAAAAGAAGAAGAAGAAGAGCTTTTACCTTAAATAATGCTATAACAACTGAGAAGAAGCTCATAAATGCAGTTGCAAAAATTAGTGGCCTAGAGAAGGCAGCTGGTCTTTTGTACACATGGATCTGGAAAATGTTAGATAAATTAGAACTCAACCACTGCAAGTGCACCAAACTACACGACAAAGATGCTCCATATTTACCAGTATCTGCATGTAAGACACTGCTGGTTTCCCTGATACCTATTCTAGAGTTGTACTGTCTTACTTTTTTCAGGTTTCTGTTTGAGCAATCAACTACTAATACTAACTAGTTAATACAGTATAGCCCTTTTATATTGTTCTGTTTTTCCTCAATTGCCCTCACTATATGTGTGATGTGTGTGCACATGCAGATATGTTTGTCTCTACAGGGCAAGGCTGGCATTGGGCAAATGTCAACGATTGCTTTGTCAGAGTGAGAATATAATGACAAAATAAATTTTTTAGCCCCCCCCCAGATTTAGCGGCTGGGATGCAAAAGAAAGAAAAAAAAAAAAAAAAAAAAAACAACACCTAAAAACAATCAATTTCTGAGAGAATGGGACAGTGGAATTGTATAAATTGATTGCTTAATAGAAAATAACAAACCTGCATGTGCAGGAAAAAAGCAAGTTGAACTATCACTGCCCGAACAGCTAGGATGCACATTGCCGCAACCACAGCAGATCTCTTCCATCTCAGTAGTGGCAACTGAGATTATAAAAGATTCAAAACCCATATTGATACAATTGTGTTTAAAGTATCATCACATTACTCATCAATTACATGCAACTTCAAACTGAATTAATGAAGAATATAAAAAATCAAGTCACAAACTACATAGGAGTGTTATGTGGTGGTAAGTACATTTCATAAGAAAATGAATAGGATGATCTGTTTGGTCAACATAACACTATGAAAAATATCATCCATTTTATTATTAAGAGATACCTCTTTGTCAACTTTTTAAAGGAACTCTCAAGCCCTTAGTACTTTAAACAATTGTTATTAATACATTTTAAGATTAAGGATAGCCTGGAAATTCACCCAATTCACTCTTGTCCAACAAACCCTACATTCTTTGTAACCATAACCACATTTGTACACACATAATGTATATAGTTATTAGTTAGGGGTACATACATTCCAATGGAGTATGCACATGCTCAGAAGCATGTGCAAGGAACATGCAGTGCATAAGGATGAGCAGGGATATGTCAAGAAATTTTTCCTAAACTTCATTCATCAGATTGGTTCACGAGTAACATATAAGCTTTCCTTGCACAGCTATTTAAGGTCTGTGAGACTATAAGATTATAGAGGAGCAAACAACTCACGTTGATTGAATAAGCAGTGCCAAGGACAAAACTGATGAAAAGGGCCCAAAACAATGGCCATGAACCAACAACCCATCCAAGCCAAAAGCTCTGTAGAAAAGAATGTTTCTAATCAGAATGTTTTTCAGTCAAGACTACAGCTTCAATACCCCAAAATTTTAAAATGAAGACATGTAACTTCATCAATTTAAATTATAACAAAAGTACATAATATCTTTTAGATATGACTCATTACATTTGATGTGTAATCCAGATTCTAATTAACTATTGAACATTTAATCCCAATTCCCTTTGTTTATTTACATTTAAATTTTACCTTTCAGGTGAACAAACAAGGCAAAGTTTATTAAAGGTTTTGTAAGGAAAAAAAATGACATCCAAATGTAGGTAATAGTAAGGTGGAAATGAGGACAAGCAACATATCTTGTTCATGGGGCACGTTGTAAAAGGTGGAAATGAATTCATAATAATTTTCATTCCAAACAGATGGTTGTCATAGAAGTGTACATTGAGACGAAGGCAGCAGCACTTCTTGACTCCATGATTATCCACATATATTAAGGTATTGGTATTATTCAGATGGCTGAAAAAATGGTGAATTTTATTTCCTTCAAACATGTCTTGCATGTTAACAATGAAGATGCAGGGTACGCAACTAGTTACAGAATAATAAAAAGAACCACTAAAAATACTCAAATCCTCAGATTTAGCCATTTTAACCAGGATAACTAAGATATCCATATACTTTATACCAAACTTCTAGTGAAATAAGAGGCAGTTTCATGCAAAGGTTAGGGAATTACATGTAAGGGCCCATTCGATAATTTTTGTTGTAATTTGAAAGGAGGTGAAGAAGTAGATGAAAGATGAGAGATGCAAAGCATAAGGAAAGAAGGATACCTTGAATGGCTTTTAAGATAAAATCTAAAGAACTGTTTTAAATGGTCTTCAGTATTTAGCTTCAATTTTATCCATTCACACTCTTTTCTTCCACACCTCCCTGATATTTCTCCCATCTCTCCCACTCTCTCATCTCTTTTCTCTTTAAAAAAAAGACAAAAAGAAAGGCAATATATATCTAACCAGCCTAAATGAAATTAGGTGTGTGTGTATATATATATATATATGTGTGTGTGTGTAGTCCACAATGCTTTTGATACCAGAATTAAAAAAGATGTCACAATCATGATGCCAGTCCCAACTGAATATTCCCCTGATGCCAATGGAAGATAAGGCTTGTGTAACCTGAAACACACAGCAACATAAGTATACAATTAGACAATTCACAAATGTTCCATGTAAATTATCTTTTGGTCTTGACTTCCAAGATTAGGCCAGAAAAACCTAAAGGGTGCTTAATAAATTGAAAACAGCTTGGTAAATGGTAAAGGGCTTCTCTCTCTCCATGTATGCACATGCACATCCGTGTGTGTAGAAGGCACATTTGAAATAACCAATTAGTGGGTAGCTTGATAATTCCAGATAAAAGAGCATATCCTGGAATTCTACCAGTCAAACCTTTCTAATGGAATGCCCCCTTAAAATACTGAAAGGTCACTGAATTTTCAATTCTTATTTCCCAAATCACTGCAATGGTACCAGTAAATTTACAACACCTACCTTGTCTATATCAATGTCAGACAACTGATTCAAACCAACAATGTAAATATTCATAAAGAGAGCAGCAACTACGGCCTGAAAAGTAAAATACCAAGTGTGTAAGAATAACAATAATGAATGTATCCATGTAATGCTTTCAAGTTATCAATATTAGAGGCATCACCTCCAGCACCCCTTTGAAAAATAAGGGTGAAAAATCTGACAGATTCTCGACTGCAAGGAGAGAAACTGAAATTATGCTCAATGCCTGCTCAGAGAAAAACTTGGGTGAGCTCTCTCTAAATTGATTAAAAACCAAAAAGGAAAATGGCAAAAAACTAACGACAATAATCCTAAATGATTGTTATTCATTACTAAATCTTAAACATCAATATGTGGGAGTTATATTTCAAAAGGCTAACTGGGATAACGGCAAGGATGACCATGGTTCTGTCAAAAACTTAACTGTGCCTATAACTGTGTGCGGCCTTGAAAACCTGTAAAAAGCATCTATGGCATTTTTGATAGAGTTCCAAATGCTTTTCGAATTATAAGCTCCAGGTTCGGATTCAAGAGGGTGACCAGCAGTAGCATTCACCAACAACCTTTTACCATGCCTCCTGTAGAATGCAGATTTTTCCTTAGTGTTTCTGGTGTGATGCTTCAAAAGATGTTGCTGAGACCCAACACCACCATATCTTTCCAAGATGTCCCATGCTCTGCTTCTTGAAACTCTGACTGCTGCATATGAACCTTTAAGTACAAAGATTGGGTTGACAATAAGTTTTCAACATGGAGGACTGAAAAAGGCAAATTATGCATCAGATGTTGTGATGGGATAGTCATACCTGAAAAGCTCTTGTTGAGATTGCCCCTTCTCCAACCGTTCCCACCTATGAGTTTTTATAGTGCATCAGAAAACACACCAAAGCAGAAACTCAGAAAGAAAGGAAAACAAAATTCTAAAACTGGTATGGGCAAAAGTATAGTCACATCAACCAAGTCATTTTCCAAACTGCAGAAATACAAAAAAATGTATTTATATAAAATGGAGACAAACCCGATGAATAATGTAATTTAGCTCAGTCTGTTGACTCTGAACTCTAAAGAAGGAACCTTTCAAGAGTAAAGATTTTCCCAGATAAAATACAGCTACACCAGCACAAATCAATAAAAACCAAGAAGTCAAAACCAAATGCATTGGTTCAGTCCCAGCATTTGAAGCATCTAAAACCCATTAGACCACTAATATTCAGGGGAAAAATAATAATCAGAGCCCTTAATTCAAGATCCAAAAAGTTCCATGTTTTCTGTTAACTGAAATCGCATACCTACACAAGCATTTGGAAAGGACACAAGAAGCGCAGAATCCATTGCTTCGGCCAATAAATGATGCTTCAACACGTCAAGAGACCCTCCAAGTTACTTTCTTTAAGCGAACTCAAAGCTCATTTGCAGGCTCTCATTAAGTAAATATTAAATAGTGGAATTATATACTAATAAAAAGATGCGGGTCCACTTTCTACACACGTGTTCAGATCGTTTCTATTTCACGATGTGGCAAAAGGACCCAGCGGAGACGATACCCTCGGATCGGATACAAGAGTTTGGAAGTCATGTGAACCAATGGGGAAATCTTTGTCTGTTTCTTACACGATCTAGGTCGACACGTATACTCCCGTACATCCCAGTGTTCATTACTTCACGAAAAAAAATATCTGTTAGCAACAAAACAAATTCATTAGGGCTATTCAATTAGGATAGTAGAACGTTTAAAAAGATTTTAAAAAATCTAGTTGTATGTAATTTGGATTTATACAAATTTTAAAAGATGTTCTATAGACTAGGTGTATTCAATTCAGATTTGTATAAACTTTTAAAAAGTCATACAATATGGGTGTATTCAATTAGGATTATTATAAAAAAAAAATTAGGATTATAAAAAAAAGTTGAATAAAATATGGGTGTATTCAAAAAGTCATATATTTGGAAGGATTTCATTGTGTGATAAATTTTGGTAGTTTTTAAGGTGAGAGCTATAAATAACAAGATCATAATAAATCCAACCTCCCCAATATATTTCATCAAACGCTAATTTTTTCTCTCTGCGTACACCCTAACTTTTCTCTTTGAAGACGAACAGCCTTCCTCCATCTATGAAGGTATGCTTCCTATTTTTTCTTTGATCAATATCTCGTTGGGTTTCTTTTTCCATTATTTTCTCTTCATCGTGTTTTTCTTGTTATTAGAGTATAGTTTGGGGTTATAAGTTTTCTTGTTATTAGGGCTTAGCTATGGGTCAGGATTTATACTTGACGTATTATATATTATATTATTATTATATAAGTTATATATAGATATTTGAGAATAGGAGATGAGTTGAGAGTAAGTACACCGACACGACCTACCATTCAAAATAAGTTGGTATTATATTTTTTTTTTTTTTTTTTTTATCACAAAAAATTTTTTTTTTTTTTTTTTTTTTTTTTTTTTTTTTTTGGAAAAGAGAAACTTCATTGAAGAGAAAACAACCCCAAAGGGAACAGAACACATGGAATGAAAAGGATAGCAGCATAGGGGACAGACCCGCCCACGAGCAAACAGAAAAAACAAAGCAGAAAGTAACAGAAACTAGAGGGCCACAAACTAGGACGTCAGCCTCTAGCCAACAGAAGGAGATTAACATGAGGGGCAAGACAGACCATCCAATTAACAAACACAAGGGAAGAAGGGGGTCTGTCAAGCCAAACCTTGTCTAAGCACAAGAACAAGATGTTTTGTTTCCAGCTGCTTTTAACAGATGCAAATTGCGTAAAAAAACTATAACAAGAGAGAAGACATGCTATACAGTACTCTACACTCAGAATTTGACATATGATCAAGCCCTTTTTTTTTTCTCGCCCTAGGATATCTATATCATTTTCCTGTCCAAATAGCTTTTGCTCGCTTTCTATTTCAAATAGAGAAACCAGGTTCAGATCTTCAATGGTGCGTCCCCTGTTTTTGCTACTCTGTTTGTTGAATGTCCAATCTATTTGGACCCAACTGTTTAACTATTGCAACCCAATCTATTTGGACAGCCACACTCTCAGTTTCATATTCCACATCTCTTGATTGCATGTTTCAACTTTATTATGTTGTGTGAGTTTGTGTATTTTTTTTTTTTCTTGAGATGTTCAATATCATCTCCAAGAGTTTGGTGGTCAAGGTCATGCACCTGCAATAAGTTGAGTTGTTCAATCTCATCCTTGAGGAATGTCATTGAGAGGATATTTGGTATATTTAAGTCACAATTCACAATTTTCAAGTCCGCACCTTCATTCCCATATACGACACAAACAGAGATAGTGTTAGCTTTTGTAGGACTACACAACTTTCTTAAAAAAGAGTGTAAGATTTGACGAATTTCCTGTTGAATTGGACAACAAATCTTCTTCATCTTCATCATTACCGGTTAATGAAGGGTATCCTAAACTAGTTTTTTAAACATAAGAACAACAACGACAGAATGCTAATGAATGGAGAGTTGGTATAGCTTTGAATATCTGGAGAGATGCCGGGCATAATGACAACAATGAGAATCAAGGATAATGAATGAATGTTAAATATTTTCCATAAACTTTGCTTTCAAATTTGTAATACATTTGTTACTATATTTTCTTGGGAATTTCTTATGAATTTTGCTTTTCATTAAACATAATTTTGTTTAAAATTTTGTTTCATGTTATTCAAGGAAAATATGTGTTTGAGTAACCAATATTCATGCTTACTAGCAAGGCATGCTCAAGGCATGCTCTTAATTGTAATACTATGGTAACTTGGATTGAAGAGGTTCCCTTCTGGCTGGAATCAATTGTAAACGATGACATGATTGTATCCTCTTAATTGTTATCAATGAGATCTTCTTTCACAAAAAAAACAAAAATTCATGCTTACTAGAGAATTTTGAAAGTGCAATCAGACTTTTTGATAAATGCAACCATGCAGCCCGGGCATCATATATGTCTAAAGAATAGGAGGAGATCAGTATATAGGATTGAGTTGGCCTGATTGGCTTTTTGATTGTCTAGTTAAGGATGCCAAAGTTAGCATTCGTCTTTAAAGAAATTATGGAAGTTTGGAATAAAAGCTATACAAATCTTAGGGAAGTTTATAATAAAATATATATAGAAATCTATCTGAAAGTCTATACGAAATCCAAAAGTTCCAAATTTGAAATTCTAAAAAAAAAAAAAAAAAAAAAAAAAAAAATTTAAATCTAAACTCTATAGAATCCTAATTGAATACACCTCTACTAAAGACATTGCGAGTGTGTTAGCACCAAAAAAATTAATGGAGCATAGATCTAAGGTAGGTCTATGCTCTGTTAATTTTTCTTTTATGATAAGAAAATTATATTTTGTTAATAATCATATAAAATGAAGAATGTGATAAGAGAGAAGGGAGAGGAGAGAATTTATTGTATTTTTCTTTCTCATAATTCCATATATATATATATATATGTATAGGGTCTTAGTATCTAATAGTACTCTTCTGCTCAATAACACTTGGTAGAAGAGTTCTATTTGGAGGGAGAGGAGGAGAGGAGGAGAAAAACTTCCCTGTCACAGTAATTCCACCATCAACATCCACATCAATATTCCAAAACCAATCCAATTCTAACAGCTGGCCACATACTTAAAAATATTTTATGCGTATTTTCTTCCACCTCTCGTCGGCTCGCTCTCTCTCTCTCTCTCTCTCTCTCTCTCTCTCTCTCTCTCTTCATTCCGTTCTCTCTCCAATCACTCATTCTCTCCATCATCGTCAACCACACACCTCTAAGTCGTCTTTTCCCAGTTCTCTCTCCCAAATGGACTTGAGAAAGATTGGTTTGGCTTCGAATATGTGGAAGAACTTGGTACGGTTTGGAGGAGAAAAAATTTATCCAGCGTCATTGTCTCTCCTCCAATATGAGGAATCTCTTTCCTTTTTTTTTCTTCAAATTTATTATCTATTGGAGAGTTTTGAAAAATTAGACATGGTGGAGCTGAGAAAGATTGTTGTTTTGATTTTGTCAGGAAACATTGAAGGTGCGGGTTGGGGGAAAGCTTATCATCTCCTTATTCATCATTTTTTTTAATGAACTGGTGGGCAAATCCTTAAGAACCAGCCATTTCATTACCAGTAACTATTATCCTTTTTCATCTCAGTTTAAATATATTAGAGATAAAATGGGGAAATTAATACATGATATGTGTGGGTGATAGAGTGACTAAAGAGGGAGAAGAATTAGAAGAACAAAGTTGCAAATTTTTACATACTCAAAGAGGAAAAGAGGAGGACAGAGAGGGATGCGGATGAGATGAGGAAGAAAATAGGCATAAAATATTTGGTAAACTTCCGAAAACCCCCTGGACTATTTCGACTGCCGAAATGTCCCCCTTAGATTATTTTTTCAACCAATTTAGCCTTCAAATTAAAAGTAATTGCCAATTTCACCCATGTTAGTTTTTCCCCAATTCCATCCAAATGCTCGTCAAAAACACCACTTGAAAGGCATGCGAGCCATCTAATGAGGGTAATATCATCATTCTATACCTCAGCCCTCAGGCCTCTTTGACTGAATCGTTCGTAAGATTAATTCTCAAATCAGAGTTAGGGTTTTCGAAAAAGGGTGAGAGTGAAAGAGAGAAAGTAACTGAAAGATTCGAAAAATGGTGAGAAAGACAGATTGTGACTGAGAGATTCAATTTGGGAGATATTTTGTGACTTGAAGATTCCAAACGAAGGTGCGACGGTAAAGGTAGAATGAAAATCAGAGATGGTGGGGAAGCTCCCATATACAGTAAGTAGCGTACTTTAGTTTATTTGTTTGATGCAATTGTTTGGGTTTTATTGTCGGATTTCATTTGCTGGACTTCATGAAAAAGCATAATAAAAGAAAGAAAGTGGTCCCTATGGTTGTTGTTTGTTAACTGAGACTTAGGTTGGGTTGTGAATGTGGTCCATATGCATGTTGTTTGTTTATTGTTTGTCTGGTTCTTTGTATGAGTTTGTATTGTATTGTATTGTATAGGGTAAATAGTAATTTTCTGTATAGGGTATTGTATAGGGTAGATAGTAAATGTATATTGTACTATACAGGGTAGATAGTAAATTAATGAGAAAATTTATTGTTGTGCAACTAATCCTGACACGTTCACACTTGAAGTATACCACGGGGGTTACTTTGTTGATGGTTTATATATGGGAGGTATTGTACAATGGGTTGATAGGCAAGATGAAGATGAGATTTCAGTGGTTGAGTTATTTGAAATGGTTAAACACCTTGGTTATGATGAGCAGAACATTCAATACTATTACAAGCACAAGACAAATGGTTGGGTTGAAATTAGGACAGATTAGGATTATTTTGGATCATTGAAGTTAGTGAAACCGAGCCAGCTGTTTGTGTTATACATAACTGACAATCCAGCACCTAAGCCTCTAAATGTTCAATCCCTAGTATTCTTTGCACAAGGTGAAAATGCTGAACATTATGAAGACACTTCTCATGGATATGATGGTGATGAAGAAATTAGGCAATATAAGTTTGTGGATGTTGAGATAGAGGAAGAATTTGGTGAGGCAGAGGAAGAAGTTGAGGTAGAAAGTGATGAAGCTGAGCAAGGTGGAGAGGATGAGGAAGAAGATGGTGATTTCATAGATAGTGAGTTTGAGCAAAGTGATGAAGTGGACAATATCAATTTTCAGAGGTATGTTGTAACTGAAGAGCAAGATGATGGACATAAAGAACCAGGTGATGGTGACACTAATGGTTATAATACATCAGACTTAGAGAGTTTGCCTGAATATACTGAAGATGAAGATGGCAAGAAGAGAGGTTTGAGGCAGCCAAAGTTCAAGCAGTACAATAGACATTATGACCTTTTAGATCCAAAATTCCACTTGGGATTGGAGTTTCCTAATATGCAGGAATGTAGAGAGGCTATAAAGTACTATGCATGCAAGTGTGCTAGAAAACTAAGGTTTGTGAAGAATGGCCCTAATAGGGTGAGGCTCGTATATAATGGTAATAAGGAGGTTGATAAGGCAAAGAGGCATATTAAGGGTGAAAAAGCAAAGAGGCATGCTAAAGGTAATAAGGCAAAGAGTCATAGTAAAAGTGATAAGAGTAAGAGGCATGCTAAGGGTGAAGAAGGTCAAGAGGGTGAAGATGAATCTGAAGATAAACTTGAAGACTGTCCTTGGTTATTGTATGCTGCACATGTTGGGAAAGGGTCCACTACTAGAGTGAAGACATACCATCCAATTCATACATGTGGCAGATCTCAAAGAAGTAGGTTTGCCACTTCACAATGGTTGACTAAAAGGTTTGATGAGGATCTCAGAACCAATCCTAACATGTCAGTTGCTGAGTTCATGACATTGGTAAGGAAACATTGCAATATAGATGTTACTAAGGGCCAATGCTACAAGGTAAAAAATTTGGCAAAGGAGATGATTCAAGGAAGCATTAAAGAACAATATGCAAAGCTGTGGGATTATTGTGAGGAGCTTAAAAGGCAAAACCCAGGAAGCACAGTTTTAGTGAAGACATCATTGAGATGAGATAATCTAGTTTTTGAAAGGCTTTATATATGTTTTGCTCAACTAAGGAAGAGGTTTATTGAAGGATGCAGAACCATGGTTGGTTTTGAAAGGGCTTTCATCAAAGGACAACATACAAGATAACTTTTAAGTGTTGTTGGGATTGATGCCAACAATGACATGTTCCCAATAGCTTTTGCTATTGTGGAGACAGAAAGTAGAGACACTTAGACATGGTTTTTAGAGATATTCTTCAATGATGTTGGGGCAAGAGGTACTGAAAATGAGTGGGTTTTTATCACTAACAAACAAAAAGGATTGGGGTAAGCAATTGAGGCTTTAAAGCCAGATACTGAACATAGGCATTGTGTAAGGCATCTGCACAATAATTTCAAAGTTGCTGAGCATGATAGTTTGACACTTAAACAGAGGCTATGGGCTACTGCTAGAAGTACAACACTTCCTTGATGGGAAGCTGAGATGGATAATATTTTGGAAATATCTACCCTAGCTCATGCATGGCTTAAGGATAGGCCAGCAATTCATTGAAGCATGTCACATTTTACTACTGAGCCCAAGTACTGCTGAACAATTTATGTGAATGCTTCAATTTAGCAATTTTGGAGGCAAAAGATAAACCAATAATCACGATGGTGGAAAGGATAATAACATATTTGATGTTGAGAGTTGCAAGACAAAAGGATGTGAAATGGACTCAAAACGTTGGGCCAAGGATATTTCAGATTATTGAGAAGAATTTGAAAGAGAGTGGCTCATGCATTGCACATAATGCAGGTGGAAACAGGTTTCAAGTCACCCATATGCTTGGTGGGCAATATGCAGTTGATCTAAATACTCACTCATGCTCTTGTAGAAAATGGGATCTTTGTGGCATCCCATGTTGCCATGTCATGGCTGCTATATCAAGGCAATAGATGAGCCCAATGAGTTATGTGAATGAGGTGTGTAAGAGATATGAAGATGGAGAGGAAGAGGAAGAGGAACCAGCTCAGTCCATCAATATGAAGAGGAACAAGTAAATAATGTGAAATTGTGATTAATTTCAATTGTTTTAATTGTGATTAATTTCATTTGTAGGCAATTAGAGGAGGGTTGACAAGGACTGCAGCCACTGCAAGCTAAGTAGCTCCAACCAATGTTGCTACCCAATCAAGTGGAACCAATGTTGCTTCACAACCAGCTCCTTGCAATTTAGCTTCACAAGCAAGTCCAAGCAATGTTACTCAAAACACTTACAGGCCATAAAGGAAAAGGTTCAAATCCCCTGCAAAAAAGGAAAGGCCATGGAGGTAAAATACATAATGAATTAGGATGGATTTTGAAATGTATATTTTTAATACATGGGTTGGTAGATGTGTGTATTTTGAACAGATGGCTCTTTTGGATGGATTTTGGATGATTAAGCAATGGTGGAATGTATATTTTGTAGTAGAAGTTCCCCCCACTGTATTTTGAACTGATGGCTATTTTGGATGGAATTTGGATGTATTTAGGTTGGGTTGGAATGTATATTTTGAACAGATGGCTCTTTTGAATGAATTATGTTTCTGTTGTAATTTTGGATTAGTGTCTTTCCCTTGCTTTTGTTGTATTATGTTTGCAGTTTCTGAGTATTTTACCTTAGCTTGTGCCAAAGGGTAAGTATCACCTTAAACAAGCTTAAAAGACAATTATATGCTTATATTGAAGTTGTGCTAGGTTAATTTGGTTTTGAATACGACATTGTTGAATGACAACCAAACCCATCATTGAGTTTACAAGAACTAAATTCAGATTTGGGCCAAACTTCAAACTCATCCAAAAATTGTGTAATCTACATTTAACCTTAAAATGTATAATGAACCAAATCAAAATGCCACTGCATTGTTTAAGCCAAAATAAGACACAAAAATGCCACTACATTCAACCAAATCAAAACCTAACATACTTTCAACCAAATGAAAAGCTAACTAATAAAACAAACAATAATAGAATCACAACCAAACAACTCAGCAGTAGCCTTCAAATTTTTTCTCTATGTCTCTTAGCTCTTGCACAATCTTCTTGTCTTTAACTCTTTTCTCTTCCAATGAGTTGATTCGTCTCAACAATCGACATATGACATGTTTGGCCTGCTCAGACATTTTTGGGTCCTTCTAAGCCTTCCAACCACAACCACCACCATACTTCTCTCTACAACACACATATAGCCTCCTCCTTGCATTTTCATCAGACTAGCAAACAATTGTTTTAGCCTCAAATCCACACCGGCAGATACGCACCATATCATCCTCCGTAATAAAAGTGGTCGAACTTGATTCGGTAGAAGCTGCACGTATGTTCTTATGCATCCTATCTTCAACTGCAATTTCTTCTCTTTTTCGTGAAATTGATGAACATCAGCGACATGAGAAGGTTGGATCGCTTGGAAATAGGGTTGGGTTTTGTCATCAAGGGTGTTGTGAAGAAGATGTGGTTTCTATCGAATCTCCATGTCTGAAATGAAGCCTATAGGGGCTTCTTTCGTTCGAATAAAAGGGGGCTGAGGGCTGAGGTATAGAATGACGATATTACCCTCATCAGACGGCTCACGTGCCTTTCACATGGTGTTTTTTATAGGCATTTGGATGGAATTAGGGAAAAACTAACGGCATGGGTAAAATTGGTGATTACTTTTAATTCGAAGGCTAAAGTGGCTAAAAAAATAATCCAAGGGGGACATTTCGACAGTCGAATAGTCCAGGGTGTTTTCGGCAGTTTACCCTAAAATATTTTTAAGTCTGTTGCCAACTGTCAAAATTGGGTTGGTTTGGGATACTGATGTGGATGCTGAAGGTGGAATCATTGTGACAATGAAGTTTTTCTCTAGAGGAGGAGATGCGTTGTCTTGAAGTATCCATAATGGTTCTTTAATAGTTTAATAAATTGAATTTTTTTTTGCATATATTTAATTGAAAATAAAAGAGACAATAACACTAAAAATTGTACCATTGCAATATTCTAAAAAGATCTTTAAAAAGATACCAATTTTGAATATATTTGAAAAAAAAATTAATTGATGTATTTTTGTCTATTGTATTAAACTATTGAACAACCATTGCAAATGCTCTTAACGACATAATGCATTAATTGTTGTATTTTTTTTTATTGCATTTAACTATTGAACAACCATTGCAGATGCTCTTAACAACATAATGCATTAATTATTGTAACTTTTTTTTCATTTTTTATTGCCATGTGGGTACCATGGTTAGCCTATTGCAATTGCAATGGAGGGTTCATCACATTGCACCCTCTATTGCAATTGTATCTATTGCAATGAACTAAATCACACCATTGCAAGTGAGATTTTATTGTTTTCGTTCAATATTATGCAATAAAATTGCATTGATCCTAATCATTGTAGATGCTCTTAGTGTTGTCTTTGTATCAATTTGTGAAAATGAGGATATTAAGGCTACAAAAATCTTAAGAGGGCTCATGTGTATTTTAACCTCAATATAGCGCCTTGTTGTAAAAGAGGTCCAACGAGGGTATGCAGAAACCCGTCAATTTCAACTTCGATACTCATGTCATGCCAAATGAAAATATAACTAGGCATGTAAGGAGGTCACAATGAGCTTGTAAAAATGTACTAGTTCCATAAACCCATACTTATTGTTTCGTCAAGCATTACCTAACACGGCCTTAAACCATTGCAATACAAAGATGCCTGAGCACAAGCATGCGAGTAATATGCAACACCTAGCAACCCTCTTGTTTTAGTGTCAAACCACCGAACAAGCTTAACTAGGTCCAAGTCACATAATGTATGGGGCTTGCTAAGTGTGTTAGGGTATAGATAGGTACGAAGGTCCATAAGGCCCACGAGGGTTCAAAAGGTGGAGGTTTTGGGCTACTGGGGGCACCAAAACCCAATCCCACTTTCTTAAGCCCAACTACATGGGTAGTAGAGAGAGAATCCCAGCACCCCTTTTGTTGAGATCGAACAAGTTTGTTAAATGCTTATGTAACACATGTGGATATGGTTGTAGTGCTAAGATGGACCACATATGACACATAAGCATTAGAACCGGATCGGATACCAATTTGTAGATTCAAGTTGGGTACCAATTGGAAACAAACCTCAAAATTCACATAGTTTTGTCTAGTGTTTTTTATGTGGCCAAAGTTAGGAATGAGGAGGGGTTTTCTCTCACACACTAACAAGATGCAGGGTTCGAACCTGAGACCATTTATCTGCAAATCAAAGCTAATTTCCACTAGTTTGTTACCTTCAATAATCAAAACGGTGTGCACCTCTACCTTCTATTGTTCTAATTTCTCCTAACCCGGTAGCCCCACCACCGACCTACAATTCATAATTTTTTTTGGACAAACTACATAAAACCCCCAAAACTATAGGATCATTTTCAAGTTTATACCCACACTCAAATTCCCGAAAATCCTACAAATTTCCCCCTCCGTCACCTAAACCGTTAGTGAATATGTTAAATGCTGATGTGGTAAATGTGAGACCCATTTTTTGATGACGTGGATTTCCAAGTGGACAAAAAATTATTAATAAATTATTATATTGTTTAAATTATTTATTATTGTTAAATTAATTTAAAAATTAAAAAAAAAAATCTAGCAAAACCCAACAGCCACCTCTAGCAATTTCCATTTTGGATTTTGAAATGTTTTGTTTTCTTAGCAAACGCCCTGGGACATCTAAATCCATGGATCCAAATAGAGTGGAAGCCGAGCGCTTGCTTAGAATCGTCAAGAAGCTTCTACACAGCCGAGATCTGAGCAGCTGCCATGACTTCGCAATTCTGGCTCAAGAGATCGAGCACCTATTGGAATGCTTAAATCAGATCTTGGCTGTCGCTGATGTGCTCTTGGTTGCCGACTAGCGCGTAAACAACCACCCGACTGGTACACAGTTCTCCAGGTCAAAGCCCATGGCGGCTGGAGATGGATATGGGTCGAGAGGAGAGATGACGCAATTACCAAACTTCATCTTCATCGCCAAATTGCCGCAATCTTCATCATCGAAGCCCATCTTCATCGCCAAACCTAGGATATGGGTGTCTTGATTAATTTTTGGGGGAGAAAGGGAGAGAGAAGAGAAAGAGATCGAGAAGGGGGTAGGTGCGGTTGATTGAGCTATGGTGGTGAGTGGTTGGTTAGGCTACAGTGGTGGGTGGTTGGTTGTGCTATGGTGGAGGCTGCTGGGGTTGGTTAGGTGGAGAGGAGAGAGGGGAGATAATTTTTTGTTTTTTGTTTTTATTTATTTTTTTAATATAATTTAATATTTTTAATATTTGAAAAAATAAAGAATTTTTTATTAATTTTTGTCCTCTTGGAAGTCCACGTCATAAAAAAAATAGGTCTCACATTTGCCACATCAGCATTTAACAGCTTTACTAATGGTTTAGGTAACGAAGGTGGCAGTTTATAGGGTTTCCGGGAATTTAAGTATGTATACTTAAATGTCTCTAAAGTTGGGTATGAACTTAAAAATAACCCTATATTTTGGGGGTTTTATGTAATTTGCCCCCTTTTTTTTTCTTCCCCCAAACAGAGACTTCGGGCTGTGCCAGAGAATTCTCCTTTTATTTCTTTTTTATCCATTTGGGGCTAAAAAATAGACCAAAGTCGTTAAAATGAAGCCGACCATCCGTTAGGCAGGCTTGAGCTAATTTGCAAAAACACTGCCCACCACTCGCTCATATCCCCCAACCTTTCAGACACTCTCCACCTCCTTCCTTCCCTTCCGTTTCCGGACAATCGATCTCTCTGCGTTTTGCGGAACAACAATTTCACAATTTCATTTGATTTCTCATGGGTTGAAGGAGAAGACCAATTCACCGTTCGACTGATAACAAGCAACAACAATGGAGTGGGATAGCAATTCGGATCTGAGCGCCGAGGAAGAGGAGGAAGAGGAAGGGAGCTTGATTTTCAACGAAGACGACGAAGTTTCGGGCCCCGGCCCCGGCCCGCTTCCCTTCCCCGTCGAGAATATGCTCCGGACGGCGCCGTGCGGGTTCGTCGTCACCGATGCTCTCGACCCGGACCATCCCATCATCTACGTCAACACCGTCTTCGAAATGGTCACCGGGTACCGAGCGGAGGAGGTTCTCGGTCGCAATTGGTCAGTTTTCTCTTTTGGGTTTTTGATTTTAGGGTTTGAATTGGGGGTTTTGTGGTTGAATCTTTGGTTTTGATTGGGGGTTGAATTGGGGTTGTTGGAAATGCTTGTTTTTGGCTGCTGAAAACCGTGGGGCGGTTATTTTTTGCTTAGTTAGAGGAGCTGCATGATTGGTTTTGTGGATTGAATAGTTTTTCTCTGTAGTGGTTGTGGTTGGCATTTGGGAGCTCATGTGCTTGTGAGTTGTCTAGGGTTTTGTTTGGGCTCGTAAATTGGATGCAAAGAAGCAAATTGGAGTTGCGAGTAATTGGTTTATTGATTGATGTGGTCAGATAGGTAGTCATGACGGGGTTATGAGACTAGAGATACGGCATATTGTTTCCTGTAGTCCCTCTCATGCTGTAGTTGTTAAAGAAAATGACAAATTTCAGGATATCATTATAACGAAATTTAATGCAAAGGGTTTTGTTCTAATATTTGGGCGTTGCCTTGTTGGGCTTGTCATCCTGTTTCTCCTTTTCTATCATAGTTTTTGATATTAGTGTTGATTATAAAAGATAATTTGATAAAAGAAAGGAAATAATTGAAAATGGAATGGACAGGTAGTCCATCTAGGTACACCAATTAGAAAATACAGAGCAAAAGGAACAAAACAAGCCACATTCAATATAGAACTCCACCCCAGTCGATGAATCATGTTAAAGGTAACATCTCTAGAGTGCTTAGACATCCAGAAGGTTTTTGTTTTTTTATATATCATATCTTATTAAGTTTATTTTTATAAGAAGCATTCTCCACCTCTACTCTAGAGTAGTGTGGCGAATTTGCTAGCTGCTTCTATAATGCTTGAGAGCTATTAGCAAGTTCATTGACACAGATTGCATTCTTTTTGGTTTGATTTAGTTACACTCTATCATACTGTTAAAGTCAAAGCTTTTATCTTTCTTCAAATCTATTAGTGGTAGTAATTTTATTGAAAAATTACATCTTAGGAGTGTTTTTTAGGTGCTTTATCTGTTAGTTGAACTTTTTTTCTTTAAAAGAAAAAAAATGTAAAGGCTTCATGTGTGTCATGGTTATTTGCCATATTAGTATCATATATCTGTGGAGTATCTCTGAACCTGTTTAATATGGCATGAATTTGTTTTTATTTTTATACTTGTAATTTAGCACCTCCAAAGATTCTTTAGGTAAAGGTTTGCGTATATTTCTTTCTAGGAAATCAATTGTGCATGCTATCATCTATTAACACCGCAAAGATATGCAAGTATTTTATTCTTTTTCTTTTTCTTCTGAAAATGGATTTTTCCCTTGGATATCTTGGGAGTTAGATTGTGTTGGCATGCATATTCTCTACATTTGGTCAGCGATCGGGAACATTTGGTTTAGGTTATTGGAAACCAGGGTATATTATTTTGGTTTTGGGTTGACTATCTTCTAATTTCATACTTAAGCAATTATTGGATATAACTTAAATGAGTACATTTTCATGGTTTTTTTCTTAATAATATAGGATTGACTGCATATTGTGAATGCTGTTGTCTTGGAATATGAGGAAGTTCTTTCTTCCATTATTCTTTCTTTTTGCTTATTTTGGATTAACTTCATTATTGTTTTTATCCATCATTCTGATTTCTAATTGCTTAGGATTGTGTGGGGGTATTGTTTATAGAAATTAAATGGTGTAGGGTTTATCTATATCACTAGTGCTAAGAATGGGTATATAACTAAATATCTCTTTTTTTTCTTTCCTTTTTTTCTTTTTAAAAAATGTGATCAATGTCTAAGTTGGTTTGGTGTTGGGTTCAGGTGTGCCTTGGTTACAGTTCTAGTCGAACTTTTAATTTTATCAAGATTCATATTCTAGATGGTATCTTATGTGATCCTTCTAATCTTCTACCATTGTCTTAAATAGTTGCGTTACAACAAATGCTTATTGTTGAACAAGTTTTTTTAAGATTTTGCATGGATTAAAAGCACATAAAGAAGAAAGTGAACAAGTCTCCTTAGTGTTTTAGATGCACTATACTGTCTCTTAAAAACATCTATTATCATAGGCTTTTCCTACCTTATATGAAAATCTTCATAAGCCTTTAGCAACCATGAAGTAATTGGCCAGCTTAAAGTAGGATAAAGCTTATATATTCACCACTGAATTGCCATTTCATGATACTGCTTAAGCATAAAGATTGTGTTGGTAGAAAGGAGTATGTTGTTGGAGGTTACAGACATTGTTATACATATCCAACTTGATTCAAGTGAAGTGCCCTTGGGTTTTAATGAAGTAGTAGATAAACTAGAAGTGTTTTATAAAAAGTTTGTGCAACCAGGGGGCATTCTTGATCATGCAAAATGAGGTTCAAGTTTCCTTGACATGATTCGACTTCAGTCTAGAGTTGGACCTAAAATTGAATACAAAATTGCGCACCAATCGCTATCGGAATTAAATAGGTGTAAAAAAGATCTGTGTTAACGCTATCATGGAATATTAACAGAAACCATGTGAGATTTTCTGATGGGTATTATTCATTTTACATGCCTTAAGAGTGGTGCAGTCTTCAATATTTTATAAGGTGTTAGACACTAAAGGTCACCTGCTTATGCCGAGTTCCTTACTAGTCAACACTTATACTTGTGACCTGCATGATATTAAATTACGAAAAAAAAACAAACATGATTTAGATGCAACACCCTTGAATTCTTTGTTATACTTTACAAATAAATATTTGAATTTTCATTTGGAAATTCCTAAATGCGCCAGTTTGCGAGCCTCTTTGTGTTCGTGGCTTAAATGAGTTATTAAGATCTTGAACAAGCGTGTGGAGTTTTAGAAGGAAAAGCTTGAGAAAAAAATCTAATCCAGTCCAAGAATGTTTGATCATCACATTTAGGCATAACTAAGCTATCAGGATGTTGATGAAGCAAGCCTAGTCAATTATCAAGCGTTTATAATCTATCTATCTGAACTATTTTGTATTTAAATATCCTACAATGATGAATTTTGCCTTTAACGGCTATGTTGTAGAGGAAAGGGTTTGATTCTTAATCATCATTTCGGGTTGGGACATATTGGACCGAAAGAAGTATAAAAAAGCTGATGCAATAGGGATCGTACTGTTGGGGCCAACTGCAATGCGGTCTAATAACGCAACCCTTCTAAATTTAGATTTCCATTTAAGAATTATCCATGCGAAAAATCAGAAGAGCCGAAATCTCGTAAATGGAAATCTGAAAATTAGTCGGTTTTGATCCTTCAACCACATCGTGAGGTGGCCTGGACAATGGAATCCCTTTTGGTTCTTATGGAAAGGGCGTAAGAAGGAGACTTGTAGATTTTTAAAGTCATGTGTTCATTGAAATATCAATTTTACATACTACATGAAAATCAAACCCAAAATCTTTAGTTTGAGTTGTTCATTTTTTAAGTATGTTCGCTCACTAATAGGCTTCTTGTTTAGCTATATGTGACATTTTGTTTGGGATAATGTTTCAAATGGTATTGCTAAATTCATTGTGTGTCTTTTCAAATATTCATAACAGAGGCGCTTTCACTGTTTTGGTTTTAAAAAGATTGTTTACATCATGCCTCTTGATCCTGATTGTTCATGTACTAGCATTTTATTGGGTTGACCATCCACTGTTAAAGCAACGCATCCTTCTTGACTCTTGTTAGAAGAGTACTACTCTTCGTTGGGTCATGTGAACAGAACAACCAAATCAAGAACCCCAACTATCTAATGGTTCTCCCGCACTTGATGCAATTAATAGAACATTCCTAATAGAATCGGAGCCTTTGAATTTGTGATTATGGTATTAATGTAGTACAGACCGTAGGTGTTAGATTAAGCACTTAAACAATAGAACATAGAAGAATATAAGAGACTGAGGAGATGAAATATAGATCGAAAAGACGAGACAAAGGGCAGAAACAGTAGAACAAAGAAGAATATCGGAGGTCAAGGAGAAGAAAATATAGATCGAAGGGACGAAATCAGAGAGTTCTAGGAAAAGGTTTACTCAACATTCAAATTTTAATTTTAAAGAACTACATGGGGGTATTTATAGCAAACTAAAACCTAGACATAATAGGATAAAAATCCCTTGCTTAAACAGAAATCCTAACCCAAATAAAATAGGAAACTTAAAACTAGAAATCTGGAAAAGTAGAAATCCTACCAGAAGGAAAACTAGAGAATCTAGGAAACTAATAAATTTAGGTCCTACGTGTCCTGCATCAGGTATCAATGACCTTGCCTCAATCTTTGCCCTTAGCTTAGGATAATTAATCTTAATAGTCATCTGTCATGAAAAGAATAACACTCTTTGTCCTTGTGATTCCTAGAATTTGATCCATCATGGGCCTTAAGAATCAGATGCAGTGTGTGGTCCATGGTTCAATCCATGGGAGAAAATATTGTTGTTATTATTGTATCCGAAGTAGATTGACCTTGTGGGAAAACAAAAGATTGAAGTTTCACAATTTTTTAGTACTTGCGAGAGTTGTAATTTTTGTCATTATTTATATATCTGATAAAATTGTTGCTTTTCGTTATATAGTATTGCAAAATCGAGATTAAATCAACAATGACAGTAATTGAGTCAAAACAACAATATCAAAGCTGCAAAAGTGTAAAGGAGACTGCTGTAAAATAGCCTGATTTTTGGGGAGGTCAGTTTAAATTTTACTATATCTTTGACATTTGGTTCTATTGTGATTAAACTTGACCTTATTAAAGGCCTTGAAGCAGTAACTGTGAACTTTGAGTTTGTTGCTATCTGCTGCAAAGAGTATAATTGTTTTATGTTTGGAGATATCACAAATAGTGCTTTTGTGTTCCTTTTAGTTTGCGGGCTCTCTTTTGTTGGATTTGGATGTTAGCTTAAAGAAATAATGCATCTCTCTCTTCTCCCTTTCTCTGTTTTGTACTGATTTTGTGCCCTTTTCTACAGTCGATTTTTGCAATATAGAGGGCCATTTGCAAAAAGAAGGCATCCACTAGTGGACTCTGCAGTAGTTTCAGAAATTAAAAGATGTCTGGAAGAGGGTATTGAATTCCAAGGCGAGTTATTAAACTTTAGGAAAGATGGATCTCCAATGATGAATAGATTGCGGCTGACACCTATATATGGGGATGATGATATGATAACCCATGTCATTGGAATCCAGTTCTTCACAGAGGCAGATATTGATCTAGGTCCAGTTCCTGGTACTTCAATCAAGGAGTCTGCAAAATCTTCTGACAGGTTTCGTTCTTATCTTTCTGCTTTTCGTCCTGCTGTTCTCTTGGGGGAGCGAAACATATGTCGTGGGGTTTGTGGGATGTTGCAATTGAGTGACGAGGTTCTTGCTCTCAAGATTCTTTCAAAGTTGGCGCCTAGAGACATTGCATCTATTGGGTCAGTCTGTAGGAGACTGTATGACCTTTCAAAGAATGAAGACCTTTGGAGGATGGTCTGCCAAAATGCATGGGGTAGTGAGACAACTCGTGTTTTAGAGGCTGTGCCTGGTGCAAAGAGGCTAGGGTGGGGTAGGCTGGCACGGGAGCTGACCACTCTTGAAGCAGCAACATGGAGAAAGGTGACTGTTGGAGGTTCTGTTGAACCCTCACGATGTAACTTTAGTGCTTGTGCAGTTGGGAATCGTGTTGTCCTTTTTGGTGGTGAAGGGGTCAATATGCAACCGATGAATGACACCTTTGTATTGGATCTAAATGCCAGTAACCCAGAGTGGCAGCATGTCCAAGTGAGCTCTCCTCCTCCTGGCCGTTGGGGTCATACACTTTCTTGTGTGAATGGGTCCCATTTGGTGGTATTTGGAGGCTGTGGAAGGCAGGGCTTGCTAAATGATGTTTTTGTACTGGATTTGGATGCAAAGCCTCCAACTTGGCGCGAAATATCTGGGTTGGCTCCTCCGCTCCCAAGATCATGGCACAGTTCCTGCACTCTTGATGGCACCAAGTTGATTGTTTCAGGTGGTTGTGCAGATTCTGGAGTACTCCTTAGTGATACTTTTTTGCTTGATCTCTCAATGGAGAAACCTATTTGGAGAGAGATACCGGTAGCATGGAAGCCTCCTTCCAGATTGGGTCATACGCTGTCTGTATATGGTGGTAGGAAAATTTTGATGTTTGGGGGCCTGGCCAAAAGTGGACCACTTCGTTTTCGTTCTAGTGATGTGTTCACAATGGATCTGAGTGAGGACGAACCGTGTTGGAGGTGTGTTACAGGGAGTGGAATGCCCGGTGCTGGAAATCCAGGGGGTATGGCTCCTCCGCCTAGACTTGATCATGTAGCAGTGAGCCTCCCAGGTGGGAGAATCCTGATCTTTGGTGGTTCAGTTGCTGGTCTTCACTCTGCCTCACAACTTTATCTCTTGGATCCAACAGATGAAAAACCTACATGGAGGATATTAAATGTACCTGGGCGACCCCCAAGATTCGCTTGGGGACATAGTACTTGTGTTGTTGGAGGGACAAGGGCAATTGTCCTTGGTGGTCAAACTGGAGAAGAGTGGATGTTAGGTGAACTCCATGAGCTTTCGCTGGCAAACTCTGTAATCTGATTAAGAGTGTACATGGGAACACGCTGTAACCAACAGTCACATAAGCCTTCAACTGCAAGATTTGAGATCATTCTGAGGATTCAGCCAGGCAGAGATTGCTGCTTCAGTCACTAATAGCTCTTGACAAATGTTACTTTAGTCGGGACTTGTTTTGGGTGTTATTCTACTGCACATTTCTTATATGGAATTGCCCTGGCTCGGATGAACTTTCAATTATTTTCAAGAGTGACTTGAACCATGTTTGTTTTTTGTGAGGTTTGTGTGAGACTGCCCTTCAGTACGGACAAATGATTAATTCTTCCTTGTCAGGTTAGTAGTATATAATGGACAGGTAGGTTTATATATGTAGGCTTAGTCTTATGATGCGTATGTGTTATTTTAATTAGGTTCTGTAATTTGAACCAAAGGAGAAAATGATGCATGTTTATAGTAATGTATTGCTAGTCCTCTTTATGTAATGAATCCTTTGTTCATCTATCCTTCATTCGTTTACAACGTGTCATCCAGCTTAAAAGATACACAAGCAAAGATTGTGAGGCAGATTTCTGAAGAAGCCAGCACCCCAACTCTGCAGAACATGGAGGTGCCATTTTGGGGTGCAGATCAAGTTACCAAGATGGTTTATTGAGATTTGACAATTTTCAGCCTTGAAGGAATGTGGCTTCTTTTGTTTGCTGCCCCGATCTTTGCTCTTTAGTTTCTCTTTGATGTTGTATACAGTTTCGTCTTTTTTACTCGTCCAGATACATTTCTTTCTGTTGTGTAAATTCGACTGTGGCTGTGGTCCTGTTGTTCTCATTTGTATGCACTTGCTGAGTTTATGACATTAGGCCATTGCAATTGCTGGAATGATAATGATTGATTCGGATGGGTCTTGCCTCTGCTTTTGCTTTAAGTGGGTTAGGAGCGAACAAATTCTAGACCAAGGATAAAGATGATTTGATTTCTTTAGAATATCATTCATGTGTTCTTAGAAGCATTTTACTTTCTTTCTTTCCACATATTTTTTCCCCTTGGACTTTTGTGTTTCACATTCTTCTGGATGCTACTTTTTATTTTAGGGTTTTTAGTAGTCAGTCCTTTGTAGTTGTAGGTTCTCATTTCAGTCTCTTGGCCTCGCCAACACTTTAGTAGGTTACTCTGGGTGTCTGGTAGTAAAGTGAAACTCAAGATTATGCCTCTGGTCCGTCTCTGTATGTTTGATGAAGTTACATGGTACGGAGAATGATGGAATTTTCAAGACTCCAAGCAATTTAGATGGACAAAACCAGATTTAAAACCAGGGAGAGCTGTAACTTCTCAGCGTCCTGTTGGACGGTGTTGGAGCATGGATTAGGGGAACTTGCATATTAAAGTTACGAAGTTGTCAGTTACACGTCGACCCCGATAATCTACCCTCCAATTCAACTTTGCTGATTAGATTTCTTCATTCTCTCAATAGTGTGAAGGAAAGTGAAATATTGAAACAGGGATTCATGTTTCACTATTCATAGACAGTTGGTTTTGCTTTTGTTCTTGGGAAACAGTGAGTTTTTTTTTTTTTTTTTTTTTTTTTTTTTTTTTTTTTTTGGGGGTCGAAACACACTTTCATTTAACGAAAGGGAAAGAAAGGCACAGCCCCAATACAAGCTAACAACTGTAAAACCCCAGGGAGTATTACAAAGAGCCACATAGGCCTGGTTGGCGGTTATTTTTTGTGGAAATTGAGTTCTCCAGAAAAATTTAGGTTGTCTTGGGAAATCCATTTAGAGCATGTCCAGCGTAGGCCCTTTTGCCAGGGCAAGAGGCCCCTTTGCAGGGGTTTGGACCTCCAGCGCGCAACCAGCGGCCCGGGCAAGCCCTAAGGCTGATCTTGTCTGGGCTTCAGTCCGAAGGCGTTGGCGTCAGAAAGCAAAAATAAATTCAAAAAAATTGAAAAAAATGGAAAACAATTCAATTTTTTTATAAAAAAAAATACCAAAAAATTATGGATGTTTTCTCTATAAATACATAACAATTTTATTCACTTTCCCTATAAATACATAACAAGTTTATATTTTGTAGCATATTCTTTTTTTTTCCTGCCCTTGCCCTAGCTTTTTAGGGTGGAACCAAAAAAGGCAAGGCTGCCATTATTCACGTGAATAGTAGCAGCCCTTGCCTTGCCTTTGCCTTTGCCTTTGCCTTAGCCTTTTGGGGTGGACATGCACTTATATGCAAGTTGGAATCCAAAAATACGATAGACCTTCAAAGCGACCTTTGTGCCTCCATATCTCATCACGTGATAAATCATAGAGAGAGAGAGAGAGAGAGAGCGATTGAGCTTGGATATCAAACCCATCCAACAAGACGCTGAGAAGGTACAGCTTCATATTGGAAATTTGATAACATAAAATACAATATGTAATGAATGGTTTTATTACTAATAGTATTGAGACTTTTTGTGATAAAATCTCACACTTGTTAGGTTTTGCAGGTGGTTAAGCTGAGGATAATATCGGTGTTTGTAATAGAGGGTGCAATTCGGTCTAAATGACATTCTTTTTTCTTTGAGTTTATCATCATCCCTTGCTTGCTTTCTCATATCCCCTTCTGTCTGTCGGTAGGAATACCATGAAAAAGAATGTATGGTAAATATAACATTACCTAACAAAAGAATTTATGGTAAATGTAATATTACCATATGTCGAAACTCTCTTATACATGGCAGCCTAGCTGCCCCAAATCCACACCACTTCGACTCTTAGATGACTTTTATCAAATAATTTGCATGCATAGCATATTTTTGCTCAAAAGAACATCAATAGAACTTCATGAATAGAAAAAAGGTTTTTTTTTTATCACAAATGATCCACCCCACTTCGACTCTCAGATGAATTTTATCAAATAATTTGCCCACATAGCATATTTTTGCTCAAGAGAATAGCAATAGAACTTCATGAATAGAAAAAAGGCTTTTTATCACAAATGGTCTTTCATGTTTATGAAATTATTACGAATGGTTCTTGAGGTTTTTTTGTGACACTAATAGTCCTTAACGTTTGGGCTTTTTATCACAAATGGTCATTGCCGTTATAAATTCTGTTAAGTGTGACGTGGAAGATAAATGGAGCCCACCTGTCCAATTACATTGTGACACGTGGAAAAAAAATAATTAAATAATTTTTTAATGAAAATTCCATTTTTTTTTATGCAACTTTTCATTCCCCTTCCTTACTCTGTCTCTCTCCCCCTCTGCCCTCGCTTTCCACCCTTTGCTCTCCATCTCTTCTCCCTGTCTCCTTCTCCCTCTGTTTTTTTCTTTCTTACTGCAACCTGCAAGAAAAAATATATGACAAACTACAATAAACCCCCCAATCTATAGGGTCATTTATGAGTCCATACCCGATTTTGGGGACATTTACGAGTACATACTCAACGTTGCGAAAAAACCTAAAATTTGCCCCCTCCGTTAGCTAGATCGTCAAAAAATCCGTTATTTGCATACGTGGCATCTGTAGGACTCATTTTTTAATTGACATGGGATTCCACGTGGACAAAAAACTAATAAAAAATTTATTTTTAAAATTAAACATATTAAACATATTAAATTAAAAAATTAAAAAAAAAATTAAAACCCTACCCAGATTCTCTCTCTCTGTTGATTTCTTCCCCCTTCCTTCTAATTTCTTCCACTCTCAGATTTCTTCAACCCCAGATTTCTTCCCCCACCCAAATAGAAAACAAAACCGTTTTGCTTTTTTTGTTTGCACCAAAAATCAAAACTTCGGAGTCTACAGGCTCTCCCATGGCTAAAACTACGAAGAAGCCACCCAAGGATATTGAAAGCGATGACGAAGAGGAGCAGACGTTCGAAAGCCTCGGATTGGACAGTCGTCTTATTCGTGCCCTGAACAAGAAGAAAATTTCTTGTTCAGATCGAGCGAAGCCACATAAAGCTCCTCCTTTGATTGAGCGGAGCCTGAAATTGGGGCTTTTTAGTGTTCTGCAACCTTATGGTGTGTTTGGATGAGGGAAATAAACTTGGGATTTTGACAAAACTCAGAATTTCTAAATTGACATGAACCAATTCCTTTGTTTGGATAAAAAAAATATAGAAATTTAGAAATTCCGCGTGGAAAAAAACATGAAATTTGGAGATCATAAATCCCAAGTTTAAATTCTATCTAAAAGTCGTCATTTCTAAAATCCCAAGAGAGATTGAGTTTTAAAATACGATAACTTTACAAATAAAGGTTAAATTTTGTGTTTTAAATCAATCATCCAAACAAGAAACTTTACAAATTCTAGAACATTAATTTTCGTCATTTTAAATTCTGTCATTTATGAAATCCTTTGTACTTTTAATTTTCCTCATCCAAACGCACTGTTAGGGTTTGAATTCAACAAATTAGGTTTTGAAATCGATTTGGAGTTTGGTGGGTTATGGCGATTTGGCTTTTTTGTTTTGGTTGGGGAATATGGGGTCAGCGAATTTCATGGGGTTGGTTGGGTTTGTGGCGTGGATTCCTAGAGGCGGGTTTGAAAAAAAGATCAAACTATGCAATAAATATTCACTAATTTGGCAGCTGGTTCTACTTTCTTTCTTTGTTGCAAGTTGCCCGAACAGAAGAGAAGAAGAGAAAAACAAGAGGGCGTTCACGGGCATTATTCTTCTCAGCGAATTGGGGGGCAATTTTGGAAGTGACCCAGCGAGCTTGTTGAAGCTCAGATCGAGCCTTCTCAAATTGGGCAGCGAATTCATGGCGTCATCAAATCTCCTCACGAAGTAATCGAAGGACTGGCCTTCGATGCGATTGAGAAACGGCTATAGTCGATTTCAAACTCGCGCGCGAATCTCCTCAAGAAGTAATCGAAGGACTGGCCTTCGATGTGATTGGTGTAGGTCCATGGAAGATTGGCGGCATTGTCGTCGAGGCTCGATGGATCATCTGTAGCTTCTTCTTCATTGTTTGGGAAGACAAGGCGTTCCCAGCACACGGGTTCTGGCTCGTTCTGTACCAGAACTTGCAAACGAAGGGGACGAACAAGAGCAGAGACTCAATGCCAACTTTGACGAATACGTTGGCCCAGATCAACCGAGAGAGAGAGAGAGAGAGAGAGAGAGAGAGAGAGAAGATGAGTTTTTTTTCTTTTGGGGTTTTTTAGACTTTTTATTATTGTTTTTTCATTTATTTTATTAATTTTATGTCTTATGTGGAGTCCATGTCAGTTAAAAAAAGGGTCCTACAAATGCCACATAGGTAGATAACGGATTTTCTGAAGATCTCGCTAACGGAGAGAGTGAATTGTAGGTTTTTTGCGACGTTGAGTATGTACTCGTAAATGTCCCCAAAATCGAATATGGACTCGTAAATGACTCTATAGGTTGGGGGGTTTACTGTAGTTTGTCCAAAAATATAAGATATATAGTTGCTCTCCACCCCTGCAACCCATGCCCAATGAATCTCTTCTCACAACCCGCAACCCATCTTCATCGCATCTCTTCTTGTCCTTGTTTTCCCCTATTCGCCTCCTTCTTTTCGCCAACCATTTTATTTCTCCCTCAGTTGCTGGTCGTAACAAATTTGTTTGATCTTTACTAGTACAAATACTAGTCGTAGCTAGCCAGGGATATGTTTCATGGGGTGGGGTTCATTTATTTAACATCCATGATCCATCCATCCCTGTGTGAAGTGTACTGTTGATCAACGATAAGTCGCTAGCTAGATGTGTTGTAGGTGTGTTTGATCAAACCCACCACCCGTACTGATTTCTTTGGCCTTTTATTCTTTTCATGAACATGAAACCAGTGAACATGAATGGGTTGCAAGAAGAGATTCGTTGGGCATGGGTTGCGGGTTGCGAGAAGAGATGAAGAGCAAAGGGTGGAGAGTGAGGGCATATGGGGAGAGAGGAGTAAGGAAGGGGGATGAAAAGTTGCAAAATTAAAAAATTATTATTTTATTTTTTATCAACATGTCATAATGTAATTGGACAGGTGGGCTCCACTTATCTTCCATGTCACCCTTAACAGAATTTATAACGACATGGACCATTTGTAATAAAAAGCTCAAACGTTAAGGACTATTAGTGTCACAAAAAAACCTTAAGGACTATTCGTGATAATTTAGTAAACGTAAAGGACCATTTGTGATAAAAAGCCTAGAAAAAAAAAGAATAAATAGGGTTACAATAACCTTTACTCACCCTCAAATAGATCCGGCAGTGGTCCAAACTCTCTTACTTTTACTCTCAGACAATTTGACTGACTTAAGTAAAAGAATATCTTTGACCAATAACAAACTATTTGAGCCTCAAGATGCAAATTTACTATTTATATTTATTTTTGGAGTTATTTATACTAACACTCCCTAAGATTTGTTTTGTTTTTATAAAACATCCCTCTGAGGTTTCAAATTATTTTCACAAAACCTTTTTCATTTTTGGTCGAAAAAATTGATAATTTAATTAAAAAAAATTCTTCAAATGACAAAATTAACCTCAACCATTAGTCCTCGGGTGTATGAACAATCTATCTCTAAAGTCAACATTATCATTTGGATAATTTTTTTTAATGACGTGAGTAATTTTTAGGTAAAAAGTTTATAAAGGGGGTTTTGTAAAAGTAATGTGAAAACTCATGGGATGTTAGGGTAATTTTCAAAGGGGAATGCTAGCAACCTTCTCATTTGGACATTTTCTCTTTTTTGCTTGACATGTGTCACTCTCCTTGCACTTAAAACAATGTCATTAATATATTATACAAGTTAACTTTTGCTTTCCAAGTTTACCCTTATTAAATGTATTCAATTTATCCAAAAAAAATTCACAACTTTCTTACCATCTTATTAATTTTTTTTTAACGTAAATTATTTTTTTAAAGAAAATGTTTGCTTTTTTCAAAAAAGAGGAAATGTCCCCCTTTTTTTAAACACAGATGACTTTTTTTTTCCTATCTAAAGCCTTTGTGTTTAAAAAAAAAAGAAAAAAAAAGGGGACATTTCTTCTTAAAAGCATATATTTCTTTTTTTTTAAAAATAATTTACGTTAGAAAAAAATTAAAAAGATGGTAAGAAATTTGTGAATTTTTTTGGGATAAATTGTATACATTTAATAAGGGTAAACTTAGAAAGCAAAAGTTAACTTGTATAATATATTAATGACATTGTTTTAAGTGTAAGGAGAATGACACATGTCAAGCAGAAAAACGGAAAATGTCCAAAAAAGAAAATTAGAGAGAAGGTTGCTAGCATTTCTCATTTTCAAAACCTCAAACGATTTTGTAAAAGTGATGTGAAAACTCATGAAGAAAGTGCAAAATATCATATCTGCCACTGCCAGATCGGTACAGAGTTACTACACTCCCAAAATATTTATTAAAAAGAAAATATTCCTTAAATACTAAATAAATACTTAGACAGACAAAGATCTGACCAGTTGGGTTTGGCGTGCAGTCCACAGTAAGCTTCTTTTTCTTCTTCTATCTACCAACTCACACCAATCACTCACTCTCTTAACTCTAAACCACTCCACTTCCCTTCACACTCAAAACCCACAACAAGATCTCTCACCACTTTCCCTCACTTTCTCTTACTTTCTCTCTCCTTTTCCTCCAAACCAAACAGACCCCGATTGATGGCTATCAACAGAGATTCCACTCCCCCACCAATGATCGGCAAGATTGGCCCTTACACTGTGTTCATGACTCCACCCTCCACACCAAAACCACCTGAACCGGTCTTTGATTCCCCCAAGAAGGTGGCCCCACCTCCGGTTCAGCCGCCGCCTCAGCAATTGGTGCAGCCTATGGCTGTTTCAGATTCTGCCGCAAATGGCTCTGTCTTGGGGGTTTTTAAGAATGCCGTGAACAAAGTTCAGAAGGGTAATGCATGCTTTTGTTACTTGTTTTTCTAGTCTTTTTTTGTTACTTGTTTTTTTGGTTTTTTGCTGTGCTCTGTTTGGTGGTTGGGAAAGTAGAGGAAAAGGAAGGGAAATTGGGGATTGTTCGGCTCGAATGAATGAAATGAAAGAAAACCCAAGATGGGATTTCACTGTAAAGAGTTTAGTAAATGGTGTGAAGAATGGGTTTTTGTTAGGAAAACTAATTTATTTTATTTTATTTAAAATTCTGTGTTGATTTATTTATATCTTTCATGCTTTGTGTGCCAGTAAGCAGAGCTCATTGGTATTTTATAACCTATGTCTAATAAGTAAACGGATAATAGATTATCCAGTGTTGTGGTTTCTGTGCTCTTTCTTATCTTTTGGTTTGCAGAAACAGAAAAGCAAATATTCAGCAAGCTGAATTTTCGTTTTATAGTGTCACCAACCCTGCATCATGTATAATTTTTGGTGGATATTTTCTTCGCTACAGCTGATGGTGGTGTGTTTTTGGTTATTTTGCAGCACATTCAAGTTTGGATGACCATTTGGCACGTTGGTTTGGGTTGAATCAGTCAAAATATCAGTGGGCACTAGATGATTATTATGAGAGCAAGGGATTGGTAAGCATTTGATTGCTTGCATTCCTACGACTTATTTACTTTCTGTTGTGATTTTATGCGGTAATGTTTAGCAACTTAAGTTGAATTTGTTGTCAAATTGAGCACTGTATAGATTGAAGTGTGCAGAGGTTCATTTATTGTATTATTTACTTGTCCTTTCTTTTATTATGCACCCTCGTACAATCAATACTTGTGTATTAAGTTCTTATCTTATGAAGTCTTCTTTTGCACAATGCTATGAGTATTAGGGTTTTCAGATTATCTGGCCAAAAAAGGTTATTGTTTTGCTCCTTTCTGTTTTTATTTATAAAAACTATTTTATAACAGGTTCTGAACGCAAAGAAGGCCAATATGTAGGTCCCTTAAAGCTTTACAGTATGTCAGTATCCTATGTTAAATTAATCTTGTCATCTGTAAAAAGGGCATTCTGGGGATGTCATAGTAGTATTGACATTTTGCAACTTCAAACTCTTATTGAGACTTGGTGGTCAAACTTCAGCAATAATCGATATAATATGATTCGCATCATAGTACAAGGGTAAAGGAATACTGGTGATAAGAAAAGGGCATAAAATTACACTACAAACACTTGTTCCTCTTTCCATGTTAAACAGAATGACCAGAGTATTCAATTTTAATTTAACCAGTTTAAGTACCCATTAATTTGCTACTCAGTCATAAAATATTTTGCAAGAACATCATCTTTTTTTATATTTTTGTAAAATGTAGGCAGGGATAATCTACAAAGAACATATTTGATATGTAATAAAAGTATTGAAGTTGCTTAGAATGTGCCCAATGAGTGCTAAACTTGTGTTGAATAAGTTCAGCCTTATGACTTCTGGTCTTCAAGGTTTCTACTTGTGTTTTAGAGCATCTTGACTTTCTGATTCTGCAGTTGTGACCTTGTTAGAGAAGCACCTGTGTTTTTATGAGTTGTAGGCTGGTCCCTTCTCTGTTTCTAATTAATATTTGTCTGTACACATGGACCTCTTGCATTTTCTAAAACTAGATCCACAACTCTTCTAGAGTTATGTTAGTTGTTATTATCACCCCAAGTTTCTTAATTACAAAATCCATCAGCGGTTTTCTGCACAATAACCCCCACTTTTAGTTTTCACATACTTAGCTCCCCCTAACTATCGATTTTTACTCCCCACTTTGTATTTTTTTCCGGTCCTTTTCCACTGCCTTCCTCTGATGTGAGAACCATAACAGATGTTCTCCGTGATTGAAATCCCTACCTCACTAAAACCCCCTGTACTTATTTGGGGCAGGTTGTCAATGCAAGTACTGAAATAGAAGGTAGGTCCTTCCAGTCGTTGTATTCATTCTTCTAACCCTAAGAACTGTTAGTGCAACTTGCTCTCCAGCATTAAGAGGCACTTCATCTGAAAATACGAGTCAGATTGAAATAGGTTGAAATAACTATTTTAATTTAACAATTGCCTATATTCGAGGATACTGTGCATATGTTTTTTCATTTTGGGATAGTATTTTGCCAACTTTGAATTCATGATAACATTTAGCTTATTAACCTTTTTTTGTTATTTATAACCAATGACTTGATTCTTGTACTTGATTGCAGGAGAAGGGCGAGAAACCAAAAGAGATATCTAGCAAAATGCAGAGTGTGTAATGTGCTAACTGGACAGGTAAAGATAACATGATGTTTAAATTCCATGTTTTTTTAGCTTTTCAACTGTGAAAATATATGTTGGCTTGCAGAATTAATTGCAAGGGAGAGCGCGTGCAGACATCTTTTGAGTGTAGTACATCTAAATAGTTATGTATGGAGTAGAAGTGCATCTGGGTACACACAGAATCCAACCAAGTTTCGGGGTTCTGGTTATGCAATTCTCTGCCTTCTGCAACAGCTGAGTTTGGTTATCTAACAGTTTGTAAGTCATGTATCTCATCTAAATATATAGTTTTCAGCCAAACTTGTGTTCTTGTACTCCTTTAAGCTGCCAGCTTATTTATTTTTATTTGTGGGTTATGTACCATCGGCTTGTTGGTGTATTTGTATTATTCGTGAAGGCTATAATTTGCAGCTTATGATTGTGGAATTAATTTTTTGGGCATGTTTTCTTCTGGTTCCTCAACTCCGCTGAAGTACAGCTTTCCTCAACTCAAAATCATAACTATGCTATCAGTTTCTAATCGTTTAAGAGGGCAGGTGTTTTTGTTTTTGGTTTCCCCGATTCTTGGAACTCAATAAATCAGTAGTGTTCTGTGTATGAGACAAGATCGGGTAATGTACTAACAACGTAAGCTGCCTAGAGATGGATCAGATAACTTGGTGGATGATTATCACTGCTTTGAAACTAAAACGGCAGTCTTCTTGTCAAATTTTAGACTTAAAAGGGCAGTTTCTCAAGTGCAGTGCTTGTTTTTCTGGTATGGAGAGAGAGAGATAAGAACACTGGGATTTATACTAATTAATGCTATATAACAGATAATTATGTTTAAATTAATTAATAAAACAAAGGAAAATAATCCTAAACCGAAAAAGTTGGGATCCATTTGGATGATGCCGGCTGCTTGCCCCGCAAGTTCTCTTCTCTCCTACTTCTATTTGGAAAAAGGAAAGCCTATATGAATAATCCACTCCACTCCACACCCACACCACCAACACATCCCCAACCAAATTAGAAACAAATGGCTCTCATTCGACAACGCCGCCAGCTTAATCTCCGTCTCCCCTTGCCCGAACCCTCTGAGTGCCGCCCATGTTTCACCGTTCCCCTCCCTCCCACCATCGCCATCACAAACAACTCTTCCTTTAGCGCTATCTCCACTGCCGATCTAGAGAACCTCCAAGTCCTTGGCCATGGTAACAGCGGCACCGTCTACAAGGTAAATCACAAGCGGACTTCCACCACCTACGCTCTCAAACTCGTCCATAGCCACTCCAACGACCCAGGGCCGATCTTGAGTTTTCAAAGGCCCAAGGTGAAAATCTATAGTGTGCCATATACGCTTTAATCACTAATACTTGTATACCTCTTGTTTTATCAACTAAGCATTGGTTTTTTTGAGAAAGCATTTATTCGAAAATATTTTTAGACTTTGAGCAATGTCTTCCATATTTCTAAATACTGAAAATAAATGTCCAACAATGGATACCATACAAATGAGTCAAAGAATTTCAAGAATGCAAGTCAAGCCAATATCAAAGAATTTCGTTTAAAACTCTCGTCATGGATCCTTTGTTCCAAAATTTCAGATTCATCTCAATATCCTATTCCTAAAAATTATGGAAAAATATTAAATCAATTTATAATAATATAATATAACACTTGTTATAATAAAAATTTGGGGGCCCCTTGAATAATGGGCCCAGGACCGTGGCACTGACTGCCCCAGGTCAGGGCCGGGACTGCAACGACCCCACAGTCTGCCGTCAGCTCTTCCGCGAGATGGAGATCCTCCGCCACACCGACTCTCCCCATGTCGTCCGCTGCCACGCTATCTTTGAGAAGCCATCGGGAGATATCGGGATCCTCATGGATACATGGACTCCAGCACCCTCGAGACCTTGCTTAAAGCCCAAGGCACCTTCTCCGAGCCCAATCTTGCCCACGTCGCCCGCCATGTTCTTAACGGCCTCAACTACCTCCACACCAACAAGATCATCCACCGCGACATCAAACCCGCAAATGTTTTGGTGAACAGCAACATGGAAGTGAAAATCGCCGACTTTGGCGTGAGCAAGATCCTGTGCCGGACCTCGGACGCCTGCAATTCCTACGTGGGTACTTGTGCTTACATGAGCCCGGAAAGATTTGACCCGGATACTTACGGCGGCAATTACAGTGGCTACGCCGGTGACATATGGAGCCTAGGGCTAACCCTGGTGGAGCTTTACATGGGTCACTTTCCGTTGTTGCCTCCGGGTCAGAAACCCGACTGGGCCACGCTTATGTGCGCCATATGTTTCGGAGAGCCGCCGAGCTTGCCCGAGGGGGTGTCGGAGGAGTTTCGGAGTTTCATGGAGTGCTGCTTGCAGAAGGAGTCCGAAAAGCGGTGGACCGCAGCTCAGCTTTTGACCCACCCGTTCGTCTCTAAAGATCCCAGTATATCCGTTTCCTGATGGGTTGCTGGATTTGTACACGAGTTACCGTTTGTAGGGTTATGAGTTTTGTTTGTAGGGATCTGACTTTTGTGTGTATACTGGGCTGGATTCGGATTCTTTCTTTATGATATTACTTAATTTCCTTTCAATCTTTTCAAGTTGATGATGTGCATCCTACTGTTTATCTTTAATTAAACTTGTTTAAGAGAATGCAAATCAAATTTACTCTGCTTCTTTCAATTAATTCTGGCTAAAACATAATCAAGTTAATTAACTGACTTTCCATGTAACTAGAAAGGTCACTTTAGTTTTGCAATAGGATGTGTTATTTGAATTTCATGGATTGGAAGTTCATGTGTCTTCCCAAATAGAGTTTCCTCTCTGCCCCTTTGAGTTTTCTTCTCTTTTATTGCTTTCTAGAAGCTAATCCATCAATTTTTAGGAATTTCCAAATACTAGGCACTTGTGCTTTCTCAAACTCCTACAATGCAATTATCTGATGGAAGTTGGTACTGATTATAATGTTGTAGACAAAGTTACCTCTGATCTTCATTCCTTGGCTTTCCTTGTCTTTTCCTGATCAAGAGACAAGCCCGTACGTCGTTTGCAATATGTCCATATGTTGACTTCCTGTCACTTATATAACTATGCAACCATTGATTCCTTAAACCTAAATGTGAATCATACTTAGGTAAAGTTTCCCTTGTCTCATATGCAACCATTGACTACATGCAACCATTGCTTTATCATCACTTGTGTTTGCTTCTTCATATTTAGTCAAAATATAGGATATAATAAAGCAAGGTTTCAGCTAAGAATCTATTTGGAGCTTCAATACTATCGTAATGTGCTTTAACTTAAAATGTTCATTTGAAAGCTGGCTTTGTCATCACAATATTCTTCACTTTGAGCTCTGTATGAAATCCACATACAATGTTCTTGTTGAAAATATTTTGTCATGTGTAAATCTAAATTCTGCTAGTCTTGCACATTTGGGAGTTTGTTAAATGATATTTTTATTCTATTGTAATCTATCTCCTGAATAATGTCAAGGGGAGAGATAGCTGCCATTGCTCCTTGGGTAAGATCTCTCTCTCTCTCTCTCTCTCTCCAAATATTTCCCGTTCCGATTTCATTTACTCAGATTTCAAGTAAACATGCCAAGGATTCTTACATTTTGCAGCAATCATATTTGTGATGAAGATTGCTATCTTCATCGCAGTAAAGAAGATAATAACTTGGAAAGGAAGCAGCTCTTTCAATCCAGACTTCCTGACACTCACAATGGACAGGTTTCTAAATGATATGGAAAGAGAGAAGCCCATCAGGTTTACTACTCAACAACTGATAACTCACCCATTTGTTGAGTTCAGGAGGTTTCGGTGCAGTTTATAAAGGGGAATTTGGCAATGGAACCCTTGTAGCAGTGAAGGTTCTAAATGGGAGCTCAGACGAGAGAATTGAGGAACAATTCGTGGCAGAAGTTAGTACAATTGGAAGAATTCACCATTTCAATCTGGTCCGTCTTTATGGCTTCTGCTTTGAGAGACATCTCAGAGCACTTGTTTATGAGTACATGGGAAATGGTTCCCTTGACAAGTTCTTATTCCATGGAAGCAAGATCTTAAGATTTGAAAAGCTTCATGAAATTGCGATCGGGACAGCCAAAGACATTGCTTACTTGCATGAGGAGTGTCAACAACGAATAGTCCACTACGATATAAAACCTGAAAATATTCTTTTGGATGCAAATTTGCTTCCAAAAGTAGCTGATTTTGGCTTGGCCAAGCTCTGTAACAGGGAAAATACTCATATAACCATGACAGGGGGCCGGGGGACTCCTGGCTATGCTGCACCAGAGGTTTGGCTGGGATTTCCTATAACACACAAATGTGATGTTTACAGCTTTGGGATGCTATTGTTTGAGATCATAGGCAGGAGAAGGAATCTTGACATTAATATTCAAGATAGCCAAGATTGGTTCCCAAGGTGGGTATGGAGGAAGTTTGAACCTGGAGAACTAAGAGAGCTAATGGTAGTTTGTGGGATAGAGGAGAGAGATAAAGAGCGTGCAGAGAGAATGGTTAAGGTAGCTCTCTGGTGTGTCCAGTATAAGCTGGAAGCAAGGCCTTTGATGAGTGTTGTGGTGAGAATGTTGGAAGGAGCAGCTGAGATTCCTAGACCTTCAGTTAACCCTTTTCAGAACTTGATGCCAGGCACTCTGCACCCTAATAAACCTGTCGGTTCAGCTTTTCATTCAGAACGTACTAGCGCTTCTGGTTCGATTTCCTTTCAGACAGTAACTGAATTCAGCGTTATGCATGCTACTCCTTTCATGACGAAATACGAGATTGATATAGTGTGTACCTAGGTAGGCTGAAGAACATTCCTCTCTCTCTCTCTCTCTCTCTCTCTCTCTCTCTCTCTCTTCCAAAATATGGTAATCATCATTCATCACTGATAGTATACCCCTGTCCTCTAGATGTGTTACTTTAAATGTTTAGCAGAGTGCTGCACAGAAAACATCTTATTTTGCACATCAAACTGCTCTTTCCTTATTAGCCATCTTAGATTTAATTTGTATATTTTCAAAATGATACTGATAAAGAAAATTGGAATTTTATAGAACTGGTGGTGCAGATTTATGATTTCTTGGAATGCCACAATGTAAACCATCATTTCGGTGTTCATATACAACTGATTACTGCAATGAATTTAGGATTTACAGCAAGGATTTGATTATAAATACATGTAACTTCCATTTAATATTCACCAATGACCAAATGATCCATTTTCTGGCTTCTTGTCATATCATATGCAGCCACATGTTTTCTCATATTGGGAAAATATTTTGCCAACTTGAACATCTTGTTAACATTCAACTTACTTGACCTTTGCTGATACTTGCTGTTATTTGCAACCAATGACTTGATCCCTTGATTGCAGGAAAAGGGCAATGAGAAACCAAAGAAATTTCCAGCAAGGTGCAGATGTGTAACTTATAACTTTCTAGCTGGACAGGTAACACCATATGTTTTAAATCCAGTTTATGTTATACCAGAACCGCTTTTTGCTCTTCAACCGGAAAACTGTGTTGGTTTTCAGAATTCATTGCAAGCGAGTCTCATGCAGGCTTCTATTGAGTATACATACTATATATCTATCTACTTATCTGCAGAGCAGCCGAATACGTGTAACAGCAGCTCAGCAGAGTTTGGTTTCTAACAGTTTTAGAAACCATATAACCTCCTCTAAGTACATACTTTGCTGACAAACTTTTGGTCCTCTACCCCATTAAGCTGCCATGCAATCTTGCTTGTGTCAACTTCTCAACATCATAACCATACGTACTCTATGTAGTTTTAATCTCGAAGGGAGAGAGGGCAGTGGCTTCCTGTTCTAAGCGATTCTTTGAACGCAATAAATCAGCTGTGGAGTTGCAGTTTGTACAGGAGACAAGATTGGACGGGCATTTTATCCCCACACTAGAAGTTTATGTCATTAGTAAATTGCCCATCCAAGCTTGTCACATTTAGATACAAATGACCATTAGTAAACTTCCAGTCTGGTATCAACCTAACATGAGACAGTAGGATGAGAAGTACAGATAGGAGCTTCAAGGTTCTTGGTCCCTTCATCAAGAAATCCTCTCCTTTTGCACATCAAATCAAACAACTATTTCGTAACGATAAACAACTGAAAAAGGAAAATTACTAAACCAGATACAAAGATGTAATAATTGACGACCAATACTAGCTAATTGATCTACTACCATATTTGTCTCTTTGAAATTACAGCATAAGTGGAATATTGGGATTTGCCGGATAAGGAAACGGATATATCTTGAATAATGGAAGTCATTTTCCAAGGAATGATACCCTGGTTCTTCAAATTTTGAATAAGATCTCATTTAGAATCTCCTCTAATTTCAAAGTGATGAAAATGTAGAGCTTTTTGTAAAGCTAAAGCTTCAACATGCCAAAACATATCATTTATAGAGAAATCAGGACCAAGTCGAGATGATACGCGCCAACTACACCTTCAGCCAAAGATGTTACCATTTCTGAAGAAATTGATTATTTTAAAACCACAATTTCAGTGCTATAGCTACTGGTTCTTTTTCTTCTAGGATTTGGCTCCTCTTCCTTTTCCTGACGACGTAATCCGATGCATGGATGCTGGTTTGTTCCTTATAGAGATGACTTTCCTAGGAGGAAAATTATGGGAGCTTCATCTTGACCCTCCGAGGAAAAATTTATGGATCTGACATTGTCAAGGCTCCAGGGTAATAATAACAGCTACCACAGCTCACTGAAAAGTATAAACCAAACTCAGCTGAGCTGCTGTTAATAATTTCGGGTTTCAGACTTTCAGTCAATCGCAGTGTTTGAAAAGTCGGCCTAGGCGGTGGCTAGGAGGGCGCTAGGCGGCTAGGCGGTCGCTAGGCTGGCGCTAGGCGGCTAGGGGGTCGCTAGGCTGGCGCTAGGCGGCTAGGTTGTAGCTAGGCGGGCGCTAGGCGGCTAGGCGGTCGCTAGGCGGGCGCTAGGCGGCTAGGCGGGCGCTAGGCTGCTAGGCGGTGGCTAGGCGGCTAGGTAGTGGCTAGGCGGGCGCCTAGGCGGGTTGGGTCTATTTTCGGTGCCGAACCCGGAGGACGAAGCAGCGACTGCGAGAGAAAGTTCCGTCCTCTGCGAGTGCAAGCTTCGTGTTGGTTCGAATATATATAAAGATTATAGCCGCTCGGCTATACTTTTGAAATACTCGAATGTCATTAGAAAGTATAGCCGTGCAGCTGTACGTTTATAATTTCTATTTATAGAGTCGAGCCTTGCGGCTATAATGGAAGCGTATCATACAAAAGACGACGTATCATCCAAAGGAAACGTATCATACAAAAGAAGATGGAATATAAACGTATACCAATTTCTGAGCTGTTGTTGCTGTGTCCTTTCGAGAATGAACGAATACCATTGCAATTTGCATGTTAACCTTGCCTGAGTGAGTCAACAACCTGGCAGAAAATATATCAATCAGTTAAATAATCATTCGAATACACAAAGGAGAGCCTAAGGAAAAAGAAACCTTCTTGTAGCATATACCATCTCTGCAGTTCAATACGCGGGCTGTAAAATTCTGCTCACTAATACATCGGCTACAACTAGAATAGAATCAAACAAGAAGAGTCCTGCTTCTGGATTCACTCTCAGAAACTGTAATTTAAATAGTATATATTAATGTTTAAAATTCTAAAGTGTATTTTTAGGAATTTTTGCGTAGGATTCTTTTCTGAAAACGAGTTTGATAGAAGAAATGAATGGGGTGTAACTGGTAGGAAAATAGAGTAAAAATACAGATAAAATAGTTCACAAAAACAATAACCTCAGTCTCATTCATATGGCGTCTCAACATTTCATTGTATGTTTCAACACTTGAGCATTGAATATAAAAGTGGCTTGCAATTCAACCAATTTCTGTACAATAGAAGTTGCTACTTTTCTCATCAAAGCGCATCATTTTTGCTTTGTCCAGGGCACGTGCAGCATCTGCTATGAGAGCTCTTTGCTTTAAACTCAAGGAAGGATGCAAAATGCAGAAAGGACGCTCTGCTACCACTTGATGCAGTTCAAGTATAAACTCGCAGAGCTTTTTACTATTTTTTTACTTGTGGATTTCCTTACTACTCTTCACCTTGTTTCTTACTTGTTTTGCACTTTAAAGTATGTTGATAATCTCATTGGCTAAAAATGTATGTGAATAATTTCACAATCTACTGTCTACTAGATCCCTCCACTAGTTTATGAATCTTCGAGGTAATTTATTTCATTAGAAGTAAAATAAAGTCATAATTTCATTTAATATGGAGAAAGAGTACCAGAAGATGCCTTCTCGCATTACTCAAGACTATTTTTTGTAATTTCTTGCTGAAGATATGATAGAGATACATGGTCATTTCAGAATCCTCATGGTGGTTTTGGATTATTAAGCATATCTTATCTTATTACATGGGCTTCTTCTAGTTCTAGCATTAGTATGCTGATAATGTTGCAGAAGCCTCAGGAATATGATTTGATGTGGTAGAAATAGACCAGCTTGACCAAATGAGAATACAGTATGCTGATTATTAGCTGATATGCTCTACGTTTTACTTGTTTGGCAGATTGGGGACCGAAGCTTGATGTTGTTGGTTTTTGTTTTCTTGACCTTGCTTCAAATTATGAACCCCCAGATTCACTTGCGGAGTGGCTTGAAGCTGGTGAACAGCCTGTCTATATTGGATTTGATAGCCTTGTGAGTTTGTTGCGGCTTTCTCTATTCATGTTTAATATTCTTTTCCCAGTTCTATCCCAGAATAGCTCTGTTTGTCCTTACCCTAAAAAAATTACTTGTTCCTTCCCAATTAAAACAATCAACCAAAGCCACCATCTCCAAAGAGTGACCACCTTCATGTTGGTCCCCAACGAACAGGTTGTGGGGGTCTATTCATGACAGATGACAAATCGACCCTTTGGTTGTTCAGTTGTTCAATATCTAATTTGACTGAGGCATGTCTAATACATGCGGAGTATACCTCTGAATTGCATAGTTAAGGTTACTTGATTGTGCATTTTATGTGTATTGTATTAGCCTCTTGAAGAACCAGAGAAAATGACCAATATTATTCTTCAAGCTCTGGAAATAACTGGACAGAGAGGCATCATCAACCGAGGCTGGGGTGGCCTTGGTAATTGTAAGTCTTGTTTCTTAAAAAAAGATTACTTTCAAGCACATTGTATTCTTATGCTTCTTTACATCTGAAAGCCTTCATATATTTCTCTTCTCAGTGGCAGAACCGAGTGATTCTGTGTATTTAGTGGACAACTGCCCCCATGATTGGCTATTCCAACGATGCTCTGCTCTGGTAAATTTCAATGCTTTTAATTCTTTTTAATTTGGTTGGGATTTCACTGCACTGGTGTTCAGAACGTCACATGAACTTGATGCATCTTTTTGTCATTTTGTTGTTTTGTTCCCCACTTGGATAACTAGGCTACTCCCGGTTTCTCACTGGATATGAAAAAATTTCTTAGGTGCATCATGGGGGTGTTGGGACAACTGCTGCTGGTCTGAAAGCTGCGGTAACTGATAATGCTATATTCTTTGGGAGTCTTACATTTGTAAATGATTCAGTTACTCAGTTGGCTCATATTCTGTGTTCTTTTTAGTGTCCAACCACAATTGTACCATTCTTTGGGGACCAGCCATTTTGGGGGGAGAGGGTGCATGCCAGAGGAGTAGGTCCTGCACCCATTCCAACTGATGAATTCTCGCTTGAAAAGTTGGTCGATGCCATACGCTTCATGTTAGATCCAAAGCTATTTACCATTTTCTTTTTAAACTTCCAAGTGATTTACATATAATTTGTCATTTATTGAGAGTAAACTTATCACAAGTAAAACAAATATCATTCCAAATACAAAGCACTTGCTGCCATGATTAGTTTCATATCAAAATTCAGATGTAAAAGCCAGATACAAAATACATGTAAACATGAAGGAAACACAAAGTCCACCACAGTTCTATCATAATTTAGTGATATTTTAAATTAAATGACAGTCCAGTAGAAAATCAAAACACCACCATCTCTAGAGACCAAAGCAACACACAACCTTCACGCCACACAAAACCTGCTTCATACTTCACTTTCTATTCTATTTTCTCGAAAACCAAACGGAAAAGTCTAGAAGCAAACATGTCATGAGACTTCCCCACCACAGCTCACTGAAAGTCAAGAAGTTTATTGAAGTCTTGTTAAAATGCTTGCTCTTTTTCCTTTCTTGTGATTTTAGTTTTAGTTTACATAATTAGGTTAGGGATGGTTTCTCTCCCATTTTCAATGGTCATATATAAAAGTGAATAGTTTCTTCCTATTATGCAATTTTCCAGCTGCAACCTGAGAAAGTTAGCTTTAATCTTCTTATTTTTCCCAGGACTTTTTTGTGGTCATGACAGTGTCTCCATGTGTACCTGTCACTCTTGCTCAACATTTACATAGAAATATTTTTCCTTAAACTTAACCATAGTTGAGAGATATCGCTCAACTGAAGGAGACTGATATGTATAATATTAAGGAGACTGATTATAACATCTTGGGACTTATCACTAAATACTTAGAGAGGGCAGATTATGTAGTCCAAAGATGATAAAACAAAGCCAAGGTTTTGGAACCTTAGTACAAAATCACCATTTTCTATAGCCGGCCTTGTTATCAAATCATCATGATGGAAACCCCACACGGATTCAACGATTAGAATAGTTTCAGTTTGGTCAAAGAATGGACTTACCGAACTGTTCTTTACCTTGAGCTTTCCGTCTAATGAAATCCATATCTTGTCATGTGTAATCTAAATTGTGCTACTACCGAACATTTGGGAGTTTGTTGAATGCTTTTTATAATTCCATTGTAATATATCCTCTGATTAATTTCGCCGATAATGTCGAGTTACGAGAGTCCATCACAGTTCCACATTGGAGAGACAGCAGTTATTGCCATAGGTTCGGGTAAGATCTATCCCTCTCCCCGTTTGCTTTTTGTTTTCTGCATTGATTTGTTGTTAATTACTTGTTGATCTTCATTTCATTTTAGAAAAAAGCAACAATTGTCAAGTGCTAATGGTTTTTCATTGAGTTTTAAATTATGCAGTAGTCCTCGTAGTGACGATCGTTATAGTGAATTTCGTGGTTCAAGAATGCCAGAAAAGAAGTCAGACAGGCCGCTCTTTCCTTAATCCCGACTTCCAGACATTCACAATGGACAAGTTTCTAAATGATATGGAAAGAGAGAAGCCCATCAGGTTCACTTCTCAGCATCTTCGGATTGCAACTGATAACTTCACCAACTTGTTGGGGCAAGGAGGATTTGGTGCAGTTTATAAAGGGATATTTAGTAATGGAACCCTTGTAGCAGTGAAGGTTCTAAATGGGAGCTCAGACAAGAGAATCGAGGAACAATTTATGGCGGAAGTTAGTACAATTGGAAGAATTCACCATTTCAATCTGGTCCGTCTTTATGGCTTCTGCTTTGAGAAACACCTCAGAGCACTTGTTTATGAGTACATGGGAAATGGATCGCTTGACAAGTTCTTATTTCATAGCAACAAGGACTTAGGATTTGAAAAGCTTCATGAAATTGCGGTGGGGACAGCGAGAGGGATTGCTTACTTGCATGAAGAATGCGAACAACGAATAGTCCATTACGATATAAAGCCTGGAAACATTCTTTTGGATGCAAATTTCTTTCCAAAAGTAGCTGATTTTGGTTTGGCCAAGCTCTGTAACAGGGATAATACTCATATAACCATGACTGGGGGCAGAGGCACTCCTGGTTATGCTGCACCGGAAGTTTGGATGAGGTTTTCTGTAACACACAAATGTGATGTTTACAGCTTTGGGATGCTATTGTTTGAGATCATAGGCGGGAGAAGGAATCTTGACATTAATATTCAAGACAGCCAAGACTGGTTCCCAAGGTGGGTTTGGAAGAAGTTTGAGCCTGGAGAACTAGGAGAGATAATGGCAGTGTGCGGAATAGAGGAGAAAGATAAAGAGAGGGCTGAGAGAATTGTAAAGGTTGCTCTTTGGTGTGTCCAGTATATGCCTGAGGCAAGGCCTTCGATGAGTTTTGTGGTGAAAATGTTGGAAGGAGCTATTGAGATTCCTAGACCTTCAACTAACCCGTTTCAGCACTTGATGTCGGATACTCCAAACCCAACTGCACCTGTCTATGATACTTCAAATGGAACATATAGCACTAGCGCTTACGATTCGGATCCCTCACAAACGGTAACTGGAACTCCTATCATGAAGAATCATGAGATTGAAATAGCCTCTACCTAGGCAGGGTGAAGTACATTCCTCACGCTCTCTGTTCTTGCAATATGTCACGAAAACATGTCCTTTTCCACATCATAGTGCTTCTTCATAAGATCCATATAGGATCAATATTTCTGTGATTCCAAAATGTGCTCTCTTTTTTTGCGTGTCACATCAATATTATATATACAGCCACTTGACTGTCTATATTGAATCGTTTCTGATTAAGTTGATGGAAATTGGAAAAGCACCTTCTTTGGATTAATATATGTTCTTTGCAAACCTGGAAAAACATATAGCCATCGCAGTGTTTATGGCTCAAAATCATGCTTGCCTTAATGAGAAACATTTCCTTTTGTTCTTTCGCATCCGAAGTTTAATTTGCAACTTTATGAGATGCCAAGTTGTAATTTTCTAATGTTTCTGTCTGACGAGTCACGACTCTCATCTTCTAATGCCTTATCTGTATTTCTGTTCACCCCTTTTTCATCTGCAGGGTTAGGAGTTGGCCACGAAATTTTGCTTCTTGTGATAATGTACAGAATAGTGTATATATATATATATGAATGGATGTGAAATTTTGTATGTTGTGATAATGTACAGAATATGCATATTGTGGTATTTACAACCTTGAAGGAGAATTATCCGCCATTTAATTATAAAAAAACACGATGCATTCTTCATAAAATTGACATTTTAATTGTCATAAGACAACAATTATTTTAAAAATTCGATGTTTTACTAATAGACCACGACAGTTATTATATAAAAACCTATGTGATAAACAGCATCACACGATGCTTTTTCTGTAAGAAGCAACGTCTTAGTACTTGAAAACGGCGTTTCTTTCATAGAAACCGCCATTGATGATGATGATGAAGATGATCTTTTCTTTTTTTTCCCTTTTTTTTTTTTTTTTTTTTTTTTTTTTTTTTTTTTTTATTTCATTTCTTACTACACAAACTAATGATTTTTCTGTTCATAATTAGACATGCACCAACATGTTTTAGCATGAGTACTATAATCTTCAAATTTAGAAAAAAATTTAAAAATAAATATACAAGCGATATTGGGGGAGGGGAAAATCAAATCTAAGGCAGGTTCTGGATAAATGCCCTTAACTACTTGAGCTACAAATCCTTGGCCTACAAATTTAGATTTCATCACTGCAAAGTTGGTTCTGAATTAGTCTTGCCCTTAAAAGTCACTTGAAGTAGATACAAACCAGTAGTTCTACACTAGACTAAAGTCTACTTCGTTCATTGTTTGGTACAAGTATGAGGTGGACTGGTCAGGATTGGGCTTAGAGTTTTGGACTAGTTTGGCTTGGATGGGAATGGACTTTAATAAGTTATTTGTTACATTAAGTTGGGCTAAACTTCACTAGACTATGTCCGTTGTTTGGTACACGTATGGGGTGGACTACATTGGACTTCAAATTAAAATTAATTTTAATATTTATTTGATTATTTAATATACAAATTTATAAATAAACTCAATCCTAGACATGTATTTATAAAAAAACCCAAGCACTATTTAAACATAGAAACACACCCAAAACCAACCCCAAAATCAACAATTGTATATTTTTTGGGTGTGTTTATAAATGGGTTTTGAGTGTGTGTAATGATGGGTTTTGGGTGTGTTTATAAAGTGTTTTGGGTGTTGGGTTTTTTTATAATTTCAGCCCCCATTTTGGATGTTTTAGTGAAACTCCCTATTTAATATCATAAATAATTAAATTTAAAAAAAAAACATGTACACAAAATTAAAAATTAAAAAGCACATGAAGATACCATAAAATTAGTCCAAAATTCACAAAATTAATAATAACCACGAAAATTATTTTGAGTACATTCAAATGATTAACAAATACTTATCTCGGGAACAAACTCCTCATACTACAGAAACCCTACGAATATATATATATATATATGTGAAATTACCCAATTGCCCATATTCCAATTTGATGAGTACATGTCCGTGAAGGCAAAGAAGGTGGGGAAAGCTATGAATGAGGCTGGACCTATGTCCATTTTAATTGATATATCCAGTTCAGTCCATCCCACCAAACCTATGTCCATTTTAATTGTAAAGGCCTTGTTTGGTGGGCCAGATTGGACTTGGAGTGTTGGACTGGGCTAGCTAGGACTAGACCAGACTTTGAGTATGTGTTTGGTGCTTTACTTAACTTTGGACTGGATTGGACTTAAGTTTAGTGCACTGTTTGATAAAACTACTGGACCTGGACCTCAAAAAAAAAAAAAAAAAAAAAAAAAAAAAAAAAAAAAAAAAAAAAAAATTAGTGCTATTAATTATTTAGGGTAAACTACAGTAAACCTCCCAACCTGTAGGGTCATTTATGAGTGCATACCCGATTTTGGGGACATTTATGAGTACATACTCAACATCGCGGAAAACCTACAATTTGCCCCCTCCGTTAGCGAGATCATCAGAAAATCCGTCATCTGCCTACGTGGCATTTGTGGGACCCATTTTTTAATTGACATGGACTCCACATAAGAAATAAAATTATTAAAATAATTAAAATCTAAAAACCCATTAAAAAAATTAAAAAAAACTCATCTTCTCCAATTTTCCCTGCCTTTCAGCCTGACCTCCTCCGCCCCACCTCCATTAGATCTGACTCTCTCCAACCCAGATCAAGTAGCCATCTCTCCCCTCCCCCCAGCTCCACCCCACCTTCATTAGATCTGACTCTCTTCAACCCAGATCAAGTCGCCATGCTAAATATAGCTCATAAATTGAGTTTGGCTCACTCTGTTTCTCAAGTTTACATATACCAATTCTTCTACTTAATTCTGAAGTTTCCTTGGTTTTGAAAATTGAAAGAAAATATGTCCTTGCACTTTGGGTATTGTTGCTGGTACTAAGTGGCACCTGTCGTTATTTGTTTGTTTGATGTTGCTCAATTACCATTCTAATAGTTCGCTCCATATGTTAAAAAATGAGACTCTTAGCTTTATAGGCTGCTGCTATGAGTTTAGTGTTTGGATCTCTTGTTTGGTTGGAAGATCCCGAAGAAGCTTGGATAGATGGTGAAGTTGTGAAGGTTAAAGGTGAACAGATCGAGGAGGGTTTGGATCGTGATAGCTTTCTCTTCTCCTTCCATCCTCTGTGGGTTGGGTGGTTCAGTAGTTCGAATATTGTGGCTTTCCGCAATGCGAAGGATTCGGCCCTTTTCATTTGGTTGGGGATTGGATTTGATTGGGAACTTCCCAGAATATGAGTTTTTGTGATGATCTGAAGGATTTGATTTGATTGTTGTTTATTGGAGAGATGGATCTGTTATCTGCAATCAGCGAAGAGCTGGCAGAGATCGACGGCCAAATCATTGACATTTTCCGTGCATTGTCGTGAGCATTTTCATTTTATGCCTCTGTTTGGATTTGGGTTGATTAAAGGATTGAGTTTCAGAGTGTTTTATGGTTCCTTCTTGGAAATTCAAGGCTAATGCTAGTGTTTGGATTCCTTCCAATTCCAAGCACCCAGACTTACATGGGGTTGAAGAAATTGGGTGGGAGAAGAAATCTGGGTGGGGGGAAGAAATCTTGGGGGGAGGGGGGAAAGAAATTGGGGGAGAGAGATAATCTGGGTAGGGTTTTTAAATTTTTTTTAATTTATAATTTAATATGTTTATTTTTTTTTTAAATAATGTAAAAAGTAAATTTTTTATTAGTTTTTTTGTCAATGTGGAACACCATGTTAATTAAAAAATGGGTCCCACAAATGCCACATAAGCAAATAATGAATTTTCTGACGATCTCACTAATAGAGGGGGCAAATTGTAAGTTTTCCGCGACGTTGAGTATGTACTCGTAAATCTCCCCAAAATCGGGTATGCACTCGTAAATGACCCTATGGGTTTACTGTAGTTTACCCAATTATTTAATATAAAAAACAATTAATTAAAAAAATGCACAGAATTAAAATTGAGAAAGCCCCATCACATACTACTTCTAAAATAGCTCAAAACATATCCAAATTTAACAAAGCAATTAAAATACCTATTTGGCTTTTGCCCATCAAAATACAAGTAGTCCAAAATATAACAAAGTAAAAATTCAAAACTACGTTTCAACCACGAGATCTATGATCTCTAAGCAATGTCGTCACATACTCGTACCTATCATCACCTTTATCTAATGTCTTGAACACGTTCACTTTTGCCGAATCAGTAAATAAAGTAAGTAAAGAGATTCTATCTGAAATAGAAAATTTCATCTTTTTTAACTCATCTCCAACAAATTTATGATCATCATCTACATTCTGCTCCTTTAAGCTCTCAACCAACCTTTGCACTTTGGTGTCAGAGTTTTCCATCATACTCTCAAATGCATTGGCAATTCTTCCCAAACCATCAACCATTTTATTTCCTTGTCTTACCCTTTTGTTTCTTGATGATGATGATTAGGATTGAGCTTGAGTTTGATCAGTATGATGGCTCCCATCCAACTATACATCAGGAATGTTACTCTCAGATGCTTCATCATCATCATTTAGAACCATCTCAGCATGAGCTAAAGCAAAATTTCCAGTTGCACGGTCCTTGCCAAATACTTTTCAAAGCCTATCAAACTTTGTAAAAGATTTATCTCTCCACCCAACAGCATCTCTGTGCTACAATAATAATTAAAAAAAAACTAACATTTGTTAATCCAACCAAAACATAAATTAAATTAGAAAAAACATCGAGGCCTATTGTATAAAACCCCACACCTACTAAATATGTAGTTAAGTTGAGGACAATATCAATGTTGCTAGTAGTGGACTAAGGGTCCGTCCCTTTGAAATCTTAGCATGGTATCTGAGGTATCAGAGCATCCCCTATTTTCTATGTACAACCCCACAATGATATCAAAGTCGTTATTGAGGGTGGTGACTTGACCTCTTTGCTGTGTTATTGCCTGGAGCTTGATGGGGTGTTGCTTGGAAGCTCCAAGCTAGTTTACCAAAGTAAGCACGCAAGAGAGAGAAAAAATATGAAAATTGACAAAACGAAGGGGACGGTCAATGTTGCCTTTTTCTTCCCACAATTAATTCACTGATGGTACATCATCCCCCAATAAGTGTTGATTAGGCGCATAATCAAGATCGTTTACTTTGAGTTGACTGACTTAAACAAGACGTCAACAAGGAGTTTAGTGGAGCAAATGACTAGTAGCTCAAGTAATTAAAAATTTTCATTATTGGACTTGAGATTTTAGGTTAGATTTTCTCCTCTCGAATATTAGGAAAAACAAAAGTAAGTAGTTCAACCGAAATTTAGGAATGATTTCATTCTTTTTATGTATTTCCAAGATTTAAAAAAGCTGTATACCGGTCTTTCATAACGTTTAGGACATATTTCGGCAAATGTCATTTATTTTTCATTAGATTTTCTTTTGGCAATTGCTATATCTTATTGGATTTCTTTTGGCATTACAAGAATTTCTTCGCTATCAACCTCTACACATTTCTTCTCATCATTCCAAGCAAAACCACTTTGGTTTAACATGTCAACAACAATACTATAATCTTTCTTCAATCTCTTCAATTTAGAATTCAAATGGGGTTTAACTCTAATAGGTGTATGTGGGATCAATAATCGGAGTTTAGTTTCTACCAATTTCATCGCCCCTGCTTTGAATGTGCCGGCGTCACAAAGTTGACCACTCGCAACTAATTCATCAAGGATATTTAACAATGCTTCCTCTTCGTTGGCTTGCCATACATATCTATTAGTCTTACCCTTAGACATCTACATAAAGTAACAACCGCGCATCAGGATGTTTATAAGAAAACAATAACAATAAGATTGACAACAATAACTTTATGGCGTTGTAAAAAGAACCAAAAATTTACAACTTACCAAATGCACTCGTGGGTTCAAAACCGCTTTAACTTTTTTGAATTCTCCAGCTCTAATAATACCAAGATCTACAACGTCACCTGCAAATCTATTTAGGAGCATTGTTAGCCTATAAATTGCATGAGTAAGTTAATAAAACTGAGTTCCTCCCAGTTACCAATTTACAATAGATGCATCATGCTGAGCAAGTTCAGCTTAAAACTTGGCCACATATGCATCATGCTGTGGGGACTTCTCAAAACTAAAATCACCTACATATAAAAAAACCACTTAAAACAGACACAATAAAATATAATCACAGCGCCATATCAGGTAAAAAGGGAAGAAAAAAAATGTAGCAGGCAGCAGGTGATGTATTTTGTGTTTTATACGAAAACGAAAACGGCAAGTTCTCAAGTTTTCTAATGAAAAGGAAGAGAGTGTATTAAATGAACTCAGATGATAATCTGATCTTTTTTTTTATAAACTTCAACTTTTGACAGAACAATCTAGATGCTCTTATGAAAGCTTAATGGGAGCAATGATATACCCTTTTCCAGACAATGTAAAAATATTTATTCATCAACTGTTACAGGTAAGAAAAATGAAAATAATAATAATAATCTTGCAAAGGGTTCAAGCAGCAGGAACAAGACCCTTTAAAAAAATAGTGAAAAAAGCAGCACATCATGACATGTGAAACATCAGCGAGCAACTAACATATCATTCCACACATATAAATGACCCCAAATCAAAATCTAAAAGGATAATGCAGAATATTAGCATAATGAACCATCAACAAAAATCAAAACCCCCCCAAAAAAACCATAGCCACTCGAGCTTTAATCCTGAAAAAAGAGATGGCAGTCATCTCAATATTTAACAATTAAATTAATAAAATTAAGAGAGAAATCTGATATCATAGATGAGAGTTGAGAGGAGAGGAGAGAGGAGATGATAGAAGAGAGAATCACACCTCCATAGAAGAAAAAATATATAAAGAGGAAAGAAATCTACATTCAAAATAGCAATGATGAAGTCACAAAGGAGGCTTCGAAACCCATGGTTTCTCTTGGGTTTATAATACCCCCATTTGCTGGAATGGTTCCCCAAGCGAAATATCAAGTCCAACCAGTCCAAGAGTGCATCTAGGCCCATCTAACAACATGTAAGATTTTAGTCCAGTTTAATTGGAGAAGTCTGGTCTAGTCCAGTCCACCAAACAGGGCCCAAAAGTTGGAAAATTTCTAACAGCTTATGACAGATATAAAAACCCATTATTTAAAAAATAAAAGCGAAGTTGGAGTCGGTCTGAATGGACAAAAATAATGTCCAAATATGAATCGACCAGGAAAATTTGTATGCACTTGTATTAAATAAAAGCAAGGTGCATAATCGTCAAGGCCTAAGCTTATAAAACAATATACAGAGCCAAATTGCTAGACAAACCAATTGTAGTAAAAATTAAAAAATTACGCCGATAGCACGACAGTGCTACATCCCAAAACAACTGTGCCAAAAATTTCAGGATCTAAGAAATGTGGTCTATGCTGGGCTGGTATTAAATGAAAGCAACGACTCATATTTCCCAAAGTAAAAGCTTCCTCTACAATTTACAAATGCCAAATTACTAGACACGCAATTTCAGTATACGATAAGCCAATAGCACATGTTGGCCTACTTCCCCAAAACTCTGCCACAACATCTTAAGTTGCAATGAGAAACCAGTACTGAAGCCGCAACTCAACTTGCACAGTACCGCATCATTGCCATTTTCGAGAATAGAGGCGTGATAGGGTGACAAGCAAATGCTCGAGAATCGTCTTCTTTTCAAAGGGGCTCGATGGTCCCACTTTTTAGTCTCTCCATCCGGGCTTGAAGCCCAGATAATGCCCTCTCATCCATAGGGAGAACCCCACTCTGGAGGGGATTCTCAGACGCACGAGGAATCTGACCAGAGACAACCTGGTTTACATTGTCGCTCACATACATTAACGGTCTTGTTTCTTGATCCAGGTTCCCAGCAGATGCTGCTAATTGCATGCTCTTCATCCTTTCTCTAATCGCATCTAAGGTTCCACTCGTGACTGCAGTTCCCAAGATGATAGGTCAATACAAAAAACAAGAATCATGGATGTAGGGGTGCAAATTCAGGGAAACACTCAGAGAAGCTGGGGGGGTAAAGGAAAAAACATTAGTACAATTAATTACCTCCACTAATATATCTCTCATTCCTTTGGTCGACCATTGAGTTTTCAGCGAGACCTCTAGTGGCATTATTCAGCCTGTTCTCTTCAGTATATGATGGTGGTAGATTAAAGCTAGTTGGTTCAGATTTCACATTTAATGATTTTGAATCAACTAAGGAATTTGTGTGTACGGGTGACAGGGGTGCAAATTCAGGGGAAGAAACACTCAGAGAAGCTGGGGGAGGAGTCGGCATTGGCAAGCTTGAAGGCGTCCTTCCAGCTGCAGCATTCTTCTCCATCTGTAATAAAATGTAATTTATTTTCATGGAAAGGAAACCTAAGTTCCTCTTTCAGGAATCATCAACATCAAGTGTGGGCCGGACGGAACATTTTACGGGAAGTAATGATGATACTGACCTGCATCAAACCATCTCTAATATACGTCCGGAAAGCCTCACTAGCATTTTGGAGCTGAGAAAATATATCAACCTGAAATACATTTATAACTAAATTCATAAACAGAAGAAAGATCCATGCAAAAAAGCCAATGACATGCAAAACAGGAGGCAAAAACTTAGATCAAGTCAATATCTCTTAAAATGCTATTGAAACATCAATTACTTACTTTGGGGTAGAGCTGGGTTATGCGATATAGCTCATACAGACCAATGGTGCAAGTCTGCTTGTCGCCAATCTTCTTGAATATGGCAGCAAGTTCTTGCTGGAAGTGGAACAGAACCAAACAAGTTTTGAGCAAAAGAAAAATATAACCTTTGTAAAGAGATTCATAAATATTGAAACTGTTGCAGTTCGACCTTTAACTGTGCATCAGCAGAATGTGTCGCAGATGAGGGATTGTTGGCTGCTGAATCACCCCAATGAGTTTGGCCCCCAGACCCAGTTGATGTCAACATCCTTGCTGCAGCTAAAGTCTGCCATGTTGTACAAAAGGCAAATAAAATAAAATAAATAAATACAGTGTCTTTGTATAAATAAAAGCGGGAGTATTTAATTCAATTATTACCTCAAGATTCAGATCAATGTAGTCGAGAATTATTGGCTGTGGTTTCATGTCTATAGGAACCATAGAAAGGTGACTTTTAATTGCAAGCTCCACGAAGCTTCACAAGCTCATGTAGAACAGTTTTGACCATGCGCAATGGTTTGTACATCAGTACTCGGCTTTGATTTTTTTTTTTTTTTTTTTTTTTTTTTACATACAGGAGAGAAGATTAGTGCATGAAAAGGAACTAGGAGGGAGGGGGTTAGGAATCATTTTGAAGAATACCTTCTCCTAATTTCTTCCATCCCCAAGTCCTGTAGGTACAAATATATGCTTTGAAGGATGCGGTCCAAATCGACCTCATATATTGTGCTTTGAAGAACCTGCAGCAGAGAAAGTAAAACTTCAGAAAGACCCAAAGATTATCTAATTCATAAAAAGACTAGATATTTATTAGCACACATCATATATCAAACGGCAACAGGATAATATGGCAACCAAGAAAATTAGAGTTGATGCATGCATGTGCATATGGGATACATTTTGACAGACACACTACTAATGAAAAAAGAAGCTGAATAGAAGGGCCAAGTATTAAACAATACCTTTGTAAGTTTGATTAAACATTTGACAACCAGATCAGAGAACTTCTGGTTTCTGGAAGCAAATGTTTCATTTGAAGCGGGTGATGGCCATCTTGAGGGATCTAAAGGACGTAAGAGATTGATGAGAACAACAAAGGACGAAGTTCGATCTGCGTTATCCTGCATGTAGAAACCATAGTTATAACTGATGTAATAGACCAAAAACTCCTATGGGACAACCAACAAAGAAAACCAGTAAATCTTAACCAGAATCTTTAGCATCAAGACATTCAACGCTTTCAGAAGTTGGCTGCCATCATCCATATGGGGAACCCTCTCATCCAAAAGCCACAGCAGGAGCTCAGTGATTAGACTGTCAAGAGTAGTTTCCTTCACAGCATAAGCAAGTCTTTTATTTTGAAATGTCTGCAGAAAATTCGATAAAATCAGCATGTTAAGGACAAAATGTTCAAAAGGACTAATAATGTTTTACATTGGTAAATGAAGATCATGAAAGCATGAATGAAATCCACACAATCATTAGATAGTAAATTTACCTGCATAAGAGTGTTCAGGACATATTTACAAGACCTAGATGAAGCTCCTGTCAAACTGAATTCAAAAGTCTTGGCTACCTATTTGTAGAATAAAAGGAAGGGGAAAGGGTTATAGCTTTCAAAAAAACCAGAGTTCGAAAAAAAGGGGACGAAGGCATGAGTAGAAGTGTCTGTTATCAACTGAACTGTTACTGTACTTGCCTTATCCGCTAAGCGAGAAACAAGTCTATCTGCATCCCTCACTAACTCATCCATAGCACCGCCTTCTGGATCATTGATCGACTGTGCCAACTCATGACACACAACTTTCATTCCTTGAACCGACTGGAACACAGGCATATTTGCTTAGAGCATGTTCTTCAATTGAAAGTAATTACAAAATAGAAGGAAAGATGAAAACACCCAACAACCCACAAACAGAATGTCCCCACAAGCAACCAAATTAAGATAGAACCACCTTGACAACAGCATACGTCCCTTTGATTATAAGAAATAGTGTTACCACATCCAAAAAATAACACCTAAACAAGCTAAGTTCCACACCTGCTCAGGAGAACCAAAAGAAATGATATCCAAAGCTTCATTCCAGTCTGTTGGGCCATTGGCACCAGAAAGTCCATGGGGCATCAGTTGGCTCTCCATGTGAGGCTCAGAATGGCCAAAGTTTCTCCTAGAAGGATGATATCAACATCATATACCACAACAATTAGAAAATAACTACACTGGGAAAGAAATTGAAGCATGACCTTTCTTCATAGAAATTAAAGGAATTAAAAATTTAAATAAATTAAATTAAATTTTGAAATACCTAGAAAGTGCTGGACCAGAAACAGACCGCGTAACCTCCCCACTTTGCTCTGCTAGATCAGACCTAATGACAAATAAAGATAAGATAAGTAACTTTAGTTAAGCAATAAACTAATGACATAATTGTAACCCCAAAAATAACGAATTAATTTATGGCAGTTGTAGGTCATGCAAACTAGTAACCACTTGAGAAAATAAAATAAAAAAAAGACTGCCTGCACTATGAAGTTCCTTCTTTCTAACTGAATTGTTAACTTCCTTATCTTCTATCAACATGTAAACTGTATACTACTGGGATTATAAACTATTGAACCTAGCCAGTGGACTTTGACAACAGTAAAATAGCACCAACATTAGGCTGCAAAAGCCATAAAAATCATGTACCCAATTTCCCTGACAGAACGCCTCAGAGAAGCCCTAGCTTCGCCAGGCTTTCCTTCGTTCCTTTTCTCCATTTCTCGAACCTAAAATGAAACAATACTAATTAATGGAAACAGAAACAAATCACATCATATGTTTAAACTTAATAGAAAGCATAAATATATACGGACCTTCCACTTAAACCGATCATCTAACATACTTTTCTGAGCATCTGTTAACTTCCGGACATATCTCCATATGTCCTCACCTAAGATGAAAAAAGAAATTGCTTGCTAAGAGAGCATATTACATCAGTAAAAACCTGTGGCACACATTATCAATTATTTTTAAGTTATGGCTGAAAACTTTACACTGATTACGTGGCATCACGACATACCAAGAATCTTATAACCGGTAGCCAGAGTATTTAAAGCAGCTTTCCTAATTTCACCGTCTCTTTCTGCTGTCAAGTTGGCAACAGTTTGCAAAGACTTTAGTTGTCCACTAATCTGTCAGAAAAAGTAGATGTAAGCATCCTATACCACAACCAGATAAAAACGTATCATATAAGATTGTATTTTAACAGACAAACACACACACGCTTACCTCAGCTACATGATGATCAATCAAATATCCAACAATATCAGCACACTCAATTCGAGTTCGGTTGTTCTTAGAATGCAAGCCCTCCAAAATATAAGGGAAACTTTTTGCTGCAGTATATGCCTGAACAATTTGTTTGGTCAACTCCCGCATTTTTTCTCGTACTTTCTCTATGTTATGCCCGAGCTGCAGCACAAGATTCAGCAGACCATAAGTGAGATCGAATAATGCAACAGAGGCCCGAGCTTTCTATTAAATTCAGAAATATTCAAAAGTCATACTATCAACTTTTAACAAAATAAAAAACCTTCTCTATCAAGCATGGAAAGAATATGGCTGCTTCTGACTCAGTCAACGTGTATGCCTCATCTCTAAAGCTATCAAAAAGGTCAGGTAGAAATTCCAGCACCTAAGAATCACAAGAGAGGTGGTTAGAAAGCAACAAACCTAAAGACCATAAGACTTAAAAACCAAGGAGAGAAGAATGGATAAAAGAAACATATACCATACCTTTAATAGACATGTTGTGTTCGATTTACAAAATTGTAAAGCAAACCACCTTAGCAGTATATCCAAAATTTCAATAATCTCTTTTTTAATGGTTGGAAGTGCCTGGAATGCATACGATAAAATATTGGTAAAACTACGCAGACATATCCAAAACAAATCAAGATATTAGGAATGGCAGAAAAACACCTTCTGCAGCATCTCAAGCCCTTCAACTTGCTTCTTAAAATCTGGACTAAGAAGTCGCCTATGCAAATCCTCTCTAAGATACTTTGTCATATCATTCTGCTTAAAATGCAAGCAAAAGTTCACATATAAGCATAACATCAATGACAGCAACAGAAACAAGAAATTATTATGTGAAACCTGGACAGGTACAAACCTCAAGATCTTGAATCTGTTCTGGCCGTGGCTCTTCAAACTTAAACTTCCTAACCACCAATTTCTCTCTATCCTCCTGCAGTTCAAATGACTATTCATCACTAGACCCAAAGCTAGTATGCAAGTTAAAAATCCATGCTATTGCCATACATACCTTAATTGAATCTTTAACACTTATCAAGGCCTGTGACTGGACAGCTATATCTTGGGACATTATTGAATCCAGCCTTGATCCTTTTGTTGCAATGGTCCTCTTTGCAATTCATAGAACAATCAATTATTATGCTGATTCCAATACATAAGAAATGAAAAACTAAATGCCGTCAAGTACGTCAGAGGAACATACTGAAGTAGCTTTGCTTCCATGCTTCAAAACTCCATTGGAAGCAGATTTTCCAGCCTTTGAAATGCTTTTGGAAGTTGGGCCCATCGATATTGCTCTCGATTCAAAAGATTCTAAGAGGAAACAATTCAAATTACTTTAAAGCAACACAAGCAAAAACATCAGAGCAAAGAAATCAGCAAACGCACCTTGAAAAGACCCAGGCTTCAATCGCTCAACAAGAGCTAAAGCTGGCCCCTGAATATCTCTCAAACTCTTCTCAACCTGAACCAGTAGCATAAACAAATAAAACGAGAAGATAATCAATTGATACACAAAAAGAAAGAAAAAAACCACCAGTGTTTTATAGTACACTTACTGATTCACGTCCACTAACTCTCAAAATTTCAGAAATGCATGTCTCGGCTGCTTTACGGACGTCTGAGGATTTATCCTATAAGAGATTCCAGACATTCAAGTAATTTCATAAGTGAGTAATATCTGTCATAGCAGAGGAAGCTGAGACTTTAAGCATAGATTTTCTCATGATAAATAAATAAATATCCATTAACATTTACCATCAGAGCAGAAGAAGCTGGTTTTAGAAGATGAACAGCATCAGAACAATCACTTAACCCAGAAAGCTGTCTCGTCAACCACTCAAAAAGATCTTTGCGCCCTTCTGCACCAAGCTTGGTTTCTGATATTGCTGCTGTAATATAAGGAACCTGCAACAACAACTGTTACAATGCCTGACATGCAACTAAAATTCCACAACCTGAGTAGAAATAAAAAAAACACTAACCATTTTATCAAGATGAACAGCAGAGAGCCATGAGTCTAATGTTGTTAAAGTGCATTCTCTCATATGTTTCTTATTGTCTCCTAAACATTTCAAAACATCCGACAGAATGCCCTGCAATTAACAGTTCATGCTAAAGTCCAACTGTCTTAAAGACAAAATAACAGCTAAGTAACGTAAGTAGTTCCCAATTTAATAATAAACAAACCTTGCTGAACTTTTCAACTGGTGCTCCCATTGCAGATGCAACATTACCAACAGCCGTTAGAGTCGCAGCGACCAAGTTCTTATTGCTATCATACAAGCGGGCCCTTAAGGCACCAAACAACTCCACTGGAAGTATAAAAAAATATATAGTCATCAAGACATTGAATGGAGAGATTATGTAGAAGCAGGTAACATAATATAGATGTTTTGTACCAGTTCCAGTTGGCTGGATGCGCTTATTAGCCTCTTCCAAAATTTTATTTACAGCTTCAATTGACTCCAAGCGAACCTGGAAAAAGCAAAAATAAACACATTCAATATGACATCAAATGAATGACGAGTTTCTTGAAGCAACTGTCACACGCATATAACAGACCTTCCAATCAGGACTCTCCAAGCTCTTCAGCAGAGTAGGCGTGATCTTTCCACTAATATCTTCACGTGGAAGGCTATCTAACCCACCAGCAGAGACAGATGAAGTAGATTCTGTTGCCCGAACATTTCTCTTCAGAACCACGGAAGCACCCTGGAAAATAATAAAGAACGTGGGTTATCCATAACAAGAAAAACTGATGTATGCAATTTTGGACTATCAATTTGGAATACCTCAAAAGGATTTTTTTCATACTCGGCTTCCAGTGCACTAAGTAGTGCAGGTTTAACATCATTAAGAAACCCTTTAATATCTGCAAGGGATATAAATCTTAGAAGCACCAAAATGAAACTGACGTATATGGAGCATCCAAACTAAAATGAATAGTCACCTGGACCAACAAATTTATGTATAGCCCCCAAAAGCTTAATAGTAGAATTCCTAGTAGCAGCAGCACTGGACTGCAGTCCAGTTTCTTTACAAAAATCAATCAAATCCTGTAAAACATAATATCCTCTTTATCTAACAAACTAAGTAATAATAAATTGTTGAAATTGATAGTGGAAAATAAAATCAGCAGAATCAGAATAGAAATGTAAAAACCTTAAGTTTCAAATGTGAGACACCAAAATCATCAACAGCGGAAACCATCCACAATATTCCCTCGCTCAGAACCTTAGGGTTCTTGTGCTCTTTCATAATTTTGTATAACTACAAACAGAAATACTAAACAATCATTAGAGACTGAGCAAAATAAATCACATGCTCATAAATATAAGTTTAGGCATCTGTGCATCAGGAAAAAGAAAAAGACATCCAGAATAAAACTATAACACAACTTCGCCTACTTGGAAGAATCACAACAGAACTTACTCTTTCAAAAACAAATCCTGGGCCTATGGCTTCAGAGAAAGCAGTGAGGCACTTCATGGCATGTGTCCGGGTCTTTATATCTGCAACTCGTTCACTTATACCTGTCAAAGTGCATAACATTAAATGCTCCAGTTGACAACTCTGTGTCCATCCACAGCAACAACCAAGGAGACACATAAAGCATGCTTCATACCCTAATGTCTAATCTAAATTACAGAACACTCACCCAGAAGACAAAGTACTACACATTTCTTAGGAAACTTTTTTGCAGTGGAGGCTATATAAGAGATAACTTCAATAACCTGTTGCTGAACCTGTATTAATCAAAATACATGCCCTTAAAATATTTTCATCACAACAGTTATAGAAGAAAGCAAACAACAAAAGACAATGTTAAATCTGCCGAACGACAAATTCAAAACCACAAAATACCTGAACATTTTTTTCACTCCAACCAGGGACAGCACAAAGTAAACGAACCAATAACTCAACTGACTGGTCAATGTCTTGAAGACCTTCCACTTCTTGTTTAAATGAGGATATGGCTGCCCCAAAATCAAATCATAGTTATAGTAAAGTCAACCAGAATATTGCATGGAAAAGATGGGACCATCAACCATGTGAATGGACCATAAAAGACACAACACAACACAAAACACATCAAATCACCAACAAAACAGAATCAAAAGTAGTTTAGCACTGAAGAAACTATTACATAAATAATACAATGAAATAAATTAACATGAAACTTGTGATTTTAAAAGTATCATATCCCTTATTCCTGCTCAAGAAGAAATGTTTTCTAGTATCAAAGTAGAAAAACCTAAACATAAATTGAACAATTGGTACTGGGCTGGGTACCTTTCCTACTTGCAATACAACTCATCAGCATAACATTACTTCAGAAGGCAAAGAAGGTAAAAAGGCATAGCTTCAGCACCTAGATCATGATGTGAATTCATGACATTAGGCTACCATCAGATGAAATAATGACAGTTCAAGCCATTAGTTATTAAATGTGAGCATCCAACCCAAAACCAATTGGCAATAGGTGAAGAGACCCAAGATCATTTAAACTATTAACCAAGCTTTAAGTCCCCTATGTGGTATTCACACCGTCAACACGCCCAATCACATGTGGCGTCACCCCAATCCAAACACATATTGGGTGAAGTGGAGCACATGTGTGTGGCTATTGGGCCAAAAATGTGAATGGCCTGCTCTTATACCATATTAGAATGTGAGCATGCAACCCAAAACCACCAGTTGGCAATGGGAAAAGAAGCCTAAGATCATTAAACTAATAGGAAAGGCTTTAATTCCCCAAAGTGGAATTCCAACTCTCAATATTACGTAACATATAACTAGGAGTAATTACATACTAAACAAATACACATGCACATATCGCCAAAAGCATCCATGAGGCGATGAAAATGTCAAATAAACAATGAATGCTTTGCCTTTAAATTAATCTTTTAGTGCAAAAGATAACTATAGATAAATAATTTTAGAAACACGAAGCAAATGCTTTTCATGTCATAATCGTATTCATTGATGAATCAGTATCATCACCAACCTTCAAGCCGTTCTTTCCATGCAGAGCTCTTTAATTGAGAGATGGTATCTGCTTGTATAAGAGCCCCTAATCTGCTTTCAATTTCTTCAAGACTCATTTCTGCTGGCTGCAACATTTCACAAACCAAAAGGTGCAGTACAGAAAACATCTTTTTAAAATGTTACTAGGAAATGAATGAGGGCAATCTCACAGCCAAAAAGTACATTACCTCAACATCTTCAGGGGTTTCAACTAACTTGGAAGCTTTTGGCTGTACAGTTGTATCTACTTTCTTACTGCCACCTGATTTAACAGATCCCCCTTTTTGTTTGCCAGGCTAATTAAAAAAAATGCGTCAGTCTTGAAACATATTGAGGATATAATAATCCAACGATAGTTTCAAAACAGGTAACCAAAAATTAAAAATAGCTAAAATGAACTCACAGCTGCCTGAACAGGCCTCTTCCCACTAAGCATACTCGCAGCTGACCTTCGAACAAATGAACTGTCCGAAGTCTGCATATAATTTGATCAACATATAAGCCGTTATAAGTCTGGCATCCAAAACAGTTTTCTAACAATTGAAAAGATGTAACAGGATATGTCCAATTATATAATATCAAAGGTAAAATAAAAGGCATCACAACAATCACACTGTAGTGTAACCACATTCTATAAGCATAGGCAACAGAAGCTTCATCCCTAAACTGAAAGACAAGAAACCCACCTCCAGAGAAGGTGCAGTAACCCCAGAGCTTTTGACTGTGGCTGGCATATCGTGAAGTACAGAAGCAAAGTGAGAAAACATCGCATTAAGCAAAGAAGAGATTTAATGACTACAAGTACCAAAACAGAACACAAACCTGAGCTTGCACTCATGGATGTACCACCTTCAGAACCCATAATCATTTCAGAGAGCTTCTTTCTTCTAACATCATCAAGTTTCTCCAGTGACCTCTCCAAAGGCCTCATACCAACCAACTAAAGGAAATGAACATGGTGGAGATGAAAAAAACTATGTCAGTATTTAAAATCAAAGTTTCAAAAATCAAAACATAAATCAGTTAATGCACTGAACATACTACCTTTGCTATTGCTGCCAAAGCTGAAAAGGCTGCATCCCGCACATCTGGGGTTCCATCTTGGAGGCACTGGAACGTTCAGATTGTTTGTTTTTAGCAATTACATACAACTATATAATTGAAAAAAAAAAAAGTAATAGCATCATGCAGTTCAAATCCATGCTAAAAGAAAATGTTGTTGTTCTAATAGGTTTGCATCTATACTTAATTTTTCTAATCAGTAATATAGGTCATGGGATTGGTTTTTATGATATTCCCAATTATCTATTAAAAATTTTAAAACTGACTAATCCAAATTCCAACACCATGCAAAACTGTAAACAGGACAATCCAAATCCTGCAGACAAGAAAAATTCAACCCCCACTCTAAAATTGAAAGTTTTTCCTTCCTTTTTTTTGGCACATATATGGCAGCATCAGGAGCATAAAAATCATATTACACAAAGTTACAAAATAAATTTTCAACCAAAAAATAAGACAAAACCATAAGCCTAAAAAGGAGGTGAAAAACATCAGACATTTTGGCGAGAATGCACTGACCTCCATAAAGATAGGAACGTAATCCTTGTGTAACTTCAGAACAACAGCCTTGTTGCTTGTTTCAATACAAAATGTTACCCAGTTCAAAGTCAATGAACGCACAAGAGGCACTTTATTTTTCACTGCCGTCTTAATATCTGCAATAAAAAGAATTCATAAAACTTTAACCTCAATCACAGCCTACCAAAAGAGTTACGTCCAAACAAAATTAAAGTGTATAATTGATACATAAGTTACTGAGAAAAAAATATAAAACCTGCCTTCAACAATGTCAACAAGATTTAAGCATCCAGCTGTATGCATTGCTTGAAGAGTTTGGGTAAGTGCCTCAGACAGAGTTGGCTTTTTCTCTTTCAATTTTTCCTACAAATAGACAACAAAAAAAGGCAAGTATTGAATTATAGATACTCTAATAATATACTGTAAAATACACTCAATAAGCTATCCTCGGAAATAAATCAATAAAGAAGAAAGATCGTTTGCACACTACCATTCATAATACATGACCAAGAGAAGTAAAGAGGAAAAGGTAGCCTACATGAAGAATGAAAACTTGGAAGCATACAAACATCAGAGCATGCATGGCAATATCAAGAGTGCAAACTATAAACAACGACGTCAAATGCAAAGCTTAAATTTTAAATTGAAAACAATCAAAGACACAACTAAGCTTTAAGTTTCTTTTTAAAAAAACATAATCAAGGCTAAAACAAAATCTCAAATACAACATTTGAATTACCATGTATCTCTCACACAGTTAGGAAATTATTTTTTTTTTATTTTATTTTTTTTTTCAATCTGACAAAGAGTAACCTTTTTCTTAATATTTACATCACACTAACTCGTTTCATCAATTTGATTTTTACAGTAGTATCTGATCAGAGCATTGATTTATAATGTCGAAACATTGAGATTTAAGGATTGTCAGTTTCAATTCCCAGAACAAATGATAATAGTAATGCTCCTTCCTTTCCTGAGGAAAAAACAAAAGTATTCAAATAAACTTACAAGTAAACCTGGTAACAGAAAACGCGAACTGCCAGAAAAATGAGTTCTTAGACCCTTGGCAAGATTTCCAATAGCTTGGATAGCTTCAACTGCAACAGCGATGTTCACGTCTGCTATGAGCTGCACAAAAATGATAGTCCGTTGAGAGAAATGGATTGAAGAGAGAAAAATCCCTTTTGTAGTACATCATCTGTACAGTTCCATAGGCAATATCATGCAAAAAGTACAATGTTGAGGTGGGTGGAAGATAAAAATAGTTGCTTCAACTGAAGTACAAAAAATACCTTCTTTAATGTCCGACAGATTTCTGTAAAATCACCAGGAGCAATTCTTTTAGTGGAAGCAAGCTTGGTTAGCTCTGCAACAGCCTCCTTTCTCTCTGACCACTTCGTAGCTTTCTAGAGCACAGTGACAAAATTGACAACAATAAGCAGCATAGGAAGACAACATGCATAACTTGAAAAGTTAAAAACCGCAATTTGATGTCACAGTTTCTGATGAATGTAGCATCAAATTCACATTCACTATGAAACACAAATAGCTACACGTTAGGATAGGGAGATAACACTGACCACTCCATCCCAAAATCCAGACTTCTCCAATGGAGTCAATATATCAACAGGATCAACAAGCTCGTATTCATCTATTTCCGGAGGAGCTGACAATCATGAAACATTGAGATAAGTATGAGAAAATGTGAAAGAACAAAAAAATAAAAAATCACACTGTGATGCCTAGAAGCCTGGCATATAAGATTCTGTTCTCCCATCCACCACAACAATATCTAAATACTGTACTAAAATATCATTTTCGAAAGGAAAAGCATCTAAAAGTCCCAAGAGTCAATCACATACCATCAGTTGTAGATTCCTCAGAAGGACCAGGACCAACAACTTCAGAAACAGCTTCCCTTTCTGGCTCCTTGTCTTGCTCGGATCTAATAAATAGAATTAAAATAATCTAGCTTAAGATATACAACAAAATAGATGTGTTCTGGCTTCAGTTAAAACACATTACCAACAAAGTTTTCACCTGATTTTGCGAGATGGCCTGGCTGTCCCTGTAACATTTGCGAGCTCAGCCTCCAACTCTTTTTTCTTCAACCAAAAAAATGGACAATGTAATTATTCGTTTTCCCAGGAAAATTGACAAAACGGTACACACAACATAAAAATACTTAGCATACCATTGTATCCCTCATCTTCTCAAACAATATTGATTTTACAGGGTCTTTTCCTATCCAACGACAAAGCTCAAGAGTAAGTCCTTTAGAAGATGCACGAACATTTTGATCTTGATGGTCAAATAGTTCAGGAAGCATCTTCAAAATCCTTTTTGGAGGAACAACTTTTGCTCCAAATTCACTATTACAGCAAGTAATAATGCATACCAGTTAGAGAATCAAGTAAAAGAATTGAAAAATAGTTTTCACAAAAGCAAAAAAAAAATATGTGGGAAAACCTTAAGGCCTGAAACATGACATCAATTGCAGGCACAACAGCTTTGGAAACTTTGTTTTTTATTGCTTTCTCCATGGCATCCTACAACAAACCACAACCATCGTAAAGGTCCCCAGAAAATTGATCAACAATAGCAATGGGAAATATGACTATCCCAAGATTTCATTAGCACACCAAACACGGTAAACATACTAAATTAATTAATTACATTCCACACAAATAATCCCAACCTCATTCCATGCCTGTTTTCAATTGCTCTAGACACGAAATAAACAACCTACTGTGGTATATAAATGCCTGACTTGATTTACATACTCCAACCCAATAAGCCTCCCCCACCCCCTTCTCCCTTCCTTTCTCTCGTCTAAAGTACATATATGCCTACACACAGGCCAGGAATAAGCTGAACTTCCAACCACAATAAGGCAATGCCCACATTCTATTGCACATAAAATGCCTGCTACCAAATTTTGATATTGAAACTTAGACCATATGTCTGTAGTTAACAAGCCCTTCATGCCACATGATCAAAATTAAGAAAAAACTGCAAGGACGAATCAAATTCAACAAAACAACCACCAACGCTTGACATCTTACTGCTGCTGCTACTACTAATACTACATTATATCAGAGTTCACTTGCAAACTGTCATAACATAAAAAACACTCCAAATTGTGAGACTAGTAACTACAACACTTCACATAATAGAGATCTTTATGCCAATTGCTCGTTCTCTTAATGGAGCATATTATTTTTATTCAAACAAACCAAAAAGCATAAGTTATGCTGCATAACGTACTAAGAAAGCGTCCACAGCCTCCAATTCAACCCAAAGCATAAATGCAGCTTGAGCCTTCTCCACCGTCTTCGGCCTTCCAGTGAGGCATTTCGCCACAATCGCATCACAAACTTCCTTACCATATCTGCAAATACATAAACGTTAAGCTAACAAATCCAAACAAAGGCTTGTTAAAAACCAAATTAAAATAAGAAGAAAAATAAAATTAATTAACCTTCCGGCATCAGCATCCGCAGCTCTTAAAAAAGCAACCAATGCATCGAGCGCCTTCTCTTGCACCGGCGAATTAGAATCCACCAGAGTCTTTCTAAAAAGCGGACCTGACCAAAACAACCAAACACAAAAAAACTGTAAAAACAAAATGCAAAATGCAGAGCGTTCATGACCAGCAATGAAAATTTATCTCTTACCAAATTCACGAAGGCGAGGGTCTTTGGGATCGGCGATGGAGTCGCAGAGAGCGGCCAAGTCAATGTTGGCCTCGTTCCTCACCTTCCAGTTCTTGTGGAAAAGCCGATCATCCCAAGGCAATTTTTTCGCCTCCTTCAATAATTTCTCTTCCTCCGACATTTTTCAAAAAAAAATTGAAAAATGCAGAGAGAAACAAAAATCCCTCTGTACCCTAACAATCTGATCTGCACAAATGCAAATGCAAATGCAGATATAGAGAGAGAGAGCGAACTCAAAAGAATAGACACGATACGACGGGTCGATTGCAACAGAGAAAATTATGTCCCTGTTGGGGATAAAGAAATAGATCGAACCGCTCGGGTGTCAGTCTTCCAAGGAAGATGAAAAGGTAGATCGGGATCCAGAATTTTGAACAAGGAATTTGAAACGAAACCTAATTTTGTTAAGAGTGAGAGATTTTAACAAATGACAGTGTTGGGCAAGAGAGGAAGAGAGAGAGCGAGAGCCCAATCGAGGAGAGAAGAAATGCCGCTGTTGCTGTTTGGCTTATTTTAGACGGCAGCCGTTCTAATTTTTTTCAATTTCTTCTGAAATGTTCTGGCCGTGCGATTAGAGTTTCCCCGTTGTGGTGTCGCGATTTTGACCTTTTATTTCAAATTAAAGGCCGCTCTTGCAGGAGCTCCACGGTCTGGAGCTGCGACTGTCCCGCACAGGATGCTAGCCTTGTGCTCGTGACGTCAGTTTTGGGTGGTTAACATCACTCAAAATCAAATTTTCCCCATTAAATGTGACTTTTTCCCTCAATTTTAGAATAGCAATAGCCTAAGTTTGTTATTTGGTTAGCAATTGTTTTGACCTCAACTTTGCTTTTAAAAAAATTTCTGAGTTATGTTTATATTACCTTCATTTATTTTTTTGAACATTTAATTTTAAAAATTCAATATTTATCTATCTAAATCTTTTTTTCAGATTAGATTAAAGTAGAATATTGTTTGTATAAAAAAAATTTATAAAATATTCAAAATACTACAAGATACCCTTAGTTAATGAAAATGTTAAGAATTGAAAATATTAATGAGGATAATATAGTAAATTTATACTTTTTCATATTAAAAAAATTCAAAACAAAAAGCAAAATCAGAACATGGGTCATATCTCTATAAACCACAACTAAACCCATTTTATCTTTCTTAATTCTAAAATTATAATTCTAAACTAAAAACAAAAGTAAAAAAAAAAAATCAATTGGCACACATGTGGTGCTAGATACAAGCGATAGTCTAAACTACAAAGGGAGGGGATTTTTCACACATGCACTATCAAGGTATCATGTGGATTCGACTCTAAGACCACTAAGTCAAGGCCCTCTTTTCATTAGGCTAGACCTCGTTGGGGGATGCTAGTGCATATAATTAAGGAAAATAAATAAAATGATAAATAAAACATTCAAAATTAGGGATCACAAGAATCCATGTCAAGTCGAGTCCCCGGCCCTAATGGGGAGCGATCTCGGGAGAAAATTGAGAGCAAGTACGGAGATCCCCAAATTCTAAAAATCCCCGATCATGATGGGTCAGGGATGATATTGTTATCCATATCCTTGAGCATGGCCCAATATGTAATATAATTAGTTTTAAGTAATATTATATATATATATATATTTATAGATAATGTGTGGGTTCTCAATTTAAGTTTCGCACAAGGTCTTCAAATTCTCAGAGTCGGTCCTGTCTCTACATGCCACTAGTTTCTTTAAATGCATTTTCCTTTTTGTAATCGATATCCAATTAACAAACACATCAACAAAACTACTTACACATATATCTTCATTTAAATTTCTGTCGCAAATTTGATGGTCAAAGTACTTTGTTTTATTCATCATGGAATTCGTTGTCTCGTGTTAGTTAAATAGATATCTTTACATGCTTTTTTTTTCTTGTTGAACAAGGACATAATCACATTATTTGTCGCCCTCCATTTATTTTATGTTATTTTATTTTATTTTATACAAAGCGATATTCTACTTTAATATAATCTAAATTATGGAGAGGGGGATTCGAACTCAGGTGCATAGTGAGGAGTATATTCGCTCTATCCAACTTGGCTATGCCCACGTATGCGCCCTCCCTTTATTAGTAAGCTAATATAGGCACGTTTGGAAGTGATTTTGGCCCTCCTAAAATCACTTACAAAATCACTTACCGTCTGTTTGGAAAAAGGAAAACAAGTCGGGGATGAAAAGGAAAATTCGTGCGTTTGGCAAATTCTGCTCGAGATTTGACAAATCACATGTGGGAAATATGGAGGGATTTCCTAATCCAAATCCCGAGTTCAAATCCTATCATAATTGGCTGAATTGTGCAACAAGTGCAGGAAATTGCATTTTCTACTCGCCAAATCTCCTCGACAAATACACCCATATCAGTTTTCTAACGAAAGTGGGAAAAGAAGGCCATCCATCCAAGTTTCGCTTGTGAGCTTTCAATCTAGTTGCAATTTTTAATTTTTTTATCGATCGATCTATCTCTAGTTTGTTTTTGTTATCTGGTTCTTTATCTAATGGGTTTCCAGTGTTTTCTATTCAAGTTAATTATCTTTTTTATCTAATAGAGAGAATCTTTGGTTTTCAGATTATTGCCATCTCTGCCTTTCAATCTAAGACTCGGTGTTGTTCCAATAAAGGTATAGTCTCAATCTATCCTTTCTTTTCAATTTTTTTTCAATAACAATTTATGACTTCAGATTATGGGTTGATTATGTTTATTTGTTCATCACCCTCTATGTTGTTATTCTGGAATGTGAATGTATGCTTAGGAGAATGGTTGGGTTAATTCAATTGTAAATAAAGTTAAACATCACAAGAGAAGTGTGTGAGGGGAAAATTTAGTGTTTTTTCTTTCGCTGTAGATATTCATGTTTTTGTTATTTCATAATTGAGGAAGAAGGTTGTCTTAATAAAAGGATAAGATTATATGTTGTGACATTATAATTATTGTTTTCTGCACTTTCTGGCTACATAATTTTACTCTATATTTATGATATGGGTTCATCAGAGTTTGTTTTGGTTGAGGAGATTATAGCTCCCTTGTAGTTTATGCTATAGAAGCCCTCACCAATCATACTTATATTTCTTGTTTTCTTTAAACTCATTGTATTGATATCTTTATTCATTTGTAGTATTTAATGCACAAATAAGAAGTCAATTGTCCAATTGTACAGTGGATTTAAATATGTTTTTGTGTTGAGTGATTTGTTTTGGGTGTTGTGTGGTTCTTGAATGATCCAGGGTGCGTTAAGGTGGACACATAATGTAAATTTTGTCTATATTTTTTGCTAGTTAATAATTGTCTTAAATTGTACCATTATTTGAGTCATCATATTTAGATTCATATTCACATAGAGGTTAGAGTTATATGGTAATTGGAGTCGTTGCATGTGTAGCAAAGAGTTATCAGTTTCTCTTATTTGGCTAGTATGACTAATTAGTTCTACAATGACATTTTTGTTGGTGTTTGATATGACTACATAATAAGATTATTTGGAAATATAAATATGTATGGCTAGTGATTATGTAGATAACTTTCTTACACGTTTAAGTAGCAAGTGTGCTAGAGATGAAGAATAAAATAGCGACAAAATGTCCATTATTCTTGGTACCATTACATCTATCATTGCCATAGTTGTAGCATGGTATAATGAAACTTATCTGGTCAAAGAGCCTTCACGTGATTATGATCAAGAAAGACGATGTTACTTGAACCGTATGTATAATAGGAGGGAGGTTAATTTTATTGAACAACTACGAGTTAGCAAGAATGCATTTAAGAGTTTATGCACTATTTTGCATGGAAGTGGTGGATTGACTCCAACAAGAAATGTTTCAATTGAAGAGTCTGTGGCTATTTTCTTAAATATACTGGTGCACAACTTGAAGTTTAGGGTAATTGGTTTTGACTATTATTGCTCTAAAGAAGCAAATAGTCCACAATTAATAGTGTGTTGCATGCAATTATGAGAATAAGTCAAGATTACTTGAAACTTCATCCATGTGCTATAAGGTGGTTCATAAAGAGACAAGTGGGAGTGGTTTGAGCTAAACAAAAGTATGTTCTTGTAATTACATTAAAAGTATTTGTTTATTTGTTTTTCTTTCATGTCATAAGAATTGTATATGGGCACTAGATGGAACTCACATTCCAGTAACAGTGTCTGTTGAGGAGAGACCAAGATATCGAAATAGAAAGTGAGATATTTTACCAATGTTTTAGGAGTTTGTGATCCTGATCTAAAATTCATCTACGTAATATCTGGATGGAAGGGTTATGCTTCTGACGCTCATGTTTTGCGAGATGCTTTAGCCATGGATAATCCATTTCAAGTCCCAAGTGGTAATTTATGATACTCGTTGTTAATTAAGCACAAACTTAGATATAAATAACTAATTATTCTTTAAAACTTTTTGTATTGTAGATAAGTATTATCTTGTGGATGCGGGATATGCTAATGAACAAGGTTTTTTGGCTAGATATCACTTAAATGAATGGAGGTCATTGGTTTTTAAAAAAGCGATGGAGTATACTGCATACCCCTTCATTTATCGACATCAAAACCCAAATTGGGATTATAAATGCATGCTTTGTGTTGCATGACTTTATCCGACTCAAGCAACATAATGACCCTGTGTTACAAGATCAATATTTGGGGTTTTTAGCTTCTGTGGATCATGAGATATCAAATCATTCTATGTTAGAGGGTAATGCAAATAGGATTACAAGTGTTCAAGTTACTGATCAGTGGACTACTTTTCGTGGCACGTTAGCATTGCAAATGTTTCATGATTATCAAGCACGAGGCGCTACGATTTCATGATTTTTCAGTTTGAACTTTTCGTGTTTTAATTTGAATAAGTGTTTTTACTTCATGTATTTAATTTTTAATATTTTTATCAATTTGAATAAATTTGTGAATGATATTCATTAATGTTATTATAATTATTTCAATGACATAAAATGGCAAAGAAAGCAACCAAACTAAAGCAGAGGAAAAAGAAAAGAGAAGCAATGTAATGAACTTGAAGGAGATGACAAATGTTATTGATGTTGGAACATACAAATAAATGGTTCATTAGTAGAGATACTTAGAGAAGAATGTCATATTGT